CCCTTACAATTTCTTAGCTCCAGGCGGAGACAGACCGCAGATGGCTTAATTTAGAAGCCTCCAAGAAGGAATTCCTTGCTCCACGGCTCTTCATCCGTGGCTCCGGGGGGCCGCAGGGTCGTGAGCACTCGGGGCTCCGGGCCTGGCTTGTGCTGACAAGGGCACAGGCATGCGTGTGGGACAGGGCCAGGCTGTGACTCAGCCTCCACGGCAGTGGCTGTGTGTTGGCCGCCGCAGCCCTGCAGCTCTGGGTTTGATCTGCGGTGGAACCTTTGGGAACCGAGTTTCCCATCTGCAAAGCAGAGCCTGTGGGTGCTGATCTGCTCAGGACCACAGGGACAAGGGCTATGGGGACATGCGGACAGGCTGTCCTGGTGCCACTCCATGGGACGAGGGCCAGCCTGGCACATGGCATCTGGCTGCACGCACCTCTGCACATGCTACCGGCCTGGGGGCTGGGGCTCTGGAGCTGCGGGTGCCTGAGTCACCAGGCCCCACCACTGTGGTTCCGAGCTGTACACATTGCACACCCACACTGCCTGCTCACACCACCCCTCTTCCAGGCCACATTCAAGCCCTTATTGGCACAGTGGCATCCCTGCCCGCCTTCCCCAGCCAGCCTCACTAGACATTCTTCAGGGCAGGCCCTTGGGACCCAGAGTGTCGAGCACCGAGGCTGCCCCTGGCACACAGTAGGTGCATAATCTAGTTCTCGGTGGGTGGATGGATGAATGTCTCTCTGCTTCAGTTGCTATGTCAGTGCAGATTGCAAAGAGAAAATTTCAGCTGGGTATGGTGGCAGGGCACTGGGGAGGCTGAGGCAGGAAGATTGCTGAGAGTTTGAGGCCACCTGAGCTACATAGTGAGACCTTGTCTCCGAAAACCAAAACAAACAAACAAACAAACAAACAAGAAGAGAATTTGTAATTCAAGGGCTCTTTGTCCTCTGCATTCAGCTGGGCAGTTTCTTAGAGGCTCAGTCTTCCCCCCGCCCCCTTGGGGACTGCAAAGCCAGCCATGAGGGGCAGAGGAGCTAGGGGGCTCCCATAAACAAATGACCACAAACTGGGAAGCTGAAAGCAAGGTCTCACGGTGTACTTTGGGTGGCCTTGAGGCGATCCTCCTGCCTCAGCCTCCGGACTGCTCGGATTACAATTGTGCGCCACCACACCCAGCTCTCTTATAGCTCTGAAGAACCAGGCCAGACAGGGCTGCATTGCCCCCAGAGGCTGACTTCACGCGGGGCCTCTGGGTCTGCTTCTCCAAAAGACCCGTGCTCAAATCACAGTGCTTGGCATCTCCCCTGGTGCATCTATTGGAGATGCTTTGAAACCCCAGCACTGTCACACAATTTGAGGCGTGTCACACATGCTGGCTTGTCCATGTGGGGATTTCTGTTTGGAATAAAGCTGGTTGGCAGAGAATCAATTGCAAGCCTCTGGAATACAGACCAGTACATCCACCAGAAACAGGTGGGAAGCCGCATAGAGTGGGCATAGGGTGCACGCGGTGATTCAGGATGGTCCCCTCGGGCCCTCGGCTGAACTGAATCCATGAATCTTCTCTCCAAATAAGACCTGGCTTGCCAGCTCTGGGGTCAGAATGTGGAGGTCGCTGTGCTGCCCCAACTAAGGTCAGGGGGGTCGGGGGCGGCGGGGAGCTGAGATGGGGAGCTCAAAGCTGCGCTTCCACCTGCAGAGCCGCAGGGCTGAGGAGACTGGGCAGAGAGGAAGTCATCCAGGGTGCGGGAGAGGACTGCTCAGGGTGCAGAGTTCCATCCATGCAAAATGAACCAGCCAGGCATGTCGGCACACACCTGTGATCTCAGCACTCAGGAGGCTGAGGCAGGGGGATCACTGTGAGCTGGAGGCCAGCCTGGGCTTCACTGTGAGTTCACGGTCAACCTGAACTACATAGTGAGACCCTGTCTCAAAAAAAAAAAAAAAAAAAAAAATTGTCGGGGGATATAACTCAGCAGCGCAAGCACCTGCCTGGCAAACACAAGGTCCTGAGTTTGATTCCTGGTACAAAAAAAAAAAAAAAAAAAAAAAAAAAAAATGCCAGTGTATGGAAGCACACACGGTCTCAAAAAACATTTTTTATTTTTGGGTTGAGCTCACGACCTCACATTCACCAGGAAGGTGCTTGCGCTGCTGAGCTAAATCCCCAGCCCTTTTTTGTCTTTTTTTTGAGACAAGGTTTCATTATGTAGTTCACGCTGGCCCTGAACTCACTGTGTAGCCCAGGCTGGCTTCAAACTCGCAGTGATCCTCCTGCCTCAGTCTCCCAAGTGCTGGGATTGCAGGTGTGTGCCACCATGCCTGGCTTGTCTCAAAAGAGGGTAAACCTTGAGCCTGGGGATACAGTTCAGCAGCATAAGTGCCTGCTGGCAAGTGCAAGGTCCTGAATTCAATTCCCAGTTTAAAAAAAAAAGAAGAGAGAGAGAGAGAGAGAGAGAGAGAGAGAGAGAGAGAGAGAGAGAGGACCTCATGCTAATTATACCAAAAGAATTTTAAAAAGTTTTTTTATTTTACAAAAATTATTTTTAACTGAAAACCAACAGGGCAAAAGGAACCTTTTGAAAGTGATGACTATTTTTATCGCCTTGACTGGAGTGATAGTTTCATGGGCATAACGTCCACACCCGAACTGTACCCCTTCTGTGCGGGTTTTGTATATCCGTTAAATCCCAGGAAGGGATTACAGCTTTTTTAAAGGAGAAAATTATCATCGCAGTGAGATCGTAGCCATGCGGAAAGTGATTCCAACATGATATTAATCGTGGTTCCACTAGGAATGAAATCCCTGCCAGGTATGAAGCCCAGGATAGAGCCCTGGGCAAGCTGACTGCTACCTCCCAAGACTGCAGTGACCCAGGTGTCAGGAAAATCAAGCTGGCGCCTACCAGAGCACAGGACACGGTCCCCTAAGAGCCCCTGGTCTCCTCCTGTGGGGGCGCAGGGTCTTCTTTTTCCCTTGCTCCTCCCTGTGAGACACTCAGGACATTTAGGATGCTCGAGGTGGAGCTAAGAGCCCGGTCACTATTTGATCAGTCACAGTGAGCTGACGACAGACCGCTGGCCCAGCTCATGGGGACACCAGGCAACCGTGTGAGGCACTGCCCCAGGGGGCCCAGAGCTCTGGAACTGGCTGTTGCCTGGGTTATGAGAGCCCCCAGGTGAGGCTGGGCAGAAGGATTGTTGTGAGTTTGAAACCAACCTGAACTACACAGTGAGACCCTGTCTCAAAAAAGACAAAAAACTAAAGTGCACACACCAGGATGGCATTGGAGTGGGCAGTGTGTGGCCCTGATGGAATCGGCAGAGGGTCCAAGGCCTTCTGAAGCCTGCACTGGCTTGGATGTGAGGGCTGGTGGGGGTGTTTTCCCAGGAACGGGGGTCCCCTCAGGGTCCACATTCCCCAGAGAGCAAAGAGCATGGCTGCTGGAGGACCAATGCACTGCCCACCCGACTTTGCTTTGGCGGGCTCCTAGCCAGCCCCCCAAGCACCCCTGTACCTCCCACGAATGCAGGAAGCACCCTGTGGCTGCATGGGCAGCTGCAGCAGAGCATTCTGGAAAGAACCCAAAGCTGAGGGCTCAGAGGAGGGCAAGGGCCATGAGGTCCCTGGGGTCAGCCTCAGTCAACCCTGCCCTGGCCTCGGGCTCCACATCTGGAGTGGGATGGTCGTGGTCGCATTGCACTCTCTGGACACTGAGCTTGAGGGTTCTGCCAGCTTTGGGTCACGATTTTCTTCCCCGCCTTGTTTCTGGCTGTGCCCTCTCATCATCAGGTGCCCACAGCACCATGGGCTGAGCTAACCTCCCTGGGTGGGCCCAGGGCCTGAACCAGGCCCTGTGGCTGCCAGGGACACAGGTCCGGCTTTATCCTGAAGCCACAGAGGGCCCTGCGCTGCTCCTGTGGACCCTGGCCCTGATGTGGACCCTAACCCCAATGCGGCTCCTCCTTGAGAACCTGACCCCACTGGGTGACCTCACACTCTGCTCCCTGTGCCCAGAAAGCTCTGTGCATCCTCCCAGCCCCGATCAGCCTCCCTCCCATGAAGATGAATCCTCTGACATGGGAAGTTTGGCTCTCACTGTTCAGCCCCATGCTGCTGGCCGCAGGGAGATGGACCTCTATCGGTACTGCTGCCCACTGCCTGATGAGGGGAGAGCCTGGGCTCCCTCCTTCACGGCTGAACCCTCCGGCCTGACCTGGAGCTGCACTCAGCAGATGTGAATGAGTGAGTGAAAGAATGAATGAGTGGATGGGTAGATGGACAGATGGATGGATGGATGGACAGATGGATGACGGGTAGATGGATGGATGGACAGTGGATGGATGGCTGTGAAGGGGACAGGTGAGCCTCAGCCCCTTCCACTCCATGCCTTAGCTTATCCTGAGGGGAACACCATGTTAGCAGATGTCGTGTGTGAGAAGTGGGAGACATTTTCTCTTGCCTGGAAGTGATGTTGCAGACTCGGAGGACACCAGAAGACAGGGCTTTGCCCACCACTGGTGTAGGCTTCCGGGAGGGCAGGGACACATTCTCCAGCTCACATGGTGCAGGTCCCCCTTGGGGACAGCGGCTCCTGTGGGTTTTGTGAGGACAACACAAGTCCTGTGGAATTCGATGCAGGCACTGTGGTGCTGCCCCCGCTCGGTCACTGCCCTCCTGCCGCGGCTCTTACCACCCCCTTCTGCCTGGTGCTGGGTCTGGTGACACTTTGCAGAAGTCCCCCTTTCACTATTTTTATTTTTCTCTAAAATCATGAGGCCGGGTGGTGCACACCTATAATAGCACTGGGGGAGGCTGAGGCAGGAGGGTCACTGAGAGTTCGGGACCAGCCTGGGCTACATAGTGAGTTCATGGCCAGCCTGAATTACATAGAGAAACCAGTCTCAGAAAACAAAAAACAAAAGACCAAGGCCGGGGATGGGAAGGCAGACAGGAGCAACCAGAGGGAACCTCATCGGTGTGCTGTCTCCTGTTGGCAGGTGGGTCCCCATCTCGACACATTCCCCACCGAGGCCGACCGCCAGAGAGCATTCAAGGCCCATCGGGAAGAGCATGCTGTGCGCCAGGGCACCCTGCGCATGGGCAACTACACCCACCCCTAGGCCTCCCCGAGGCTCAGAAGCCCCCCCGAAGACTCTCCTGTCTCTGCCTCGCTCACCCCAGCTCTGGCCAGCCCCGCCCCCATTTCTCTGTGGGGTCTGCGGCCTCCCACAGCTCTTGGGTTAATTACTTTTGGTGATTCCCCCCCCCCCCAGCATCCCACTCCGGGTTTACCAGCAGGAGCCTCCACCTATGCCAGCAGCCCTCTCCTGGGACGCCCCTCCTGGCCGGCTCCCCTGCTTCTCTCCCAAGCCCTCACCTGCCAAGCCAACTCCAAATGACAAGGCAGCTTTTAACTACCCAGGCCAAGGCTGGGATCGCTGGCACTGCCCGCTGGCGATGAGACCGGCCATGCGTTTCTGGCGGAATGCCAGACGCTGCCATGCTCTGAAAGCCCTCGTCTTATGTTCCAAACATGAGCTCTAGCTGCCTTTTTTGGGGTGGCTGGTGTTCCTCACCCAGACAGAAGTCTCTCTCTGGGACCCCGATGGCAGGAAGAGCCCATGGTTCATCCCTGGGGCAGCCCCACCCCTCTGAGCCAGGGCCTTCCATCAGGCAGGCTGGTGGCCTTCTCCATGGAGACCAGGGTGTCGCCTGTCCTGGAGAGGCTGGAGTGACCAGGGTGCAGAGCTTCTTTCTATCTTTCTCAGGGTCTTTGACTTTTCTCCATGAATTACAGGCCGCTGTGTCTGGTGAAAGAGGCTCTCTGTCCTGGTCCCCTGGGTCTTTCTGTGAAAACCAACAGACGCCTAACTGTTGGGGGAGCTGCACTGAGGTTTGGCAGGTGCTACTTGGGCACTCCGGGACTCCCCAAGACACATGACCTGGGCCAGCCACGTGCCCTGCCTTCCAACACCATTTCCAGCCCCAGGGTCCCCAGTGCTGACCTACAGTCTGCAGTTCTCCCCAGGGTTCTGTCTGGTCCCCTGTCGCCCAGCAAGTGTATGGCGCTCACCTCCAGCCAGCGAGGCAGAGGCTCCCCTCAAACCCACCTCCCTATGCCTTTCCCAGGCCATAAACAAAATTGACATCTAGGCGGCTGCCTGCCGAACAAACGTCTCTCTGCCCCCCCCCCCCAATCCCTCACAAACTGTCCGTGTTACCTGCAAAACCGCCGCTAGGGGCAGGCCCGGCCCTGGACCCCTGCCCCACCGCCCTAGAACTGAGCCCCTGGTCACCGGGGTCCGTCTGCCCTCTGGCTCCTCACACAGCCCCCACTTGTGGCAGAGCAGCCCCTTTCCCCTTGGTGGCCCCTGCAGCTTCCCCCGCGCCCCCTCCATGGGCTCCAGGCTTGCTTTTCTCTGTGCCCACAGTCCTCGAGCTCCCCACAACCCTCGAGCCCCCCCACCCCCACCCCTCGATCCCCTGCAGCCTCCTGCAGCTCGGACCATGGCCCAGCCTCCCCTGAAGCCCTGCCTGGACACAGCCCGTGGGTTCCCGCAGGCCAGCTCTGTTCTGTGCAGCAGCCTCCTCGCCTGCCTCTAGTCGGGGAGTGAGCCCTTCCCAGCAGGGTCTAAGACCCCAGGGTCCAAGTCCCACACAGCTCCACAGTGTTGGGCACAAGCACGTGTCATCTGACGGGGAGACACCCATTTTGAGGTTTTTGTTTTTTGGTTTTGTGGTGCTGGAGCTCAAAGCTAGAGGTACAGGCAAGCACTCTTTTTTTGGGCGATGTATGTGTATGTGTGTGCGTGCCGGGGATTGAACTCACAACCTGATGCTTACCACACAGGCACTTGTACTGCTGAGCTAAACCCCTGGCCCCGAGATGCCCATCCTAGTGGATGTCCGGGGGCCTGGACAGCCGCTACAGCACAGGTCTGAGTGAGCACCCCCCTCCCCGCATGCTGTGCCCCCATGAGAGGCCGGTTCACAGCCATGAGTGCCTGGGCTTCCAGGATCTGGGAGGCTGACGCCGAAGGATCACAAGTTAGAGCGCAACCTGGTCAGCACAGTGGATATCCAGCCCCGAGAGCGATGAGGGACACAGGAAGGATGGGCCACGGGGCCGCGGTGCCAAGCAGGAAAAGTTCTGAATGGAGGGGGGTTAGCTCTAAAAGCTCGGGGCGAAGGGAGGCAGAAGGGTTTCCTGAAGGATCCAGAAGTGGGCTCGCAGCTCCAGGAAGTTCTCCCTCACCCCTTTGCCCGCACGCACGCATGCCGTGAGTTTTGCTAGGGCTGTGACAAGAGGGGCGAGCGGCGCCCAGACGCCCTCCGGGAGAGGGGGCCCCCAGCTGCCTGCAGCCTCTCCGCGGAGACCTCGGCTCCTTGTCCTACAGCGCCACCCACTGGCCAGTGGACGCGGACGCGGAGGCGGAGGCTGCCGGGCCTCAAGGAGCTCCCTGCCCGCGCACCTGAGCCCCGCCTCTGCCTCCAGGCTGCTCCCCACCTCGGGGCTCTCCTGACCTCCCTGGAGCGCGGCCTGGTGTGGGGGGCACCTTCGGGACCCAGGCAGAGCCCAGCTAGGGGCTCCCGCACCCAGGGCAGCGCCCCCTGGGCAGGGGCGCAGGAGCCGGCCTGAGCCAGCGGCGTCAGTGCAGGGCGCAGAGCCGGACGCCCACGGTGCGCTCGGTGGAGGGCGCGTGGCTGGGGAGCATGGCCTCCCACCCCCATCCTCCCTGTCCTCCCGCGCACACACACACACACACACAGCCGATGCCCTGGGCAACCAGACAGGCACGGTGGAGGCGCAGCCTTGGGCTTCGATCCCGCACACACCAGAGAAGCCTGAGTGCCGGCTCCACAGCCTGCAGCTGGGCTGGACTCGCCCGTCCGCTGAGATTCCCTGATCCCCACTGGGGCGGGAGAGGGGCAAGCCCCGGGGAGGGGACCTGCGGTGGGGAAGGGGCGCCAGAGATTTGAGATGAGCCTTGGGGAAGGCCATCTAGAGGAGCCCGGCGGGCGGCAGAGCTCTGGGCAGCAAGACCAGGGCCTGCAGGCCTCCTGTTCCTTCTGTTTCCAGATTTACAGCCCAGAACCCAAACCTCTTTGCTTCCCTCCCCCCTATCCTCCCCTCCCTTCCCTCTCTCCTTCTATCCTCTCATGCATACCAGGTAACTGATATTTTTCTTGGGCAGAAGGAGGAGGAGGAAGGTGCCGGGGTGGGTGTCTATGCTTCCTGCCTGGCTGGGCTCCAGAGAAAGCCTCTCACAGCCACAGCTCCTGCCCAGCGCCCAGGGAGGCAGGAGGGTGTGGAGACCGCGCCTCTGCCTGGCAGAAAGCAAACCTCTCTGCCTGGAAAGGAGTTGGACTCCGCCCTGCACACAACCGAGGGCCTTCACCTGCCTGCCTCTTCTTGCTGCGTTTGTTTCTCCTCCAAAAACAGATTTTTTGGACTCATCCTGGGGTGGCTGGGTGTACACAGGTTCCTAGAATTAAATGCAGATAAATTCTACAGCTATAAATCTATATAAATGGAATATTTCTATGCAGGGGGATTTTTTTCTTTCTTTTCTGGGCTGGGGATGGAAGCCAGGGCTTTGGGCATGCTGGGCCCCACACCCCTAGGCGGGGTCACCCAGCTGTTTACCACGCATCCTGTGAGCTGTCCGGACTCCATGATTCCCATTGCCTAGCGGGAGGCACAGGGTGCAATACCTGCTTCACAGGAAGGAAGAAAAGAGGGACCCCGGTAGCTCAGCAGCACAAGCGCCTGCCTGCCAAGTACAAGGTCAGGAGTTCGATCCCTGGTACCCACCACACCCCTCTCCAAAAAAAAGAAGAGAAGTGGAGAAATGGCAGTTCCCTTCCACTTTTCCCAGTGCCCAGGGTTTCACCCTCTACAAACAGCCTGGCTGCGAGGGCCGCTGCTCCTTGCTCCTGTAGCCCATCTGCCTGTAAAGCAGAGAGATGCTGTGCCCATGCCTGGCCTGCCTTACCCAAGTCCTCCACCCTAAGAAATGGGGGCCAGGTCTGTAACCTCAACACCGGGAGAGGCTGAAACAGGAGGGCTGAAAGCTTGAGCCCAACCTGGGCAACTTAGTTGAGACCCTGCTTCCAAGTAAAATGGGAAAAAGAAGGGCTGGAGATGGAGTTCCATGAAGGGCCTGGGTTCAATTCCCAGATGAGCAAGATAAATAGAAAAAAACAAACAAACCTGGGCAAACAAGGGTACCAAGTAAGAAGGGTACTGGGGTGCCTGGCCTGGGGGCTCTCACCTGCCAGAGAGGAGAAGCTCTGTTAGCAGCCAAGAGCAAAGATTCCTTACTACAACCATGAGAATTCACATAATCCCCATTTTTTCCCCTATCTTTTTGAGACAGGGTCTCACTATGCAGTTCAGGATGGCCTGGAGCTCACTTTGTATCCCAGGCTGGACTTGAACTTGCAATGATCTTCCTGCCTCAGCCTCCCGAGTGCTGGGAATACAGGCATGCACCACTACACCTGACTCATAATCCCCATTTTATAGCTCAAAACCCCCAAAAAGTTCCCAAAGCTATTTGCTTTAAGAAATGAAAACCAAACCAAACCAAAACAAAAGTAACCTTAGCTACCAACCTGATTTTCTTAGCAGTCACTGAGAAGGGCTGGGGTATAAAACCTACCTAAAGGTGCAAAATTTAAGGGAGGGTCCAGAAACCTCAGTAGCCAAGACAATATTTTATTTTGTTATTCTAAATTAGCCTTGAGCCTATGTGGCTTCTCCTGCCTCAGCTTCCCATGTGCTGGTATTACAAGTGTGCATCCCCACACTGCACTGATCAAGATGATATTTTCATGCAATATTTTCAAATCAGTGTTTTAAAACCGGGTGTGGTGGCGCACTCTTGTCATCCCAGCACTTAGGAGGCTGAAGCGGGAGGATTGTTTGCAAGTTCAAGACCAGCCTGGGCTACAAAGTGAGCTCAATGCACCCTGAACTGCATAGTGAGACCCTGTCTCAAAAAGACATGAATAAGTAAATGTTTTTAAATCTACGATGGATTAAACATCAACATTTTAAATAAGGATTTGCTGATGTACCAAGTCCTAGCCTTGGATTTCAGAGCCAGGATTCTGACTGCTCTGGCTGACTTTGGAGCGGTGTCCTTGAACTCCCAGCCCCATTATGCTGCCCCTAGATACCTGGGACCAATCCCTGTATGGGCAGAGACCCTAGGACCATTCTCTAAAAGATGTTTATGGGTTGTGTCTCCGCCTGCTGAGCCAGGTGAGCAAATGGGCACAAACCACCCTTTCTCCAGCCCCAGAGCTGTACAGTGTGGGGCAGACAGGGTGGGGCTGGGAAGGAGGGAAGCCCAGCTGGCCCAGAGCCCCTTGGGGTAGGAAGTGGACTTGGGGAACCCAGGAGAGCTGCCCAGCATGCACACAGCACCACAGCCTGTGGAGGGTGCTCTCTTCCTGTCCCACCTCCGCCAGCGGGTGCATTTGGACCTGCCGGGCTCCTGGCCCAAGAGAGCGGAAAGACCTCAGAGAAATCGATCTTCAGGGACAGGGCCAGCAGGGCCGGAGTCTGGAAGGGAGCGGTTTCAAGGGGAAGGAGGAAGCTAGGGAAAAGGGCGTGAGGTCCTGAACACAGAAAGCAGACTGACGGACTGCACCCAGGAGTGGGGAGTGGCGGTGCTGCCTGCCCCAGGAGAGCCCCACCCCACCCGGGAGGTCCTCCCTTCAAGTCTGCAGGCTCCGAACCCCTCAGCCAAGCCCCAAGAAATGCTGGGGGAGGAGGCGAGGTTGAGAGAGCGCAGGCAACTTGCTAAGGTTCACACCCTGCTGCTTGGGACCTGAGAGCTCTGAGGGCCTCCTGTCCCGCTAAGTCTCTGCCAACTGTCTCCTAGAGCCTAGAGTCTCCCGTGTGTCCCCGTGCTCCTTCCCAGCTAGGCACGGGCTCAGGTGCTCACACAGGAGCCCTTGAGCTGTGGACAGGTGGGGATGGGAGCCCTGGATGTTGGAGGAGGGAGGCGGGAGGAGGCCCCTGGCTAGCACTGCCCGGAGAGTCCCCCATGTTAGCTAGAGAGGGCTAAATCCCAGAGTAAATTTCAAACGAAATAATTCACCTAGCATGTTCTATATTCTAAGGCACAGCAACAACTCAATGCAAATGAGAGTCCACTAACGACCATTAAGTATTCTTGGGCCTCCGGGCAGACGGAGAGGCCGGCAGGCTGTAGGAGGTCAGCATGCTTGCTGCTCCCCTTCGACACCCAGAGCGGCTCCTGCCCGCCGCGGCTCCTGCTCTGATCAAGCGGCGCCTAATACAGCCTGCTGCCCTGCTTCTGTCACGGGGTCCCAGGTCCAAGCACCGGTGTAAGAGCAGAGGCCAGACCAGGTTCCAGCATGGCCAGCAGCACTCCCAGGCCGGCTAGGGCAGGGATGCTGGGGACCTGCTGCCGGCAAGGGGACAGCAGATCTCCCGGGACCTGGAGTCCTTATGCTCTGGCCCAGAGCAGTCTCCCACTGACAGGCACAGGGCAGAGGTGTCAGGACTCGGATGCCACAGGGGAGGAGGGTTCTCCAGGGGTGCACGTGAGACTGGGAGAAGCAAAGGAGGATGGAAGTGAGTGGAAATCGAGGTCTCTCCAGGCTCCTGAAGCAGGAGAGAGGCCTGAGGCTGGGGCTAGCAGGAAAAGACTCCACTTGATGTATGACCCAATCCCCCATCCGCCAATGGAAAAGGAACCACTGGCCCGCGGGAGGCACCCAGGGCCCGAGGCTGAGTTGGGGCCAGGCCCCCGCTCTTGCCGGCCTGACAGCTTGCAGCCGAGCCCAGCCTGTGTCCCCCGGGAGCCGCGGGTCCTAGCCCCCAGCCCAGCCGCCGGCATGGCCGCTTCCAATCTGCTGCCGGGTGCAGGGGGAGCGTGTGGAGGTGTGGAGCTGGGCGCAAGGCCACAGCTACCCGGCCTGGCCCTGCCTGGCCCGCGGGAGGGGAAAGTTTCTGCTACTCTGGGTTTCATGGGCATCCATCGCAGGGGTCTTGGGTTTGGTGATGCAAGCACCTAACCATTCTGGATTCTGTGCCGATCCACGGTCGGGGAGGTTTTCTGGAGCCCATTGTGGGGAGCAGGAGCGTGGTTGGGCTGGCTGAGGTCTGGGCTGGGACTGCCAGAGGCCCTCAGTGGAAGCGCAGAGCCGGCTGGCTCTCAGACCTGGGACTCAGCCCTGGGGCTGCTTCCAGAGAACCAGGCCCAGGACACTGTCTGAATCTGCCTGGGGTCCTGGGCTCTGGCACCCCAGAACGAGGAAGCGAGGCCCTGTGGTGGGGTGTGGAGGGCAAGGGGCCACCTTATTCTCCGGGAAGAGGTGGTGTGTACAGCGCTGCCCTTGAAACAAGCTCCGGCTCCGTGGAGTAAGAAGGCACCGTGTGTGGAGGCACAGGCTCCAGCTCCCCAGGCCTGGGCCACAGGGAGGTCAGGGGCCGGGTGGGGGTCGCTGCTGCTTTTCCCTCCCTGCCTTCCTTGAGCCACAAGAGTCCTCAGTGCCCCGGCCTCGGGATCTTCCCACGGTCTCCACCTCTGCCCCAGGGTGAAGGCAGCAGTCACCGTTCAGTTCGCTTCCCGGGACACCAGGACTGCAGGGCCCAAAGAGGCCAGAAAGAAAGGACGGCAAATTGCCCTACCCGGAAAGCATCTAGAACCCATTGGGGATCTACCCTAAAGCAGCAGAAATCAAATGCCATTCCCCAAACTAGGAAAGGGATTCTGTATTTCGCACTTCTTTCTTTCTCGGTAGGTTTAAGACCTTCTCGTTTCTGTAAGAAGTAAGACAGAGGAGGAAAAAAAAGAATCCATGGCAGACTCGCAGCCGAGGAACTTGGACATCGTGGGGAGGGGTCGCGAGGCTTCGAAACCGCCGTCACCCGCCATCCCCACCCGGGGCGCCCGGGCCTCCCCCGCGCCCGCCCCCCCTCCCCGCTAATCACCCTCATTAGGGGCCTCATCACCAGCCTAATGAAAGCAAACCGCGTGGAAATCGCCGGTAAACAGTTGGGTCTGCGCTGTAATTAATTCAGTGTCTCTTTTAATCAAACCGAAAAGAAATCGGGAAGCAGCTTGCGGAGTCGTGACATCACCCCCAAAATCGGCCAGAGCCAATCAGCGCCACCACTCCGGGGACACGTGGGCGCGTCCCCTTAAAAAAAAACACAACACAATGGGGGGGGAGGAGAGAGAGAAATAACAACCAAAAAAAAAAAAAAAACCCGGACTCGAAGTAAAAGTGACACAAGTTCATTTTTTAGAGGAAGGGGGGAGGCAGGGCGCGCGGCGGACCTGCGGAGCGAGCGCCGGGAGCCCCGGCGCTGTCCACGGTGCTGACCGGACCCGGCGCGGCGCGGACCTGCGGGCAGGTGCCGCGGGATGGTTCTCCGGCCGCCGCCACTCTCCGCGGTGCTGGTGCCGCCGCCGCCGCCGCCAGGTGCGCTCCGAGCCGCCGGCCGCTAGCCCGGCCTGGGCCCGCCGCTCTCCGCGGTGCTGACCCCGCCGCCCTCGGCCGCCACTTGCCTGGAGGAAGCGCACGTTCGGATCTTTCAAAGCCGTCCTTTATTCAGATTCCGCCATCCTCGTTTATCCTCCGTGCCAGAGGCGCCCTCGGGCCGTCCGTCTCCCCCTTCGCGCTCCCCAACTTGGCGCGCCCTCCTCCCTTCCCTCCCCGACACTCCCACCGCCCCCCCCTGGGCTCGGCGGCTCCGCGCGATGCTGCAGAAGACGACGCGCTGAGCCCTTCTGGATCTAATGCGCAGAGGAGCTTGGCCCCGAGCTCCCGGGCTCGCCCAAGGCTGAACTCCGTCCAAGGTGCCCGCAGGCTCCCTGCCCGCCTTCCCCATGCCAGCCCGCAGCTAGGGGCAGGGGCAGCGGCGGCTGGGGTTGGGGGGTGGGTGGGGAGCTTTTGGGGAGGACAGGTCGCAGCTTGGCGATGGAAGGCTCCAATGGCTTTGGGATCGACTCCATTCTCTCCCACCGTGCGAGCAGCCCCGCCCTTCCCAAGGGGGACCACTTGCTGGGGGACTGCCGCTCACCCTTGGAGCTGAGTCCGCGCTCCGAGAGCAGCAGCGGCTGCTCTTCACCAGCCTCCCCGGGAAGGGACTGTCTGGAGACAGGCACTCCGCGGCCCAGCGGGGCATCCGGCCCAGGCTTGGACTCCCATCTGCAGGCCGGGCAGCTCTCTGCCCCTGCCCAGTCGCGCACCGTCACCTCCTCCTTTCTGATCAGGGACATCCTCGCTGACTGCAAACCACTCGCCGCCTGTGCGCCCTATTCCAGCAGCGGGCAACCAACGGCCCCTGAGCCTGGGGGCCGCCTTGCGGCCAAGGCCGGGGAGGACTTTAGAGACAAGCTGGACAAAAGTGGCAGCAATGCCTCATCGGACTCTGAGTATAAAGGTAAGAAGCCAGGAGGTGAGAACTCAGGGGGCGGTAGATTGATAAAAATGCGTGCATAAAACTTGAGCGCAAGCTCTCAGAAATATGTACACGCTTGCCTCGCTTCCCCAGGGCCCCAGCTGAGCGGCTGAGCGCTTGGTCTGGTCTGAGCCTTTTGGGTGGCCAGGCCCATGCTTTTACCTTTGAGCAACAAAGGGTGCCTTGGAGAGAGTGGGGGTCTGTGGAGAGAGGAGAGAGACCCCCCAAATGTGCAAAGCTAACTTTTGAAACTTTGACTGGGACCACCACCCTCCTCCCAACAGTGGTTCTGTTGGGCAGGAGCAAGGTCTTTCTAGCCATTGGTATCTGGGAAGAGACCTTGGGGGGATGGAAGACCCAAAGGGAAAAGGGTTGCTCTACAAGAGTGAGCTTCTGGCAGGAAATTTTCAGCAGCAGCTTTGAGTACAGTCAGAATTTTCCACCCTTTAATCTGAACCCTCCCCGCCCCATAAGAAACTGGCCTTTCCCTCCCACTGGGCCCAGTGCATGTGGGCCTGTGAATCTTGCAAAGGAAACACTGACTTCAAAGGAGAAACAGCAGCTCGGCACTGGCTGGAGCAGATTCAGAGGTCTGGCGGCAAGGGAAAGGCCCCAAACCCACACAGCCATCCTCAGTGAATTTCGTTAAATTCTTCAAGCAATGAAATCCAGCTTTCATGGGAGACCAGATTCCCAAGTCTGCCAGCCCTGAACCCACCAGGTTGGGGCCGCTGCCCCCTCCCTTGTCTTTTTTACCCAGCGAATCTTTGTGTTGTTTAGGATCCCTTTTCATTGCGTCTTAACCGAGGGGCTAAGATCAGGCTTAGGAGGAAAAGGGGGGGGGGGGAGAAGATAAAGGAAAGAATGGGGGCAGGGGGAGGACAGGGAGCCCTGGTTTTGCTTCAGATCTTGCGCTCTTGTACAGGGGCCAGAGGCACTGAGTTCTTTCTGGGAAGACATCAAGGGGCAAAAGTGGAGGGGAGCTGGGAGACTGAGGTGGGGTTTGGGGGGACACAGCTGTGTCCTCGGTGCCCCAGTACAGAACTAGGAGCTGGCAGAAGCTGTGTGTAGCTCTTTCAGGATTATAATGAATTCCTGAAACCCTTTTCCTGAGACTAAAATTTCCCTACAAAAGGCAACTCGTGCATTGTCTGGGGTCTACATCTCCTGGCCCTTATTTCTACCGCACCCTCACCAAATTTAGGGAGGCTCCTTTGATATCCCCTTCCAACCAAGAACTGGCCTGAGGACTGATCCTGAGGCCCAACCTGAACCCCACCGGGGTCCCACCCCACATTCTGTTTTTCTCTCTGGTTCCCCTATGTGGGGCTCCTTCAATCAGACTAGACCGGCCTCCCCTGGAAACGCACAGGTTCACCCAGACCAGAGCACGGGGAGACATGTCACCCCTGCTCCTTCCCTGGGGACCTGCTGTGGTAGAGTGGACCAGCCTCGGGGTTTTAAAAACTCAGTCCCTGTGGTTTTAAAAACTCAGTGCGCACCTGTGTGGGTGTGTGAGCGTGTGGAGATGGCGAAAATATAACTTAGCGCATCATCTTTTATTATTTACAATTTGCCACAACAACCACCACTTCCCATGATCGCGGGTAGAGCTGGGGGAAGAATCTGCAGGCCTGCATGCAGGAACAGTTTATTCCTGAGAGGTTTCATTTAAGGTAATTGGAGTATCAGTTTTCTTCCTCCTTCTCTGACGATACCTGATCTGGAAGGTGCCGGGAGGGCCGACTGCACATGGCTTAGATAGGTTTGGAGCAGGAGAGAGGTCTTTCCAGGTCCTCAGAGTTGCCAACTTTATACCTAAAAAAGTCCCAAGTGAAAAGGGGAGTAGACATCGGCCATGCAGGCCACGCCTGGAGCTTTTGTCAGACGTGGCGCGACTTTTAGAGCCCAAGTTGGGCAGCCTGATGGAGAGCCAGAGTCCGAGGAGCCAGACCTCGCGGACATTCAAAGCAACTCCCCCAGTAATTTCCTCCAAAGGAAGGCAGCGGCAAAGACCACGTATCAAAGGCTCCTCAAAGGCAATGTCCACAAAGCTGAAACCAGGCTTTGATGTGAGGCGGTCAGCATAGAAAGGGCTGTAGCCCAGGTCCAGGGAGAAACAAAACTCTCAGGCAGGGAGGGTTACCGGGGCTCCCACTCCGAACGCCCAGAGGCAGCTTCCAGAGCGAAGTCTGGGACCTGGAGGTCCTGTTGGCTGTGTCTGTCCGGGAGGCTGAGACAGCTGTTCCAGGTGTGCCTCCAAAGGCCCTATCTATCCTGCACTGAGCAGGGACTGAGTTTTTAAAACCCCGAGGCTGGTCCACTCTACTACAGCAGGGGATTTTTAAGAAATAGTATGGGGCTGGAGATTTAGCTCAGTGGCATAAGCGCCTGCCTTGCAAGCAGGCAGTTGTTGAATTCGATCCCTGGTACCGATAAAAACGAAAAAGACAAAAAAAAAATAGTTCAGATAATTAGATCAAATAGTAAGAGTTCTACACTAGCAAGTTTGAGGTCTGGATAGTCATCACCTTGGATTTATTTAAACATCCCCAACCTGCACACACAACTCATTCTCCCCTTGCACAAATAGGTCCCCGTCTCTGGCAGCACCCAGAGTCCAGTCCTCCTCCTGGTGAGCAGAGGAAGCTGGGTCTGGCCAGTCCCTGCTGGGCACTCTCCGCAAGTGCTGCTTGGGTGCACCCGGTGCCCGGTGCCTTCCCTGCCCAGAAAGTGCAGCCTTTCCAGCTGAAAAGCCCAAGCTCCCTAGCGGCTCAATTAACTGGATTATTGTTTCCTACAGAGAGAAATCAACTCGCATTCAGCTGAACCCTGTCACTGCAAACGCCATGCACAATGAAACTCACCATAAAAGAAAAGGGGGAAGGGGAGGGCTGTGGGGGAGGATACGGTGAGGAAAGTGCAGCCCGCACCCTCAGATTTGGGGCGGTGGCCATTGCGGCTACCCGGCCTCTGCAGGAGGAGCGGGCGCGGAGTGCAGCGCTCCTGGAAGTGTGCGCTTCCCCACAGTCAGCCGGAACCAAAGCGGGGAAACGAAACCCCCGGGCCGGTTCCGATCTTGGTCCTCAGAAGCAGGGACTCAAGGGCCATAAAGGTGATCGCCATGTGGGTGCCATGGGACCCACAGAGGGCAGAGTGCCGACCACGAAAACCAGAGCGCTGCCGCGCACAGGGCCCAGGGCAGCGGGCCGGAGCCGCCCGTTCTCCCTGGTGCGCGGTGCTCTCCACCTGGCCTTCCTTCCACCACGAGGTTTGCGGGCGGGTCGTGGGAGGCATCTGGGAAAACTCTGCTGTGGATCTAAATGGGGTCAGGTGGGGTTGGACACAGTTCTATGTTCTGGAGAGCAGGAACTGCTGCTGCGTGGCAAGCGGAATTTCTTCCCTCCATGCGGGTTTCTCTCCTGATCTCGGCGCTCAGCTCCCTCCCTTGCCCTCTCCCGCACTGCAGAGCAGAAGAGGCCCGGTGTGGCTGCTATAGCTCAACCCAGGTCTCCTGTCTGGGGGTCAGTCTGGCTCCCCTGGGGCTCCTTCTCTGTCTCCCCAGAGCATGCTCAGGCTCTGTGCGGGGCGGCAGGGACAACGCCGCTCTGCGCTCTGCCTGTGGGGCTCAGGCTTTTTCTCCCTGGAGCTGCAAGCCCACTTGGGCTTGGCCGCTCTCTTTTCTGTGCCCTTCGCCAGGGTGGATGCCCTGTTCTCAGGTGCCTGGGTGTCCCGGCTTCAGTAACCATGTTGCGGCCCCTGCGCAGGGCCACAGCGGCCGGGAGGCTGGCCCTGGCTGCAGGAGGAGCGGGAGCCCTGTGTGAGGCCGGCCCTGATGCGCCGCTGTGTCTCTGCAGTGAAGGAGGAGGGCGACCGTGAGATCTCCAGCTCCCGGGACAGCCCCCCGGTGCGCCTGAAGAAGCCACGAAAGGCGCGCACAGCCTTCACCGACCATCAGCTGGCGCAGCTGGAGCGCAGCTTTGAGCGGCAGAAGTACCTGAGCGTGCAGGACCGCATGGAACTGGCAGCCTCGCTCAACCTCACTGACACGCAGGTCAAGACCTGGTACCAGAACCGCAGGTGAGGCCCCACTGCACTGCACTGGGGACCTGGGAACAGGGGTGCTCCACTCCTTGCAGCTCCATACAGGGGACCCAGAGTCCGCAGCCTGGGATCAGGGAAAGGCCTCTGCAACTCCCCACTTCGGGGAAAGTGGGGAAACAGAGTCTTTGAGAGGTGAAGGCTTTGATCAAAGTCCCACAGTAGGGACAGGAAGCAGATAGGCTTGGCATCTGGGACAGGTGGTCGGACACGACCATTGAGGCCGGGTGATTTGAGCCTTAGGGCTACGTTCTGCTCTGCATGCTGGTGGTGAAGCCAAGCGCTTCCTCCTCCGGCTCCACCCTGCAGTTCCTGGGGCTTGGCCTCAGTGCTTCCTGGGATGGAGTGACGGGCCCTGCACTTGAATCTGATTCCTAATCTTCCAAAAATCACCCACAGGATTCAGGTGTGACACACACACTTGGCCTACATGATACATGGACACAGAATGACAGGGCCCAAGGTTACATGTGTGTGCGTGCACAGCATGCACGCGCGCGCGCGCACACACACACACACACACACACCCCGGACTATCACCTACTTAGCGGAGGCAGGAATGGTGCTCCTCATAAACAAGCCTTGGAACACACAGTCCCATTAATAATAAATCCCGATTAGTGCTCCAGGCATCAATAATTAAGGCCTGTTGCAGTAATTACACAATTATGATGGTGATGAATAATTCAGGGAGGGAAGGACTGGCGGGGCTGAGCCCACCTCAATGCGATGCCCCGGCTGGCTTGCCGGCACCCCTGCTCCCATGCAGGTGAGCCCAGGGCTCCAGGCCTGCTCCCCCCCCAACTCCTGGGCCAATAGGACCTGACAGGGAGCAGGGCTCACTCACACGGGCCTCTGACCTGGGTGGCCCACTGCGCTGTGGTGCTGTGGGTGCCGCTGCCCTCTGGAGAAGCTAAGGTGCGCACCCCATCCTGCCTGCTTGTGTCTGCAGAGATGGGCTCCAGGGTTACTGGGGTGCCTGACTCTGCAGCTTTCATAGGTCTTCCCAGGGGACACAGATGCAGGGGGACCCCAACACCCAGCTCCATTGGCCCCTAACTGCAATCCCCAGCGCAGAAAGTTATAGCCTAGCTCTGGGGTCAAAAAGCTTGGATTAGAGTCTCCGACTATAGATTTCTAGATCTTTTACCCTGGCCCACACTTCACGCCCCTCTCCCTCGCACCTCAGTACTGGGGTTCAACCCAGGGACACTGCCACTGAACTACCTCTGCAACTCTCTCTCATTTTTTTTTCTTTAATTTGGAGGTAGGGTCTAATTTGTCCAGGCTGGTCTCAAATTTGTGGTCCTCCTGCCTCAGCCTCCCGGAGGGTTGAGATTATAGGTGTGCACCACCATGCCAGTTTTAAAATCTGTAAGATGGAAATCAGAGCATAAAATCCAAGAGGAAATGAAAGCAGAGAATAATGAGCCAGGCATTCCAGTATTTATTAACCCTGCAGGCTCTCTGGGCCCAACACTCCAGAGGGACAGGGGTTCCAGGTACCTCAGTCATTACCCTGCGGTACTTTTTCCCCCCCCTCGGTCCCCAGGACTAAATGGAAGCGACAGACTGCCGTCGGGCTGGAGCTACTGGCCGAGGCAGGCAATTACTCAGCGCTCCAGCGGATGTTCCCGTCGCCTTATTTCTACCCCCAGAGTCTGGTCTCCAACCTGGACCCAGGCGCAGCGCTCTACCTGTACCGCGGCCCGAGCGCACCGCCGCCCGCGCTGCAGAGGCCGCTGGTGCCCCGCATCCTCATCCACGGACTCCAGGGCGCCGGCGAGCCGCCCCCGCCGCTGCCCCCGCTGGCCGGCGTCCTCCCACGCGCCGCGCAGCCCCGGTGAGGCGCCTGCAGCCCTGCCCAGCGCCCGGGCTCAGCGCCCCCAGGGGCTCGATGCCAAGTCCACCGGCGCCCCTACGGGATTGGGCCGCGCCTCTTCTGCCCCACTGCGTCCTTGCCATCTGCCGGGTGCACATGCGTCTCCTCCGCGCACCTCCACCCTCCCAGTGCCCGCCGGCCCCCCTAGGCGGTCCTGAGGCTCTGGGACTTGTGGGTGACCTGTGCTTCGCTCCCTCACCCCTTCCTGCTTCAACGGGGGACCTAGCTTCTCCCCACCCCACACGGTGGGAGGCTGGCCCCCTCCTGCTGCCCGTGCCCTCGGTGGCTGAGCTGTACATAACGTGTGCAAAGTGTATATGAAGTTATTTATTCGTGACCCCTGAGCCTGTGACCGTGTCCGTGAATCAGTGAGTCTGTGGCCTGCGCCCTCCCCTCCCCAGGAAGGGCCCAGGGGACCTGCTCACCGACCCTGGCCCCAGTGTCCACCTCTGTCTCATCCCGGGGACAACCAGGCCTCTTGGGTTCCCTGTCTTTTTTAAAGATTGAAATAAACTTCTTACAAATGACCAGGCGCCTGTCCGCGCTCCATCGTGGGTCTGTGCCCAGGTCCAACCCAAGAGCCTTTTGCCTGTCCTGGGTCTCCAAAGAAGGAAACTTTCACACCTTTCTCCTGGGTGCTGCAGTCTTGTAGGGAACCTGGCAGGCAGGGCGTGCAGGGTCCTGGGCAGCTGGCGCCACCACCTGGCCTCAGTCTTACGTCTCTACAGCGAGGGAAGCTCATACTCCACTCCCCCTCTCCATCTGGTTCCTCGGGTCCCAGACAGGGCTGGGGCCCCGATGGGGGTCAGCCCCCAGCTCCCTGGCTGCTGCTAAACTGCAGCGCCCTTGCTGAGCCGACTCATCTGGCTGAGACGAGGATGCTGGCAGCTGGTCACTGGCCCGCTGGTCTCGGGGCCGACAGATGGACTCCGAGGCTGATCCCCACTTCACCCTCCTCTGCCCGGTGCCCCCAGCATCCATGGGGGTCTGACGCTGGTGGGCATGAGCGGCACCTGGCCTTTGGTGCCAGTTAGGACCTTGTGCCCCTTCTCTATGGGCCTGATGCGGTACTGGGTAACTTCGTACTCTTGTGACCCCTCACTTTCCTATGGCCCTAGGAGGAAGCTGGAAGGTACAGAAAAGAGCCCAATTCCCATTCTCAGGAGGGGCCGAGTCTCCAGCCAGACTCCAGATCACGTTCGGAGGGCCAATGTCACCTAAGGCCATTCTTCTCTGGGGAAGTGGGGGGAGGAGGGGTCCCCCTGAGCGCAGCACCTGCAGCAGTGCACCCAAGGCAGGAACTGTGGGTGCCAGGAAAGCTGGAGCATGCACCCCTTTCCTGGGAGATGAAGGGGCAGGAGAGGATGGGGTGTGCTCAGGCTGTAACCCCCAAAACCAGACTCACAGGTCTGCTACTGTTTTCCTCCCCCTTTCCTGGGGTGGCCAGGGTATTATTCTAATTTTGCAAAGTGCACAGCAGCTAATTAAGTCAAGGGCCCTCGGCCTTTGAGTTCTTTTGCATGTGAATGGGGGCTGGTAAATCCCAAGTTCTGGCAGCGGTGGGACCGAGGGGGTACCATCCCCAACTCAGGGTTAATGAAGTGGGAAAGGAGTCTCTCAGAGCCTCCTGCAAACAAAACCCCCCAGGCAACAAACCCTGCCCGATCCTACATGGATTGACTTAAACCCGGGGGATAAGTGCTTTAAATTAATCTCATTGAATAAGAATGAGACCAAACAAAACTCTTTAAAATCATATTAAAAATCTATCAAAGGACAACTTGCACTGGTGTGCTTTTCATTTTGTGGAGTGGAGGAGGTGGCTGAGCAGCCCCTCACATTTACACAGCCGCAGTGTAAATCACAGACACATTCCCAACTATGTAATCGTCCTTGTACCTGTGAGGCCATCTCATATCTTACGTTAATGAAGAACAAGGCTCCCCTACAAGTTTATAATTACAGTACTCGGAGCTGTCCTGCACATCCCATCTGTAATAACAACTCAGGCTGCCTCGAAGTGGGCTTCTGCTCTCCGTTTAGAAGCTTAAGTGGGTTGTGTTCATGGCCCTGGAGATGGGAACATTACGGGGAGAAGGCACAGTAGACTCGACAATGTGAGGGCAATGAATTAGACTCTCCAGGGCCTACCCAAGCAAACCTGGACCCTGGGCCCCAAAGCGTGGTGGTTTTAAGGGTACCCATGGCCCTGCCAGTGATGAGCCCTCTTCTAAACGTTTCCCACAGCAGTGGCGCAGATTAAGAGACAAAGTTTCATGATCACGAAGGCCACTGAGCAAGACCAGTCAAGCATCTTCCCAAGCAAGGCAGTATTTGTGTCTGGGGGACGGCACTGGACTCACTGTGGAATCTCAAGTGCTCCACAGGGCAGTGGCTGGCTGCCTACAGGGGCCCCTCTGCTCCCCTCTCCACTGCAGGGGGCAGAGGAAAACAATCAAAGGGACGGTGGGGACATTGTCAGTGTCCTTTGGGCACCCTGCTTGGTGAGCTGGAGGATGGGTCCACATCTACTCCTGAGCCTGTGCACAGGGCCCTTCGGATGCGCAGGGGTTGCAAGCCTGCGGTGTCCTGGATCCCAGAAAAGCATCCTACAAGCCCCCCCACCCTCCCCGGGAAAAGTTTCGGGCCACAGCATGGCAGTGAGCGTCCAAATGACCTGTGACTTTCCTATGGCAGCTAGACTGATGTCACAGAGCTGGGTGAGTTTGGGAAATCAGAAACAGGCACGATTCTTCACACACACACACACACACTCTATTAGAATATGTACAGTGGAATTAGGCTACAGCTTTGCCTAATTGATGCCTGAAATGTATAATCTGTCAAGAGTTATAATGAGAGAGATTTCCTGGAAGGTTATTTAAATTTAGATAATACTAACCCTCAATCTGTTTCCTTATTAACTGGTAAGCCATGGTTTACGACTGCACAGCATCTCAGGTGTGACCCCCAAACCCTCAAGTGTGACCCCCAACCCAAGCGTTGGCAGGGGGGGTGTGCTTGCCTCCATACTGCAGTGAGCCCCCGCTACTGGGGAGGCTCTGGTCCACCCCCCCCACACACAGGGGAGCACATCTCCTTCTGATCACCCCATCCCTGGGCCTGCTTTCGAGGTGGGGTTCACTTATGGTCTGGCCTCTCCCTGCTGCACTCAGATCACCTGAGCCATGGTACCAAGACGAGAGGGAGCGGGCAGACCCAGGCAAGGCCAGTTTGATGTGTGCTGTTCTAATCCATTACGGGTGCAGACTTCAGCTACAGTCCCCAGCAGTTGCCACAATGACCGACTCTGAGGAGGTCTTGTTTCCTCCCGAGGGGGTGACCCTTGCCAGCACTCCTACCCTACTGGGCTGGTTAATCCACAGGAGCCTGGGGTCCCAGCACTCAGCCCGCAAGTGGGTTTCCCTTTGGGAAACCAAAGGGGGGCACAAGAGTAGCAGAGGAGGGAGGAGGAGGACAGGGTGGTGTGGGCTCCGAGCCCCTCCCTACGCTGTCCACCAATTACATTTATTGGGAAATCAATACACTCCGGGGGGTCCTCTTCTACCTTCCGGAAAACACAACCGGGGCAGCTGGCTCTGGGTCACCACACAAAGACCCCAGACCTCTCTCGGAGGCAAGGCTGGACTTGAGGGGAGGAAAAAAGAGCTTGGGCGAGCACTGGTGCCTTTTGACTTCAAAGGCAAATAATAAAGAGGAACAGTAAACCAATTAGCCCGAGTGTGGTTTCCGTGGACGCGAGAGGAAAGGCAATGTAAGCAGATGCGACAGCGTGTCCGCGGGCGGACAGGGGCCTGGAAAACGCCTTCCTGTTGTTAACCAGACTAAAAGCTGCTGGTCCCCTGGAACGAAGCACGTGCACATAAAGAACTACCTGGTGAACACATTTTCTCTTTTCCAATCCAGTTTTAACACCCTGCTTTGCAAGGGTCATGCAATCCAAGCCTGGGCAGGGCTGCTGTCACAGTGGGCCACCCCAGGCTCAGGATGCCATGTCCTGGAGCCCACCGAGGGTCTTAGGCTGGGCGCGCTGGATGCCGGGTGGGTCTGGTCCTGATGGCATCCACGTGGCCTCCTTCTGCAGTCAGGGCTGGCTGGCGTTGTGCCTGTGGGCCCTGTGCCACTCCTACCCAGGGCTCCCATGCATCCTGGGGACTTGGTGCTCAGGGCAAGATGTCACAGGCACCTTCCAAATGAAAAGATGCCCGCTGGGACCTCCAGGACCCGCTCTGAGCCAGTCCTGCGGAGAGATTTAGGAAACCTTCCAGGAGGCCTTGCTGTCCTTCCGTCGGCTCCTGTGGGCCTTTGTGGCCCGGGCGGGAGCTGCTGCAGTTTTCCCGAGGTGTGGGCTTGCTGGGCCCCGGCCACTGGCCTCCTGTGCGCGCTGCCTCCAGCCCTCGGCGCCGCTGGCCTCCAGCCCACTTGAGTATTCGGAGCAGAGGAGCTCGGTGAGGCGCTGTTTACTCTGTGGCTTCCTGCGAAGGTCAGGCCTGAAGAACAGTAACAGCAGAGGGAAAGAAACTTTAGTATTCTTTCCTTTTGCGTTTGGAAAGGAGGCTGACAGCAGCTGCTTCCGCAACTGGGAAGCTGACATTTCTGCATTAACAGAAGTGCGACAGTGCGATCCCTTCAGCGGGGCTTGTTTTGATATCCCATGCACTAGAAGATTAGACACCACGCTGACAGATTTTCATAACGGTGGCAAAATACCATGGCATTTTTAAAACTGAGGCTTTGTTCTGTGTTGTTTTCATGGGAAAAAAGGGAACTCTACAGCCTCATACTCTGACGGCAAATGAGGTGTATGATACAGCAGTTTGCCATGGGCTAGAGAAAAGCCCAACTCGAAACTTCACCACACAGAGCAGGCAGAGTGGCCACCCTCCCAGGGAGCCTGAAGCATGCAGCAGCTGGGGCCTTGGGCACCAAGGAGCTGAGGACTCAGCCCCCCAGGACGGGCAGCCAGGCCCATGCACCCCACTGGTCAGCCCTGGAGGTCATACCCCTGTGTAAAGAGACTCTTGAAATGATTCTGACCCCACGGAACCCCGCGCCAGGATGCAGGCTCCCAAGTGGCCACACTAGGTTTAGGCCAGCAGCTTTTGGTTGTGGCTGAGCAGTCTGGGTGTGGAGGGACCCTGCTCCCTGCTCCAACCTGCATGGCAGACGCCAAGGCCAAAATACACCCCAGATGCCGAACCTCAGAAGCTGTCCCAGAAGATAGCCGCCAGCCCCCATCAGGTCACCTTCAGAAGAGTAATTATAAAAACCGAAGAATAAAATGTTTCCTAAGACGGAATTTTCATCAAAATAACAACAAAATCAATGACCAAGGAATTCATATAGACTCACTGGCAATTCCTCCAACATCCACTGGCAGTCTATCGTACTGCGCGGTGGGGTTCCTGCTCCAACTACTCTGTTTATGGTGTTTTCTTTACATAACCATTGGAGGAGAAAGTGGACTGAGCTCACAGTAAAATGAATGTAACAGAATTCCTCTGCAACTTGGCATGAGAAGTGCGGCTAACCGACTGCAGAAGCCTGTAGGTGCCTGCTGTACTGGGGCGGAAGCACTGAGACCCGTGTATCAGCTCCCCCTGGGAGTAGGGCTGCAGTCACACAACTGCTCCCTAGCATCACGCAAAGGGAGCAGAGGAACTCATCTTTTCCAGGGACAGAGGTTTGAGGCAAGAGTAGAGTTAGTCGCGTTACTTAAGTGCTAGGCATTCACAGCATCTGCGGGTGCCGGGGAAGGGACTGGGTAGGAACACAGGGAGCCTGCAGGCTGCGGGCACAGTGACACATGCCACCACCTCTGCGTGGCTGCTGTGATTCTCCTCTGTTCACAGCAAAGAAGGCCACACTCGAGGAGGTTGACATGCCTGGCTTCAGTGCTGAATCCAAAAGTGAGGTCAGACAGGGCCAGTGGACTCCAAGGCCCTGTGCTTCCCACTACGTTATGGCCAGGAGGAGAAACAAGTCCACCAAGTCACACGTGACAGGAAGGGCCGGTGGGGGGTGGGGGGTGGGAACATACACTGTCACTGCCCAGTCTGTGGTCCCTGAGGCCTGCTCCAGTGGAGCAGTGGGGTAGGAGCCAGGTGACAGGGGTAAGGCGAGGAGGGAGGTCCTGGGGCTGGGGCCGGCCAGGGCTGGCCTATCACTCACAGCCCAGTGACACTGCACAAGAAGCTCAGTGTCCTTATCTGCTAAGTGGGGACATTCTGAGAGCACAGCTTCTAAGGCCCCAAGAGGATGAAGCAGAGGAAGACACACATACACCGTGCTAGTTGGGGGCCAACACGGGCTGCGAATGCTCAGTTAAAGGTGGGGAAACTGAGGCCCTGAGATGTGCACTACCCCTCACAGAAGCCAGGAATGACCCTGGTGGGCCCTGATGCTGGGTTGGGGCTCTTGTGACTGCACTGCCCACTTCCTGAAGGGCAGTGACCCTGCCCCTGGGTGCTGGACTCCGGGGCAGAGGCCTGAGCCACGAGGGCCCCTGTGGTGCCAGCATCGGACACCCCGGGTGGGAGCACAGCACTCAGCCTGCTCCAAACTGAAAGCTGCTACTCCTGGTGCCTGTGGTTTATTTTTAGTCAGGTTACATGACAGACAGAGTGAAAAGGTTCTGACAGGAAGGAATACTTTTTCTTCCTTCTCCTTTGAAGCCAAGTGCTCACAATGTGTATAATTTTAAATGTAACAACCTGAGTTTCAAAATATGCAAAATTTGAGTCAAAATATTCTCCCCAGCATTAGCTCTAGCACTTCAATGACTGTTTCTGCCACCACTAAAGCACAATAATAACCAGAACTCATCTGGGTGATTGATACCCTAATTGCCTACAGACACAGTGCAGGCTGCAGGGACCTGTTCCGGCTGTGGGCTTGCAGGCAGGTGCAGCACTGCAGCCCACCGTCCACCAGGCCAGCCCTGAGGTCTCCCAGTGCCACAGCTACGCATGCAGCTGCGCAGTGTTGCCCCTGCAGACACAGCTGCACTCCACTAGGCCCCTCCCCTCCCACAGGTAGTCACCTGTGCCGCCCCTCCACGGACGGATGCACTGGTCCGGGGCAGCAGGGAAGACAAACTGCTGGACAGGAACGTTTGTTAAGGGCCTCAGAGTCCATGTGCTGGAGGTCGCCATGGGAAAGTAGACCCTGAGGCCGGGAGGAGCTCAAGGAGGAAGCACGTGCCTAGATGTGTGAGGTCCTGGGATCAAACTCCAGAACCACCAACAGGAAAGAAAACAAAGGTTCTCCCGGAGATGACTTGATTGTCACATCTCCATCTACCTCACCCTTCTATCTGACCAACGTCCTTCCAGCCCAGGGGCTCATGGAGGTCGGCGAGCAGTTCTTCAGCCCCAGCTCTCAGGTGGGAGCACGTCAGGGTCGACCCTGTCTGACAGCCACCAGCAGCACCCACACTCCCTTGGCAGCTCTGTCTCCTCCTTTGTTCTGAGGCCCAGAGCTGAAAAGGCAAAGTACAGATGGCAAGATGAACCCCGCTCAACCCAAGCACGTGACGAGCACTCGTGCCCCTTCTGCCAAGCTGCAGTCCCCCCAGAACTTGCCAACTTTCCTGCCCTTCTTGCCCTCCAAATACCCAGACCCCTCTCACAGGGCTTCCTGAGTATCTACTGGAGTAATCCGGTGGTTACCAAGCAACGGATCAGTTTACCTACCCATAGGGAAGCACCCGGTCTGCAGGCTGGATTATTCAGCGGACAGACAGATGTCTCTTCCACTGCCAATCAGGAGAGGCACAGCCTAATGAGAAAGTCAATACGACCTGCTACGGTGACCACCAGGGCAGAGGAATCGAAGGGCTCTCTCTCAACTTTATCAACAAATGCATGGAAGAGTCTGTCTGGGTAAAAAGCCCCTTATAAAGGCTTCTATCAATGGCTTTTTTCTCCGGGAGAGGATTAAAACCATCTTATCTTATCCATGTATTTTATGTCTGTGACCATTTTCTTTGAATATTTTAAAGTCAGGCTTAGGAAAGTCTTCATCGTAGAATTTAAAAATTCAAGTATTTTCTTATAGTCTACGTCTCAATTCCACCTAGATATTTCTGGCATGGTCCATACAATGTCCTCCTTGCCCAGCTGACCACAGGCACTGCACAGCCACCGTTTCCTCAGACTCATGGTGCTCCAGGATGCTCATCTCCTTCAGGCTTCTGGCACTGCCTCACGGGCTGTGTGTGCAGGGCAAGTGAGGCTGACAATCAAACACTACCCAGTAAGACGGCAAAACATTTACGCAACAGGTGTAAAGATAAAGCCACTTCAACTGGCTACATGAACATAAAAAACAATGCTCACGGGATCTCAAAGACTGAAGCCCTGATAAAGTTTCAAGTCGCTGCTAAATAACTGTTCTTCTTTTCTTTCTTTTTTTTGATACCGGGATTGGAACTCAAGACCTTGTGCTTGCCAGGCAGGTGCTGTGCCCCTGAGCTACTATACCCTGGCCCAACTGAATAGCTTAAGAGCAGACCCATTCAGTCTCATTTTAAGTAAATGATGATTTCATTAAAAAAAGACAAAGCCCTACACGTAAAACGTGTGCAAAGAATGTGAAGGCTACATAAATGTGAGCTGAAGTCAGTGTGGACTGCGGGCTGGGAAGGGACTCAATTTTTACCATGAGTGTATTTACTTTACAATTAGAAAAAGCTCCAATATTTCATTATAAGGATAAGAAAGACAAATGGTAGAATTCTGCCTTATGCCAAATATTTTAATTTCTATTAGCCAAAACCCCTTTTGCCTTGCAGCTGTCCATCAGCTTGGTTTCTCCTGTGCTGTAATTAATAGAGCACAGAGTATGTGCACCTCCCTCTCATCTGAGGAATTCAGGCTCCGGTCAATGTGCCCTGAAGCGATGGCAGGCCTGAGCTGTGAGTGGCTGCAGGGCCGAGAAGCCAAACTCCTAGCCGGTCAGTGCGCAGACTGGGCAGCAGTGTGGGCTGGAGCCGTGCACAGGGAGACCGGATGCAGGGCCCAGCAGCCAAGGGCGGGTGCAGGGCTCCAGGCTCCCCAGTCAGGATGGTAGGACATAGGCATATGTGGAAACAAGTGTGAGGCGGGTGTGATCAGGCCCTGAAAACACCGAGACTGACCAAGTTCTGGGTAGAAGCTCGGCTCTCTGATCTGTCCTATTAGACGTTTTTACCAGTGACTTCCATAGTATTAAGCACATTTATCACATTTACACATGGATGACAGAATACCCAGAACGTCTAACAAACCAAAATGACAAACCTAAGCTCAAAAAGTCAGTTAAAGTGGGACAGAGGTGAGGTCTTGCTTTGTGAGGCGGGCAGGATCCTGGGGGCAGATCAGACTGAGCTACATCCTCGGCCTGCTGCGTCTTCTACTTTGGGACAGAGCCTTGCTGAATTGCTCAGGATGGGCATGAACTGTGATTCTCCGCCCTTGGTTCCCGGGGTGCTGGACTCATAGGTGAGTGCTGCCATGCCCTGCCTGAGGGCTTGCTCTTAGAAGGTAGGGCAGCACGAACCACCACGTGTGCCAGCCCAGGGTTAAACCTCAGCTCTACCCCAGACAGCTGTTCCACAGCAGGCCATCTCCTCGCCCGGGCACTGGGGGAACCAAGGGGGTCACATGCACAGGGGGAACAAAAGCAGGCATTGCTTGTGGAGGCCAGGGACCGCCTCTGCTGAGACCATGCCACTCCGGCTTCCGCGCTGTGTCCGAGCGGCTTGCCCTGTGCATTTCTGCAGGACGGAGGGCTGGCTTCAGGGTCCGGCCAGGCTGAGTGGCCCTAAGCGCCAGGACTCCAGCAGTGTTGCAGAGTTCCTCCTCCAAGTCCAGGCGAGGGGCTGTCTTTAGCCCTCTACATTCAGCTCAGCCACTGACTAAGGGATAAAGTGCTCACAGTCCTCATCAGTGACATAGGAAAGGCAGGCGGGAGGAGGGGAGAAGCCACATTAGGCATTCAGCCCACATCCTCGGACCAGAGCTGGCTGCCACCACCTTCTAAGTTTGGAAATCACCTGCACAGGAGTCTGAATCTCAGGGACGGACAGGGCGTGCTCTGGTTCATCTCCTGGAACTCTAAGAGCAGGAGCTCTAAAAGCAGGGCCTCTACAGAACAGGCGCCACTGACGACTGGAGCAGCTCGCCGGGCTGCAGGGCGCAGGACACTGGAGGGGCAATGGGGACAGCAAGGTGAGGGCCAGGCCAGGAGGGCACATGCTCCACACTTCCAGCGACCACTGAGCCCAGGACATCCCGCTGCTGCGGAGCACAAGGGCTGGGACTGAACTCAGTGAGGTCCAGCTGTACAGCTCTGGTTTCTTCTACTGCTCCACCCTGTGTCTGCACTGGACACTGGGCGTGAGGTAAGCCAGACCTCGCCTGCAGCCGTATCTCCCTGAAGGCCTCCCCTAGCCATCCGGGGAACACACAGGCACATGTGTTTGCCACTGATGGCTTCGAACCGCTTCTTCCATCCCTACAATGAATGTGTCTGCTGCTCCAAGTCCAGTCCACAGGCTACACAGAGAATAATCTGTTCATACATAAAATATCCTTAACCCAATTTGTATATCTGTCACTCAGCCCAGTGCTGACTGCGGAAACCCACAGCTCCCCTCTGGGGCACACAAGGACACGCATAGGGTGTGGCCAGGAGTCTGCTCCAGGTTTCTTGCTGGTCTCAGGGACCCAGGACGCCTTGGCGGGAACAGCGGGCACACAGAGTTCAGCTCAGCAGGGGGCACACGTGAGTCCTGAGAGAGAAGCTGCTGTCGCCTCTACCAAAGACCTTAAACTTGCACGCAGACGTGTCATCTACTGTCACTTTGGGATGCTGGTTCCCAAGCTGTATCTCTCCTCTCTACTCACAAGTTAAAACATCACAATTCAGACTGCTGCTTTCAAACAATGTAAGGGCCAGGATGAAGACGACGTGTGAAAATGACTGAACCATTCCGTACAGGTCCCAGCCAGATGGGAAAGGCTCTGGCCTTTAGTGAGAAAGAGGTGACAGGGACTCGGACAGGCACTTTCTGCTGCAGGAAGGGGCTCCGTGAAAAGGGCCTGGGTGGGGAGACTGGTGTGCTCCTGACCTCTGCGTGATGGAAGGAGAGCCCGGGCAGGGCGATCTACTCAAGAGCACGAGCTCCCATGCAGGCCCCCGTGTGGTGTCTGCTGGCCACTGGCAGGCCACGTCTAATACCAGCGCTTGGATGGCTCCGGCACCCTCCCAGGAGAGGCTGGCCAGGCTCCTGCTCTTTGTTGTCGGCCCCGACTGTGTGAGTGAAAGTACATCCCGTGGCTCCTGCTGTCTGCAGGTGACCCAGGTGTGGAGGAAGCCCAGGGTCACCGTGAAATCCCTCTAATCGCCTCATTAGCCGGGCAGGGATGAGAGTGCGTTTGTTCCATGAGGAGGTGGAGAGCTGGTAATTGCATGGTGTCAGGTGGAAAAAAATAGTGGTGGAAGCAAAAGGCCGAATGTAAAAAGCTACATGTGCAGAGCTGTAATTAAAGAACCCAGAAGAGCAGGGCTTGCAACATCTGACCGTGGAAAGCAGTGTGCCCACACCGCCCAGCCCATTTCAGCTGCCGCAAACACACGCGGGGCACTCACGCCACACCCAGCCTGCGTGCCCTGCACAGACTGGAGGACCCCACCCGGGCCTCACGGCTGTCTTCCTATCTCTTCCTCGCCCTGTGCACATGCTGTAAAGAACCCAGGCTCTGATCCAGGTCATCATCCCGCGCCCCTGGGCAAAATGGCCACACAAATCCACTCGTCTGTCATCTGAGGTGGTTTTGATTCTGATTCCTCTCTGAATGACAGGTCTTGCAGCCAGTGCCTCCTTCCACCTTACTGCATAGAGTCACCCAGTGACCTGCTGTGAGGACCACACTCTTCCCAAGTTCAGGGGTGCCACCAGGTCAATGGGTGATCAATTCTCCATCCTCTTCATGATTTCAGACTGGCTTTGGGGTGTGGGCCTGGCACCTGCATTTTCATGAGGCTGCCCAGCGGCCTGGAGAACAGATTCTGTTCCTCCATCTGCAGGTCCACCTGCCCCAGGGGCTCCTCTTAGAGGCCCCAGGGAGACCTGGAAGGAGTGATCTGGGAGTGCAGGTGCAGTCTGAGGGGCTTAGCAGACCCTGGAAGACACAGCATAGTGGGGACCAAGAGTGCTGGACACGGGATAGGACAGGGGCGAGTGCTGACCCAGGACAGGTGGTGGTGCAGGACAGACCCCTGCGTCTTCCAGCACAGTTCTGTCCAGCCTCTGATCTCGTGTTTGGCCAATCTGCTTTTTACAGAATGAGAACTGGCTCAATGAAATTGAGAAAATTTTCAGTGGCAAGATTCCAGGTTTGCCTTCAGCTAATTAAGTGATATTAGGAAGGTTGTAAATGCCACGTAAAAATTGGCAGGCAAGCTGCTCCTAATGATGAGAATATTGCTTCACAGGGAGACACAGCTGCAGCTCCATAACACTTGTCTTCCGGGGAGCCGGTTGAGCATTCAAGGTTGTTCCTGGGGAGCCAAGTCTGCGGGTGCTGCAGTCGGCCCTGGCTCTCCCTCCCCGCTGCATGGACATGTGGAGGCAGGGAATGAGGCACTGCGGTCACAGGGTCACTGCTTCTCCACGTGGGAGACCCTGAGGCGATACTTCCTGCTCAGCAGCTGGTTCCACTCCGCACAATCCGGGGAGGCCTAGTACAGCGTTCTGAGAGGCAGGGAGCCGACACACAGAGAGGCCGAGAGACCTGCCCGGAAGCACACAGCACACAAGCAGGGATGCTAGAGTTTCATCTGTGTTGTTTCACCACGGCAGGAAGTGAGGGGAGACACGAGGGACAGTGCTGAGGGGAACGAACTCCTTATGGCACAGCCTGTTCCAGGCACCAAGGCTCACCAGTCACCTAATGACAACGGGACAAGCGAATGACACGGCAAGGCCTTGATGACGAGAAACGACAACACACAGGGCTCTCACAGCTGTGGTGCGCTTGGACGACGAAGCCACTGTGACTCAGGGAAGACTCCAGCTACCGAGTGCTGTACGGTGATCTCCCCACAGACGGTTACTTACTTAGAAGGAGGACCAACTTCTAGGCCGTCAGAAGTACAGGGTGAAGGAAACCCTCCACACAGTGCGGGCCAGGCGGCGGGCTCCATCACAGTCACAGCGGGAAGGCTGGGGTGGGAGGAGCCTGGTGTCCCGCTGGCCAATACTGCATCTCACGGAATCGGGGCTACTAGGCAGCGTTTTGTTGAGGACAGTCTGAGCAAGTCAACCTATGGTGGACCCACGTTTACACTCAGAGGTTGAGACTGTTGTTTCTCTACAGCAGCAGGGTGCCATCCCAGGGGTTTCTAAGCACTAAGAGGACATCAGAGGCACGGTGCGGATGCTGGGGCAACACGCGCCTCGCATAGCTGACTACACACCAATACACATGAAACCAGCAACCTGGGGGAAGAGCAGGGCACAGCGAGGAACTCTCGGAAGGGGGTGTTTTAGAAGCAGCAGATTCACTCTTTCGTGCTGTCCCCAAACGCCAAGGCCCAAGGCACATTCCTATGTTCTGGACCACTCTGCACAGGCTGCGGGACAGGGACAGGGCCATGGCCCCACGCAGCACACCTGCTCACGTCCCTGGGTCTGCTGCCCGCATGAACACGACCATCCCAACAGACAGAGGCACATGACAGTTCCGTTCACATGCAAGCAGCCCCGGGTCCCCACACCTCCTGGAAAGACGGCAATTCTGGAGAATGTTCCTTTTGCTTCTCAAGAACTGCTGAGTCTACACAGCTTCAAAATAAGAACTGCATTTCACGGGAGGAAAACAGTGTTCCCGTGAAGGATGTTGCTGAGGGGCCATTCAATATTTTACTAACAGCACGACTCCCTGTGTACCGTGTGTGTAGGAGTCTGGGGAGGGGCGGCTTTGACAGGTTTGTGTGTAGGTGTCAGAAGAGGTTTTGTGGCTGTGACTGTATTTCCATGTGCAGGGGGAAGGCATTTACTGTTCCCTTTCTGAATGAGGGCTGCAAGAGTCAACAGAGACCTAGTGATTAAGATCTCATTTGGGGACGTTAAGTATTTATTTTCTTGTTCTGAGAAATGGCGGGTACAGGGATGAAGACAAGAGGAAAGATAAAATCCCCTGACACCACACAGAAATGCCGAGAAGTCAGAGGGGCTGAGCCTAGCCTAGCCTGCCCTGCCCTGCCCTGCCCAGGGCCCGCGCTCCAGCGGCTATCTGATGGCAGTGGGACCGGCTCTTTGCTCAGCCTGATGAACTGGGTCTGTAATTACTGTGGCGGGAAAACAGCCCAAGCTGGAAGTGAACAGTTCAGGGGATTAAGTGCTCCTGTTCTGCCCACCTGCACAGAACACAAAGAACCCGTTCTCTGCTTGACAGGCGGGTTTCTGGGAGGCGCTGCGGCTGGACAATGAGGGCCACGCACCACTCTGCACCTTGTGGGCTTGCTTAGAAAGCAGCAACTGGCATTTGCTTGGGCCTTGACTGAGGTGTGGACAATCTGTCAGGTTTTCTCTGCCGCTTGCTCTGACCACAATTATACGGTCCATGTGCAGATTAGCTGCGAAATCACTGCTCCTTCAGGAGTGACAAGACTCCCCAACACAGAAAGGTAGTGCTGTACCCTCCAGCCCGTCCGCATTAGAAAGGCAGGGGCGGGTGGCGTGGAGAGAAACGCCTTCAAAAGAAGGCCGTCATAACAGAAAAAGCAGCTCTAACTGAGTGGTGACATGGCAGGAACAGAGTGCGCCACTGTCACGGCAGAGTAATCCTGGGACACACTGCTGTCGCTCACCACCCGGCTCCTGCCGCGCCGGCCAGACATCAAAGGCTGCCCCACACCATCTTACATGCTCTTTATCGGCTAATCAGCCCATTCTTCCCTGGATAAAGCCCTGCAAATCCCCTGCTCACAGGGGGATAGTGGTCTTGGTGCCCATCTGCTATCCAGGGTCAGACGAGGCAGGAGGCAGGAGGCAGCGGTTGCTCTTTCCCTAGCGGCTTCTCAAGGTAAGGACAATGCCGGCTCCCCCGCCCAACTGCTTCCCGTGCCCGGCTCCCCAGGATCTGGGCAGGACTGTGCCTTCCTAGTCCGAAGATCTGTTAGCCGGCTTAACACTTGCTAATGAAATTGCAAGGCATACACTTAGATCATCTGCTAATAGTAGAATGTTGCAATTATTATTTGGGGAGCAGAATAAACAAAGCCCCCCAACCCTTCAGTGTCATCTGGCAGGCCACGCCCCCCTCCTGGAGAATCCTGGAGTTTTAGAAGTGGTGATGGGATGGGTGGGCAGACTTCCCATTACCAGGTCACCCCGGGCCCTGTGTTGTCAGCTTTGCTGCCTACTCTCCAGCGAGTGCAGGGACAGAGACACCAAATTCAAAGACAAGGACCCAACCTTGCTGTTCACATGTGCCTGCGAGTGGCCCAGAGGTACCTGCGTCTTCCTGGACCTGAGGAGGCAGGCACAGAAATCTCTGGTCTACAGCCCTGTGCCTCAAGCTGCCAGGAGAGCAGAGCTGGGCGCACCGGAGGGCAGCAGTGCGGCACAGCAGCGCGGGGCTTACATCTGCCTCACAGAACCACGGGACACTGCTCCCCATGAGGGCATGGCTTCAAGGGAAAAGATAGCCTGGTCAAGTTAGATGCTCCAGGGTCTTGATTTGACTGCTAGAAAGAAGTATTCGACTGGTTTTTAGCAGTCTGGCTAACTGTAGGGTCCACAGGTGGATTTGTGTGTGTCACCTAGTTTTGATTCTCAAAGTGGTCCAGTGGAGTAACTCTGTTTTGTTGTTGAGGAAACTGAGGTACTGAGACACAGAGAAAAGGTATGGTCCAAAACTCATAGCAGAAGGGAGCTGCAGAGAAGTGCAAATCCCTGACTCTAGGGCCGCTGTTCTGGAGGCCAGGGCCCTGACAAGGCTGGGGAGAGAACCAGCAGACACCGGGGAACCAGCAGCAAACCGTGCCTCAGGGCAAGATGGCCGGGCTGCTCTATCTAACACACAGCAGGACGGACAAGCCCCAGAGCACTTGAGGGCGCTATCTGGAAATGGAGGAGTACAAGAATGTGCCCTCAGACACTGTGTCACTGTGCCTCACAACTTCACCCCACGGTTCCCGACAGACCGACCACCTGTGGGCCTCCACAGCTCTAGCCGTAGAAAGGAAAGAAACACTGGTATAATGGAAGTTCGCTGAGCAGATGTCTCAACACATAAGGCTGGACCTGAGTAGGCCTTCAGCCCACAGACCCTCCTGGACAGCTGTGAACACATACTCACCTAGTAACCACTCAGCACCATGGAGTGGCAGGCAGTGCACAGCCCAGTGCCACCCCAAGGCCAGCATGCTAGGGATCGGGGCATCAGCAGCTCCTGAGCTCCAGGCTGCCATGTCCCCAGGTCCGGGCCCGTTACCAGGACCAGTGGTGTGGATGCAGCAAGCTCCCGAGTCACTCCCTGAGGCAGGGCTACTCTTCTTTCCCAATGGGTCTGACCACTCACTGAGCCCCTCTATATTTGGGCCCAGCAGGAGAGAGCAAGTATTTTTCCTCTAGTTCCAAAAGCTTACTGGACTGAGACAGGCAGAATAGGGATGACTTATCACAAACCGTAAGTGGAAGAGGTGACTCTGTGCACGTCACCCACACCCCCACACGCAGCTCATTTCCACAGAACTCTCTACGTCTGCCTGCCTTCCGGCCATTGCCTCCGATCACCTCACCTCTTCAGGGCTGCTTTCCTCCTCCTGGCCGGGATGCCGAGGTTCCTAGGAGCATCTCTCAGCCCGAAGCTCTTCGCCACGTGGCCAAGGTGGAGGGACCGCACGTGGAAGATGTGCTTCAGCTCCCGGGGGTAGGCCGCGTAGGCTCCGATGAAGGACTGCAGGGCTGGAAGAAAAGCAGAGACGGACGCTGTCAGGACGCGGCCTTGACTTCCAGGGCCGCCGCACCAAGCTCCAGCTCCAGCCTTTTTCTTTTTGAGTACCGGGGATCAAACTCAGGACCTTGCATTTGCCAGGCAGGCACTTGTGCCACTGAGCTAAACGCCAGGTCCTCGGCCCTTTTCATTTTGACTTTACAGAGTCTTACTACATGGCCAAGGCCAGGCCTGGACTTGTGGCCCTCTCGACTCAGTCTCCGGAGGGCTGGGGCTGCAGGTGTGTGTCACCACGTCCAACTTCCCTGTACTGCATCTTGCCAGGTGAAAATATAACCAGCACAGATCTACAATATAAATAACACAGATCTACACTTCTGTATACTTCTACAATTTCTAAACAATCACCACTCGAATAAACCCAATACAGTTTGATTTTACTGCAGAGCTCGTCTGAGTCCAGGCCTGGGTCCAGTCTGCTTTCTTCGTCATGGTCTCAGAGCCTAGCATAGTACGGGCAGGTGACAAGTATTCGTGGCATCCATGAATGAAGTGAGAATGAGTAGAGAAATTAGGACAATTCATACAGGCCTTTCTTTCTTATGAACACGAAGAAATTGTTAAGACAATTACATTAAGGAAACACATTTCCTCATTAAACAGTCAGTTCTAGGGTCCATAATTCACAGTGTTCCAAAAGCTTCATTATTCTGTAAGCAAATGACCTCATTGGGACTACAAAGCCTCCTCTACCACAGCCCTGCCTCAGTCCCTGTCCAGCCCATCGCCGAGACCAGGCGTTACTGTCCTTCAGGGATTTTACAGCCAAGTTCGTCCTGAGGACATCTATGGGCTGGGGATCTGGCTCAGTGGCAGAGCTCTTCCCTTGCATACACGGGGACCTGTGTTCGATCCCCAGCAACACACACACACACACACACACACACACACACACACACACACACGATAAAGATATCTATAGCTGAGCATTATATAGTGCTGCTTCCAACTCATGTGAAGACTGGATAAAAAAAGGAACTGGCAGATGAATTTTTAAAAGGAGAAAGAATATTTACTAATTACTGAAACAGTCCAGGAAGTGGTTCCTTCTTGAAGGTCTGCTGTCAGTTCACCAAACATTCCACTGGGCAAAGCTGCAGCCCCATTTTAACTTAGGACAAGGGATTCATTCTCTAGATCCCAGTGCTGGCTGGAGAGAAGCCAGACCTGAGTCCTGGGATGGAGCTCTGGCTCTACCTTACGTACCCTGCTGGCCGATCCTTGAATGGCCTGTGACAATGGCAACCCAGCGCCCACCGGCTTCTCACACTAGCAGGGAATGGGGTGTGAAACAAGCACTCTGCACCATCCCTGCTTGCATGACTTCCAAGGCCTGCTCCTGTGCCAGGCTGGCCAGCACCCAGGCCCGCACTGCTGGGACAGGCACCAGCTAGCAGCCTCCCACACCTTGCTTGTTGAGCCACTGGACTGGCAAGTTTGCCCACAGCTTAGATGTAATATCCCAGCAGCACCTGGAGATCGGCGTTTATGAACAGTAATAAAAAGTGTCATTTTAGCAGATCAGCTCCTGGAAGGATCCTGGGAATCCATCAAAGCTCTATTTACTGAGCAAAGTGAACTCCTTTTCCCAATCGATGAGAAATAATAACCACAGCAACTCCTCTGTACCCCTCTCTAAGTCTGTGCTTACACCCCTTTTTAATAACAAGGGACTAGGTTTTTCAGAGAGAATCTTTAGCACTGCAAATGGCCTGCACTGTCTGGAGGGGTCTGTCCCTGGGTTCAGGTCCCACATGGCCGGCAGTGGAGATCGGGGCCTCGCTTTCTTTCGCCAACCCTAAGCCTAGTCTAAACCAAGAGACCCGATTAAGCCAAGCCAAGTCTGTGCTCTGCGCTGTGGTGTCCCCCACACCCGGCCCAGCTCTCCTCATCTCCCACTGCTCCTCTGTGGAGGCTTCTGTCTTGCTCAACTTCCCATTGCCTGTCCATGCCAGTCCTGGAGGTGAGCACAGAGGCGTCAGTCCCAGGAGACATAGGTGCCCAAGGAGCACTTTGCGGGGATAATGAGTCTGCCAAGCACTGGCAGGAAGTGTTTCCTCCCCAGACAACTGGCCAGGCAGCGTATCATGCTGCATATTTTACTAAACCTCCTTATCCTCCAGGTTCTCGTCTCACTGGGGACAGTGACAGTTGGTTGTCCTTGCAGACTTGCATGGACTCTCATATTTGGCTAATTCGAGAAGCAGGAATTTCTGGTGCTGCAGGGGCAAGAAGTGGCAGTGTCAGAAATGTGCAGGAGGAACAGGGCTGTGGGACCAACAGACCGGGAAGCAGAGAAGTACTGAGCAGAGACGCGTACTCAGTGATGGATGAAGCACCCAATGACACACCACAGACTCTCTAGCTGTGAATTCCCATTTCTAGCCTACTACTTCAGGTATAGAAAATTAGGGGAACTCTACTTAAAATATCCTAGGTGGACCTTTGTCCTTTTTCATTCCTGGTCATCTGAGTCAGGAAGGGGTATCCTATGGATGGCTCCTAAGAAGGCAGACAGGAACAGTACTCAGCCCGGAAGGTGCAGACACCGCGTCCTCCTCCCAAGCCCAAGTCCAAGCCCAAGCCAGGGCACTTGCCTCTCCCACCTGACACCAACAGCAACTGCACCAGTAGTGCAGGGAAGGAGGTGGCTGCCTTCAGGGAGGCCTGAAGATGGAGAGGACTAAGCCATGGGGCAGGGCTACGGGCAGCAAAGGACTAGGTCTTCCCAAGCTTTTTCCAGGAGTCTGGAATTCAAACTTACAGTACTGCTATGTTTACAACCCAAATTCCCAGCTGAAAGATGCCAGAAATGGGAGAAAAAAGGGGCTAACTACTTCTGAAAACTGACAACAATTAAATGCTGGTTATTAACAATGACTGGGTCAGAAAATGCGAAAGGAAAATAAATGCATAGTTGGCCCATTTTCCAACTAGTTTTCTGCCATAAAGGCAAAAGGCAGCTGCTTTGTTAATTATTCATGAGCTGGGTTCTGAAATGGCATAAAAGGGAAGCGAGTTGGTTGTGGGGAATTTGCATATGCAGATTAGAGCCCAAAACCTGCACGCTGCGTACAGGGTGCAGAGGCTGTCCCTGCACTGTGAATCTGGCTCCTTAGGGTGGCAGGTGGGCACATTTCTTCAAATCTACACGACCCACAGGCCTAGGTAACAGGAGAGGAAACCAGTGAGGAGCTCTGTGTGTGAAGTGGGGTGACCCAGACCTACCGCAGCAGGGTTTGCTCCTGTCGCTATCAGTCTGGTATGGAAATCGATCAACAAAGAAGGAACAATGTAGACATGTTTGTTAATGGCTCCTGGACATCAGGAGCAGACCTGCTTCCCCGTACCCTTTCAGCAAAAAAGAGACTCCGCTTGTTTCTCAAGCAAATTCAGCAGTAAATGTGGAGATCAGCAAAAGCCCCAGCCACATTCTAAGGAGTATTTCCTGTGACTTGGCTCAGAAGGCTGTGACACCTAGAAACAACAGTGTGTCGCCAAAACACCCGAAACACCACTGACTGACATCCAAACTGAAGAGGGAGGGCTTGATTTCTTGGCACTGGAGCTCTTTTCTGGCGTTGGTGGTACCAGAGACTGAACCCGGGCCTCCACACGGAGACTTTTCTCCTTCTTTCCCTTTTTTTAAAACTCTGAGGTAAGGTCTCGCTAGGTCACTAAGCTGCCCAGGCTGTGACCTGTGACCTTCCTGTCTCGGCCTCCCAGAGCATGGGGTTACAGACATGTGCCGCCATGCCCGGCTTGGTAACTTTGTTTTGATCTTTGCCTAACTTGCATTGAAGGTCAAGCCTCTGTAAAGTCACAGTGTGACCAACATTTCACTCCTGGAGACATTTCAGTCCTTCTCTAGAGGCAAGGTCTTGGAAAACCTTTAGGAATTGCTTAGTTCACATCCGAGAAACGCTAAGAGAGGACATTATTAAAGACTAGAAGGATATACACAAATTATGTATTGGTAGTAATTACTGGGACTTTGACCTTTTGCCTTCTGCAGCGGTGACTGAGTCTTACAACAACCAAACACTGCTTCTATCAAGGGCTAACAGGACAATATACCTGAGGGACCTGCTGCTTTTTGGCAGCACTGTGAACCAAATCAAACCCAATGTTGCTCAGGCTGGGCAAGCGCTCTACTGCTGGGCCATGGGGCTGGCCCTGCCACCCGCTCATATTTCTCAACCTTGCACAGCAGGCGCACGGCCCCAGGATGTGGCACCTGCCCCCGGGTCTGTCCTCACACAGCAGCCAGGACACATTGTGTATGTCACACCTCACGGCTCGAAGCCCTGCGAAGGCTCCTGCCTACTAGGGCATACTCTGAACTCAGCAGCCTCTCAGCCCCGAGCCTGTCCACACTGCCTGTCCTCCTGCCTGGAAGACACGGAGCTCACCCATGGCAGGCTGTGGTCCCGTGTCACCATCACAGTGGGGCTCACGCTGACACAGCTCAGCACCACTTCCTGTCCTCAGCCCCCTCCACTCGTCACAGTTCTTCTGCCTCTAAGAAACTCACTTGCGCATCTATACTGAGTGTGCTCACTGCGGCTCCCAGGCAGGGGAGGGTGCCTCCCCGTCTGGAGTACCCTGCACAGGCTGCTTGGTGACTACTGCCGACAGAGTGGCTGATAACGCTACTTCTGAGAAAAGGCAAGGGTGACGCACAGTCCCACCTCTGGCTAAGCATCCTGGCCTTCTTCCTGAGAGAGCAGGTAACTACACAGAATGGACTGCAGCCCTGGACAGAGCACTACTCCCCATCCATCCAACATGAATTGTTAGGCTCACGCCTGTGGTGGATTAAGAACACCACCTGAGCGGAATCAACAGGCTGCTGAGAGTGGATGGCCCACCTGAGGACTGCTGCCAGCACAAAAAAAGTGGAGAGGAAAAAGATAGCATTGGGTTCTCCTAAGCAGTGGCGGTGTCTGGTGCTGTTGGATCTCCTGTCGCCACGGGTTCTCCTGGAGGAGTCTGTCGAGCTCCTTCCTGATATGAACTTGGCTTTTCTCATCATCAGAGGAGCTCAGGGCCCCATTGCTGAGAGTGGCTGAGGCTCACTTTGGGGAGCTCTGGCCCTTACATTCAGCATTGCTTCCTGGCCCCGGAGGGGTAGATGTGAGCTGTTCAGTCTCCAGGAGACCCTGGTCATGCTGGCTTCCTGATAACAATCTGGCTGTTCTCACTGCTGGAGGAGCTTGGGATTTCAATGTCACTAGGGATGGCTATTGTTTAGCCCTAGTCTTTGAGCATTGCTTCCTGGCTCCAGTGCAGAACCCTCAACCTGCTGGCATAGCTCCTTCACCCTGCTGGCACATACTTTCTAAGCTTCCACTGCTAACCTTTGGGCCTTCCCAGCACAGCTCCATGAAACCAACTTGCTTGAAAATCACTGCCATGGGCTCTAACTCTTCAGCTGGACTCATGCAGGACATTGCTGTGGGATCCAGGCCCTCAGCTGGATTTTCTAGGTCTTTAGTGTTGTGGACAGATTTCCTGCACTTTCTTTGTATTTGACTCTGTGGGTGACCATTATAAATAATACTATTCATCACATGTCCTGCATTGTCTTTGTTCTCCTTGCAAATCCCTGACTACAACAAAGCCTAATGTATGGATCCCAGGGCCAGTTTACCCTAAAGTGTCTGAATACTGAGTCGATACCTAACTGTTCTACAAATTTCTCAGAAATTGGGTTCAGGGTCAGTGGCCCTTCCTCAACATGACCTTCATTTTCTTTTGTTTCTTCATTCAGGAACTGCTTAGGTGTAACACTTTCAGCCCTTTCCTTCATCTCTAATTTGCATTTCTGCAACTACTTCTACTGACCTGCCATGTCTCTTCTACCTGGCATTCTAAGACAGAAACACAGATCTCCCAGATTCAAGCTGTGGGTCAGAGCTCTATCCTGATGTAAGCCAAGATAAAGCCTCATTTGTGCACACGAAGGGAAAGGATGAAATTAACATTTAATATCACTTTAAAGCCCGCCACGTCTGCTTGCAAACTCTGCAGAATTACAGAGATCGAAGGCTTTTGCTGGCGGGCAGAGACCTCTGAATGGCCCCTTGGTGGGTGCGGGTGTGAGGTGTGAGCTGAGGGCAGGGACGCACGCTGCCAGGCACTCTGTCCGTCACCTGAGGAGCCCACTGACCTTGCTTGGCCGCGGAGGCTGTCCTCTCAGTGGAGTGCACGTAATCTTCAAACAGTGTCTGTAAGACCGTGGCGCGCTCTCGGATTTCCTGGGGGCCGACAGCGTGGGATTTCTGGGAGGGTGACGGAAGGATTAAAGGAGAGACAGAGTCGAAGTCAGGAATAATGAAGCAGTTTATAATAGATTTAATAACAGTAAAATCACACAGTAACCACCTAGGGGCCAACGAGGGTAATCCTTTCAATATTACTAGGGAAAGAAGGGAGCTATAAAGATGTTAAAGTCAAGCAAAGACGGCATGGCTTGTGAGACAGCAGGCTGGGCCTGTTTACCTACTCTTCTTCCTGACCTCTCATCACATGTTCAAAATGAAAGACCACTGGAAACCTCCGGCATTTAGACCACTGAGCTGTTTTTAAAACATCTGTATCTCCCACAAACTTCCTCTCTGTTCCTTTCCATTCATCAGTGGGAAAGGACAATTGTTCTTCAAGAGCAGCCCAGTGTCCAGAGCATCGAAGAGCTCTTGGCGCCTTAGAGATTTCAGAGCGCGCCCCAGCCCCTCCGGAGGCTGACCGGCACTGTGCTGGGCTCGCGCTTCCAGCCGTAACCTGTGTGCAGAGACTGTGCACAGACTGCCTGCACTACGTGGTGAGAAAGCCCCTGCAGATGGCAAATGCTAACGGCACATCAATTATTTTCTTTTTGCCTTTTCATGGCCCCCAGAAAAGATCTCCCCAACGTAGTGATTTGTGTTTCCTGTATCTTAAAACAAACACGCGCATTTTCTATACGCAATCTGGAAGAACATGATCTCCACTCAACAGGGCACACAATGCTAGCGAAGCAAACGGTACCACTCGGCCTCCACTTCAGCCTGCCCACCTAGCCCGGCCTGGCTACCGGGGTCCACTGGGGGATCCAGGCCATGCTGTTCGACTCAGAGGACAGGGTGTGAGCACTGGTGTCTGACCCAACTGGATGCCTGTCTCATTCACTTGTAAGGCTGGAGAGCAAGAACGCAGGGCAGAGGAGAAAGCGCGCCACCCTTTGGGTCACCGTCCTCTCTGAGTTAACAGACTTAACAGCCTGAACATGCTCCTTGTGTCCTCAAATCAACCCTGCTGTTTGGCTGATGCCAGCTGCACTGACTTCACGGTACACAGTCCCCCAAGGGTTCTGTGTGCTCAAATGTCAGGAGCAAAGTCACTCAGGAGCTGTGCTACCAAAGTGGACGTTTGCCGTTGTCATGGGCAGCAAGAAGGCTTCTCACTCTCTTTCCTGACGTGAGACGCAAACCTTCTCACTGCCCTCTTTCCGTGCAGCCATCTCAGCAGCACAACTGTCACCCTGCCTGTGCTTTTTTTTAATATGAATGTGAAATTAGTGAGGATGCCCTTTCCCCTGGCGGACAGAATCCTCTGTTATTAAAAAGTAAAGCACTTTAATAATGAAAACTTTTTCCTCTTTTTCCTGTGTTTTAACTGTTTAAAATTAATGAGAAGGGCAGAATGGTTGTCAAAGCGATATTGAAAGCCGGGCAGCCAGGACCGAATAAGCACAAAAATCCCTCTAGAGTGTTAAATAAACAGAGCTGCAGCCCTCTCCAATCCCTCTGTTGGTTATTGTATACATTCTGTAACAGCTCTCAGAATAGATCTGAGAGCTGGGGAGGCAGTGAGGTTTCAGAATTCCAATAAAGGCCTCAAATTAAAGACAGCCTGGTGCGAATTCCAGGAGAAAATTAAAGAGACCTCAAGCTTAAGTGACAGGTGACTTGCTTCTGTGTCACAACTGTCAGGGGATTTAGTGATAATATGGCAAGATATTACAAAGGGCTTTTCTCATTCCCCCCTTTAGGTTTCACAATGAGGCATCTTTTTTTCCCAACCCCCTCCCCAAAAAACCTGCCCTGCTTACAATACCAGTCTACATACAAGGAAAGTATTAGGAGAAAGTGATAGAACCAGATTCCCAGGTCTGAAATGACGAGGTCAGTTTTAGTAAAATATAAGAAAAAGTTAATGACAGGAAACCAAGCACAGTGAAGAGCACCCCGCCTGTATTTTAGGACTCCTGGTGAGAGTGAAGTGGGTCTCTCCCGTTTCCGGGGGAGGGCGTATAAATTTAAAGTGGAGACCAGCGGGCAGAGCTCAGCAATGCCGCAGCCTGATAGGGAAGAGCGCCGTAATGAGAGCGGTCACAGCCCCGCAGGCCAGAGCGCCCGGCAGCTGCCTTTCCCGCTTCACAGACGCAGGCTCACCACTGGTTAATAAGCTAACCCGAGACTAGTAGACATGGGTAGCTGAGAAAACCATACTTCCACCGGCCCCCCGTACTGGGTGCACCTCTGCCTCTAACACCCCACTGATCTCGGAGAGAACACACCATCAGAACGCCTGAGCTGGGGCTCTGATCTGATTTTAACACCTCCCAATGCTGGTGACAGTTTCTTTGTTCGGATGAGTTCACAGGCGCATCTCATGGGACGGAAAAACTTGCAGGAAAAAACATGCTGGGCGTGTGTACCCTGTGATGACGGAAGCCTCAAACCCATTGAGAAGCAACAGGTGTGCCCGAGACAGGCATGCCGGGGCGTCTCAGCTGAGGAAGTGCTGGTGGTGCCAGTGGTTGTGAAGTGTGCGTGCGTGTGTATATGAATGTGTGCATGTGTGCACAGGTGCCCTGATATCACCAACTTCTAAGACTTTTTTAACTGAACGGAAGGGTTTGTTTAATAACTTTCCTGCCATGCCGAGCTTTACCCTATGGTCCTCAGAACCTTCTGAGCGCCTGCCTCGCAGTCAAGTTGAAAGATCAGATTTATTCTCTTTGTAGGTGGGGGAGCGTGCACCCAGACACAACTATATATATTTCATACACCTAAATATGAAATATACATTTTACAGGTGCTTCACTCACTCCCTTTCTGTTCACAGAAGCCCCAAATCGTGTGTGCCAAAGGGACATTTACCACAGTCTTCAGTCCAGCTGGGTGAGGAAGAGGGCACTAAACGAGGCCTGGGCTTCCTGGGCCAAACTCCGCCATGGAGCCGGCATTCAGGGCCCGGCCTTGGACATGAGCAGGCCAATCAGGGCAGGGCATGCTTCTCGCCCAAAACGGCATCCCAGGGTGGACCCAGGCTCTTTCCTCTGCTACAGATTCTACACACCCAGCACTCTGGGGGTAGTGCCCACGCGATCAGTAACATAGTCCAGCTGTTTTTTTCCTCTGAATGGAAGTTAAATTTGATCCTACAAGCCTGGTCTTTATCAGCACGATAGCAAGAACCTAGGAGGACTCATTTCCCTTTCTGGTTCCCTTTATGTGCTGTCTGTGAAAGCCCACGCTAGCTGAGCACTTACTTCCCTTTCAAAGACAAGACCACCGAATCTGCACAGTACCAAACCACACGCTTCCTCCTGCCCCCAGAGCGGTTGCCCTGGCCGAGGCACGAGAGCACAAGATGGTCTCTGGCTGCAGGTGGCACAAGGCAGGGCCTGTCCTGCGCTTTCCAGGCAAGCCCAGTGGCCATCTGCTCTGTCCGGCACCCCCGTTCTCACCTTCCAGGTAAGAGCAAGGAGGCGAGCTGGCCCCAGAGCTCCCAGCAGGTCTGCTGACTCCAGCCCGGCCCCTGGAGGCTCAGGAGGTTCTGACGCTGGCCTCCATCCAGGGAAAGGGCTTAAGAGAAGAACCGCTGCTGCAAGGCCACAGGAGGGCAGATGCTCCGAGCACTGACATGGCCGTTTTCTGCTGAAAGGGCAGCGGGAAATGCAGCTGCTCTGCCTCCCTTGAGGACCTGTCCTTTCAGGACGGGTACAATGACCACCTCCCTGGAGAGAGGTCTGTGCTGGGGATAAAGACTGAAACGAAAGCTGGTCCCAGAAACAGTGTACGCAAGACCTAGTCGGATCCAACTTTCACTGTCCCATTTTGTAATTTCCCTACGGGCTCCTATTGCGGGACAGCAAGCGGATGCTAAGGTTCTACCTATTAAGATACAGTAGAGAACGGCACTGGGTCCTGTGACCCTGAGTCTGGGCTTTGATTACACATCTGCCACAAACTCGTGACGACAATGACACTAACAGCAGCACAGATCACTTGGTGCTGTGCGTTACACTGCACTGGGGCTCCAGGACCATTTTCCAAACAGCTCTTGCGTCTCCCAGGAGAGTGCCATCACCACCTCAGTTTAACCACAGCTTAGGAGGAAGGCCCAGGACATGCCCAAAGGCTCGGAGCTAGTGGCAGATGAGGAGTCTGACCTTAGGCCCTGCCCCAAGCTCACCGCTAGCCCCACGGGGCCGGAGGGGAGCCATAATGAAGTATCGTACGGACATTCAAACACACAACACCCTAAACAAGAATCTGTCACAGTCCCAGAAAGACAGAAGTGGCCAAGACCAATGATCATCCATTTGGTGACCACTCAATTCTCTTGGACAGTACAAAGACTGGGGTGGCTGGATCTTGTATGTGAAAGGGCATGTGAATAATGTGGTTGACTCTTTTCTGGTGGTTTTGTAGTACTAGGGACAGAACCAGGGGCTTGTGCACACTGGGCAAACAGTTTACTGGCTGCAACTCAGCCCTTTTCCACTCTGAGACAAGAGCTCACCAAGCTGTCCAGGCTGGCCTCAAACTTGAGATCCTCCTGTTTCGGCCTCCAGAGTAGCTGGGGTTACAGGTACACACACTACCACACCCAGGTTCAGCCGAGTCTTTTATAGTTTTTTGTAGATTGTCGTTGTGGTATCACTTAGTGGCCCAATCTTACTTCCATAAAAATGTTAACAACTTAATTTAAAAAGCAATTTAGGACTGGACCACAGCTCAGTGACTTAGTACTTGCCCAGGTGAGTGACAGATGCCCTGGGTTCAATGCCCAGCACAGAGGAAAAAGCAATTCAGTCTCAGATCCTCGGCTGAGTTAACTGCAACAGAGGCATGTAGGGGTAGAGTGAAGGGCACAGGCGGCCCCAGAAGGACGGGTTTGGGAATACTCCTCTGCCTGGCTCAGCTGCCTCACCGCACAGGGCAGCATGGTATGGCTGGGACTCAGCGGGACAGTGTGTGTAGACAGCTCAGCACATTCCTGGTGCACTGGAGAGAAGTGTCAGGACTGCTTCCTTGACTGGACACACTCCCTCACCTACGCCAGAAGACCGGAATTTAAGGCAAGGTCAGTTGAATCCAGTCCCTGCTTCAGGAAGAACACTGATCCAAATAAAGGCACACGCTGAAGCTTAAAAGAAATGCCTAAGCTTGGTCTGTCTGGCTCCGATTTCCAACTCTACCTCAGGCACAGAAAACAAAGTCCAACATCCACGCGATTAGTATTTGATAGACAAAATTACACACCACAGTACTGCCCTGTGCACAGGGGTGTTATACTTGGGAGTGTGGGCTGCAGTGCCGGGAGACGACGGTGGGCAGAAGTGAGGCCTAGGCGGGCAGTGGCGGAAGGTACTGGGGCCATGGCTCACGATCTCCACTGGGAACCGAGTGGGTAACAGCCTCCCTTCTTACCTGTCCTGACGCCAGGCTTCCTGGGCGGACAGCATGTGTGCTGGGAGAGTGGCGAACTAAGTGTCTTGCAAGGAGCACAGAGACGTTTCCCTGTGCCGCTTCGGACAGCCAAGGGCAGGCGGGCAGGCAGGCAGCAGCATTGCAGCTGACCTGGGGAGCCCCCAGGGCTGTGCGCTCTCACCTAGACCCCTGCCTGGGGAGGCTGCTATGGTTCTGCCGACTCCCAGAATGGAGCCAAGCCCATGTACTGGACAAGACCAACAGATACATCACAAGGTGAGGCCACGCAAAGCAGAGACACACCCAGCGTCTGCCTCATCTAACACTCACGGTCCTTAGACTCAGCACTTTGCTTGATACAACTAACTCACCCAGGTACCAAATCCTACCATCCTAGAGCACGAAAAACAAGACAGGGTTGTTAGCAACAAGCAGAATAAAAAACTTACCTGGCTTTCCCTTCGCCTCGCTTTAAAACAATCATCCTGTGTCAGAACGGACAAAATATCTTCCATCTTAATCTCGGAAACGCTGTAAAAGGAAGGCGAGTCAAAATAAAACTCACATTGGATGCGTAAGTCTGGCCCATTATCAAGCTACTTAAGACATACAAGGGCTCGCTGTATTTCAGGGACAGATCAGGTAATAGTCCCAGCAGTTTCCTCCCCTGATACATTTAGAATAGGTTAGGTTTAGATTTTTCCTCATAGGGATGACGTCTTTCTTCCCATCCCTTCCCTTCCCTTCCCTCCCTCACCTCCTTCCTTGGGGTGCTGGGGATTGAATTCAGAGCATTTGTGCTCAGCTACATCTCTAGCCCCTTTTTATTTTGAGGCATGGCCTCCGTAGGTTGCCCAGGATGGGCTTGACTGCAATCCTCCTGCCTCAGCCTCCCATGGACTATAGGCATGTGCCACAACACCCAGCATGTCATTACTTCTCAACAAATCTTGAGTCCAAGACAAGTAGGACTTACTCCAGAGGGACCAGCTACCTTGACGTGAGTGATGCTAAATGTTCCAGATAGTCTGTTGAGCTTTACTCCAAAGGTGGCCAAAGCCCCTGAGCTACCATGGCAGACACCTCACAGTGAAGTGACCTAACCCCTGTCCACAGCACCTCTGGCCTTTTTTCCTACCCTGGAAAATCTTCACTGGTCTTTTCTCCTGGTGGTTTAGGGGCAGGGACCACAAGGTCGCCAATGAATCTGGAGCTATGTGCACACCTCGGAAGTCCTCACGAGCTGAAGCCAGAAGGCGCCAAAACAAAAGCGTAGGCCCTGCCTGCTGGGGAGTCTGGTACACAAACACTGCAGTAATGATCGTGAGGCCACAGCAGGGACAGACAGACACAGACCAGGAAGAGTGAGCCGGCAGGAAACGTGAGCAGAAGCAATACTTCCAGGAGAAAGCCAGGGAGGAGGCAGGGAGGAAAGCAGATCATAAAAAGACAAATGATTTTGTTGCACTTTTTTTCTTTGAAAATATACCAGCAAACTAAAACACGAGAGGCACCCTCTTCTGTGGGAGAAGAAGACGATTCTCTCCCTCTCCCCAAAGGTTACTGCAACAAGGCTGGGAATGATAACGCCACATCTGCCGGCCACTCACCTGTGTGTGCCAGCTCCCGGCCACCCGCCCCCACCTCCCAGCCCCTTGGCTGGGGCAGTGGAAAGGCCACCACAGCAGAGGGGCCTGCGGCCAGGCCATGGGACTGTCCTCAGGCAGAGAGCATTGTGCGTGCCAGGGTCCCGGGAACAGACAGGGAGAACACGGCCTGTCCTACCCTTACTCTGTCTTGTAAGCTTCTGTTCATCGCCTTCCTCTCAGAAAAGAATAAAGGAGTGGGGAAACGCATGGAAAAGAAACAGAGGCCTTGGAGAGAAATCCTGACACAGAGAGACCAGAAGAGTAACAGCCAGGGACACAAAGCACTAAGGAGGCCACCGAAGGGCGCAGAGTCGTGCACACACGCACACCTACGGCCTGGCACTCGGCGTGTCCCTCCCCCAGCACCGGGGCCATGCGCCGGCAGGGCAGCAGCCCAGCGGACTGCAGTGATGCACAGCCTGTGGGCCTCTTTCCTGTTTCTAAGGAACAGAACACGTCTGCTCCGGATCACCAGATCTAAACCAACTCGCCTCCTAGGAAAAGCCAGCAAACTACATGCAGGGTATTGTCTCACGCCTACCCTAAGGAACGCGTGTTCCCATGAGGCACTTACAGGCACTGTACCAATGGTGACTTTTATTTTATTTTTTGTCTTTTTCCTTTTTATTGGTACCGGGGACTGAACTCACGACCACCTGGAAGGCAGGCGCTTATGCTGCTGAGCTAAATCCCCAGCCCCCCAAGGGTGACTTTTAAAGGGGACTGAAAAAGTGAAACAGCTAACAAATGTAAAGAAGTCAAAAGGACACTGGAACCCAGTTTCGGGTCCCCTCCGCCTGCCTGAGGTGGCAGCGGCCCCGCACGCCTGACTCTTGCCTGTTGGCTAAACTGAGCTGTGGGAGTCCCACAGCAACTACACACGAAGCCAGGCGCTTCGTGCCCTCGCTGCTGAGAGCCTCTGCCTGCCTTTCCAGATCTTCCCTGCAATCCATCAGGAAGCGGCACCCTGCTGCCTGGGTCTTGCATCCTCAGGCACAAACACACACCTCTTCCCCTTGTTTCCTCCTCTTAATATTCAAGAGGTACCACTCGATTCCACAAGGGTTCTGGTCTGCTTTCCCTGCAGTCCGCAGCTAGTTCTCCTCTGGATTCCATCACTGCACCACTGCCCATGGTGATGGCCCACGTCATAGCCTTTGCTCAATCTGAAATCAGCGAGTGCAATGCAGGCTGTGCCTTCAGCAACCTGGACTGTGGTGTCCATCTCGGCTGATTCCATCTGCCTGGTGGCAGGCCAGGGCCTGAGCAGGTGGGTGCTGGACAGACGGCAGCACGGGCTCACACAGGACCTCACACTCCTCACTGGGAGGTCCGGCCACCCCATGCTCTCCCGCCTGGCACCACCCTCCTCTGTGTCCTCACCGAGACCGTGGCTGTGGCCTGCCTAGTGCCTCCCTTTGTACGGCAGCCTCACACTGAGTCTCAGCCCAGCGCCAGCCGGCAGCGTTTCACAGAGAAGACCACCACAGAGGTTGCCTATGCTTGGTGCATTTCTAAAACAGACCTGGTTCACTAATAATTCCTGTGTGGGATAATCACTGTTCTCCTTTTTTGATTTTAGCTTTATGTCTGAACCTTTCATAGCAACTGCCTTGAGTGTGTTTACTTCTATTTATTTTGGTAACAGGAATGGAACTCAGGACTCAGGCTTGCCAGGTAGGCGCTTGTGCCACTGAGCTACATCCCCAGCCCTGAGTATTGTATTAAAGAAAAGTCAGGGCAACACAGACAGTGGGCACCTGTCCTGCTGGCCTGCAACCAGACAGTCACCATCTGACCTGTAATTGTGGCCCTGTGCTTCTGCGAGAGGGGATATTGTCAAGGTGCCGGGCAAGGACAGCACAGGCCTGGGCAAACAGGAGGCTGCAGAGGGAAAGGAGCCACGGACACAGTGACAGTGCTGAGCCCTCCACGGGCCCACCAGAGCACCAGGAACACTTTCCATATGGCACACATCCTGTGACGGAGGAAGATGCCCCCGAGGGGTGAGGGGAGGAAAGAGACCCTGCCCTGCAGAAAAGGGTGGCAAAGAGGCACAGCAGGGAGTGCCCCCTTAGGGACACAGATTTCAGGGCGTGGCAACGCCCAGGGGGGGCAGGGTACTGAGTGACTGACTAGGTACTCAGTAGGGCCAGGATGTAGCTCAGTGACCTAAGCATCTGCCTGACAAGCACAAGGTCATGAGTTCAATTCCTGGTACAAAAAAAAAAAAGACACAAGTCCCCTCATAGCTAAGAAAAAGTGCATACATTGCTATGAAACAAGGGCCACTCTCCTAGTCGATAGCTGCATAGCAGAATGGGTTAAAAGGAGGAGAAGGTCAACTGTATTCTGGGCCACCTGACACCATCACCAGGAGGAGGCTCTTGACTTCTGCCATGCCAAAGGACGCAGGTGCCTCGTGTGAAGAGCCTCAGTGCACCAATGCCTACCTTGACAGCCTGAGAAGTCTTTCAGCCTGAGAGGGCAGCTCCACAGGCCAGGAAATGTGGCACCAATGGCTGGGGACACCCACATAATGAGGAGGAGTGGAGGCCTGTGATCAATCCTGCTGGCCTCTGGCCAGGCCCCACGACTGCCTGGACATTTTAGTTTGCTCGTAGAATATAACAATTTTTCCACCTCTGTACTTCAGTGGGTAGGGGAACCTTGTGGTCTTATTCAATAGTTTAGATAAAGCCGAGGAGTGGGCAGGAAACACCCAGAACAAGAACCCCACACCTCAGTGCCTGGCGCTCAGCAGCACCAAGCAGCCCAGGGTGCTGCTGGGGATGGCCTGAGTCTGCTCCGTCCAGGCAGACACGTGGCTCTTCCCAGGCTTCCAAAAACGCTTTCATCTGTCACCATGCTACGGTGGAACAGAAGAAACCCTTGAAGGTACATGTGTTTTAAAAACTGTATGCCTTTAGAATTCTCTCCCAAGATGAGAACCTGCTTCTTTAGGTGCCCGAGATTTCACGGCAAATGTAACAAACCTAGCTTTGGGGCCCAGGCAATCATATTTCCGCTTCTCCAGGGGAGTTCTGCCAGCGACAACACAAGAGCACGGCTGCAAAGTCCTGGCTGCGTGTGTACGGTGGGGGAGTGATCACAATTGTGTGAATCCACCCCAAGCCTTGCAACTATCTTCCTGCGGGAAGGGACTTGGATGATGTGTGAAAACCATTCTTTCTTAAAGACCATGTAACTTTGAACCTATGAGATGTTTAACTGCAATAAATAAAAACCGTGACCAAAAAGAGCCTCTGAGAAGCTGGCCGTGAGGACTCCGCACCCTCACTTCGGAGCAGGAGAAATGAATCACAGACCTCATCTTAAAGCAATACAGAGCGCAACAGACTGTCCCGAGACTTTGCCTGGCAGCCCAGTGAAAACTGTCAGGGCAATAAGGGTTTTAGTTTTTGCCACTGGCTATTCTGGGACTCATTTAGGGATCACAAGGGTTAATGGCTGTTCGGCAGCTTACAAGGCCCATCCGCTATAGAAAGTGACAGAAAGTTAATTAGGTGAGACCGAGGAACCCTTCAGGTTTCTGACTCACTTGATTTTGTGAGAAGCCAAGGAGTTGACATATTCTGCCTCGGAAGGAGCCAAAATGAGCAGGCTGCTCCCACGGCAGCCAATCCGGGCCGTCCTTCCAATCCGGTGGATGTATTCTGCAGGGGAAGCCGGAGCGGTGTACTAAAAAGGGTAACAAAAATGAAGGCGTTCAAGATCAAGGGATCGCCATTAATTGGAAGTGCAATACCCCGCACCTGCCTCCAGGTACCCCAAGAGTTAGACCCTGGTGCTATGGTTACTCTAACACAATCACAAGGAGAAGTCACTCAACCCTGAAACTCCCAGCTCATTGAAATAACAAGGCTGACACACGGATGTGAACAGTGGCCAGGTTTCAGATAAACGAGGCACCATCTTGTCCCAATATCTCCTTTTTAATTTTACTTCTCCACAGGTCTCTTCATTTTCCTATCTTTCCACAGAGGTGACTGCAAGGTGAGAATGTAGGCAGGCAGGGCAGAGCTCTCCGAGATAACCACGAGACCTTGGCCTACTTCCTCGGCAGACAGAGCAGCAGGGCCAGGGAACAGAGACTGCGCTGGCAGAGTCGCCTGTGCAGCCGGTCCAACACTCCTCCAGCCAGTGGAGACGCAGGGTGGGGTGGGGCGGGGCCAGCCCCTGCAGGTGGATACCGGCTCTTGTCCTCTCAGCTGAGTGGACTAGGCATAGCATTTTTGTTATTGTTGGCTGGAATGCTATCATCAAATGACCACACATTTGCACTGCCACAAGACTGCAGAGGAGTGGGCCAGGCAAACACGCTGTACAGGAAGCCAGGCGTGCTCCCCAGAGTAGGAGTCCCAGTGCAGGGCCCTCTTCGATCAGCTCCGTGCCCAGCCTCCAGCGCCATACGATGATGCCTGCCTTCTCACTCCCAACCTCTCCTCTGAGGCCAGCAGAAAAGAAGACACAGTGCCTCTAGTCCTAAAGTCATCGTCTGTGAGAAGCAGCTTGGATTTGCTAGCCGGAGACAGGCATGCAATAGCACTAAATGTGAATAAACCATGACTCATGTAAACAGGGCATGTGTCCTCCAGCCCCACACAGAAGGGCTTAAAAATACCATTCTGCAGATAGACTGCACAAAGAGAAAACAAAATGAAACCCACTAGATTCCAGCGCTAACACCTGTACCCTCTGGCAAAGCGTCTAAGGCTAGAGGTATGTGTAAGATGCTGTCAGGAACGTAACTGCTCCCTGCAGGTCAATGTTCCCGGACACGGCTCTCAGGACAGCTAAGCATCTCCTCTGGACACAATGAGGCCTCCCAGGGCCCAGATAATTCCTCTTATTTTCAGAATGTTGAAACTTTGGTTTGTGACACAAATTAGTCTCCCCTTCTCCTGTGACTGCATATCCTGGCTTTTGAGACGTAGTGGTGGGTGGGCTAGGTTAAGAAAAGATGTCAGGAGAATTGTGCAGTTAGGGCTGATTGCTGGCTGGTTACCAGGGCAACACCCGAGAGGGTAATAATAATTATTCTACTTAAAGCCAGTGCATCTGCTCATGATCATATGTTCCTGCCTCAAGCTCATACTTTAACAACTAAAAAATTACCTGGATAATCCATGTGACTTGTGGGAGATCTAAGCCCCGCGCTGCAACGTCCTTCAAAACAAAAAAGTGTATGGTTAGGACCCAGTGTGTGAACTCTGTGGTGGCAGCAGGTCCATGGTACGCTCAGCATCTAACACAACTCAGAGGGTTCACTTATACGTAATGTACACATACACACACACCCACCCACATTCAACTTCAGGTAGCCCAAGGAGCCACTGAAGCCTGTGATTACGGTGAAGAATTCTGATTTGGGGCAAAGTACAATAGAACCCTTGTACAACCCAGGTCACGGGTTCAGATACGAGCTCTGAGGAACGCGTCTTACACCCTCCCACTGAAAAGCCACTGTGACACAGGCATCCGGGGATTACCACCCCAACCTGCAGGCAAGGCTGGTTAACAAAGGCAAGGGTGGTGGCGGTGACCGCAGTGCTTGCTGTGGCCTGGGCCAGCACACGAAGGCCCAAGGGACCTGCTGTCCCCCTCGCCCATCACTAGATTTGGGGCAGCTAACCTGCTCACTGCTGCGAAGACTTAGCTGAAACGTTTCCAGAGCAATGGAGAGTTGTTTTCTCTTTCAGCTGTCTGGCAGTACGACAGACAGTGGAATCTCCTAGTCCTTAGCAGTGACTGGCACTCAGAATTCAACTTCAGCATTCAGTGGCAACACTGTGCCTGGTCACTATTCATTGAGGCCTTACTTCACACCAGGTGCTATACCTAACATTTTTCCTGCCTCTCCTACTGATCAGCCTCCATTTGTCAGATGAGAAAACCAAGATTCAGTGGGGCCAAGGAACCTGTGCAGGGGCACCCAGCTAAGAATCAGCAGGAAACACAAACCCAGGACCCCTTAATTATGTTCCAAGGCCAGAACAGATCATACTGCCTGCTGTCATCAGAAGAGAACAGCCCAAACTCCTATGCTGGGTACTTGGTTTGGCAAGATCAGCCCTGCACCTCCCCTTCAATCCAGAGCTGTCTCACGCTAAGAGGGGCGCTGGCGGAGCTGTAAGGGACGGGTAGTGAGGCTCCTCAGCCAGCCCTGGGGCAAAGCTGCTGTGCACCATGTAATAGCATCGCATCTGTGACAAGGACAAGGTCTGTGTTCTGACTTGGAGACCCTCCAGGAGATAGTCCAAGTGTGTCGTATGCTTAGTGCACCGAGGAAATAAAAGAGATTTGCTTATTTTCCAAAAGCAACCACGGCAGAAAAATCCCCAAAGCTTACAGAAAGTTACCTTTGGGGGAAGGAAGAAACAGGGAGAGCGGAGAGAGAGCCAGACTGCCTTCAGTGAGCTGCCAAAAACCAAAACAAAACAAAGCAAAGAAAACCACTCAACTCCAGGGTCCTGTGCATGCCAGGCAAGTTCTCTACCACTTGGCCACACCCCCAGTTCTTTTTATTTTACTCGGAGGCAGGGTCTCTCCAAGCTGCCCGCAGGCTGGCCTAGAACTTGTAACTCTACTGCCTTGGTCTCCCAAGTAGCCTGGATTACTGGTGTGTGCCCCAAACTAGCTGGCATATTTCCCCCGCTTTTTGAGACTGGGTCTCGCTATGTAGTTCAGGCTGGTCTTGAACTCACTTAGTAGCCCAGTCTGGCCTCAAACTCCACGGCAATCCTCCTGCCTCAGCCTCCCTGACTGGCTCTAAAGAAAACAAATGATTTTATTTCTTCAGCCAAAATTCCCGAAGCTGGAATAGCACCCTTGCCTCTTCATGAACTCCCTAGCTTCTTGGTGGCCACCATTTTTGAAGAGTCCAGGAGTCTGAAGGAAGCACCCACACTCTGCATTTGTCTACCTGCATCCTGGCAGGAGTGCAACCTTAGGCTGGGATGCATGCCAAGGCTGCACGCTGCAGCTTGTCCTGAGGGGTGACCAGGCTTGGTCACTGCAGTAGTGTCCATCAGCTTCCACTGCGAAGGTGCCTTTCTTCTTTGTAATGGTAAATAACCAGGGAGATGAGACTGGAACCCCTGAATGTTCCTAACATGTCTCGCTATGGGGCCTGGACTCTAGTGGTGCCTCTGGTGGCTGCAAAGGGTGGCTTTCTGGGTCTACTGTTCCTTCCTTCCACTCTGCAGCTGAGAAATTCTGCAGTGCAGCCTCTTCCAACTGCTTTAACCCTGAAGGATCTGTACATCCACAGCTTTTCTCAGACATAAGCTCAGGCCCAGTTCTGTAAGGAGCACCCTCCCTTTACCCTGGGCCAAGGTCCTGACAGCACTCGTGAGAGGCCAGAGGAAACCCCGGCCTCCTGTGAGCCATGCTAGGCCATGCTTGTTGCGTGTGAGCGCAGTCCACGTCAGCTACCCGGGAAGCACCTAGGGGGCTGATGGCTCTGAGAATACAGTCTTAGAGTACAGTCTGCCCAGGTGAGTGGGACTGGCTTCGTACACCGGGCACAGTTGGGTCATTAGGAAAGCTGATCCCTTCCTCCCTCCATCCGCTAGGTCCCTGCTGAGAAGTGACCCAGATGACCTGAGTGCTTTGGGCGGCAGGCCTATGAAGACAAAGGGCTGCCTGGGCTATAGACAGGCTCTGTAATACACGTAAGGCGCCTCGTTGAGCAAAGTCAACCAGGAAACAGATGAAACAGCGTGTGTCATCTGTGAAACTCACTGAGTCTAAGCATGCGGGAACATGATGTCCGAGGGTCACCAGGCTGTGACCCTGTCCTCCAGTCTGCACCCCTCAGGCAGGCACAGCCTCCCTGACAGCCAGCTCTGCCTCTCCTCCTCACTTTCTCTTGCCCAGACAGCGCCAGCCACAGCTCAGGGACAGCACTTCTTCCTGCCCCATCTATTAGGGAGAGAGGAAGGAACACAGTGGCGAGGCAGCAGGGCAGACAGAACCCAGTTGGCTCTGAGCTCCCGTGGGTGGCCTGCAGGAAGGCTGCAAACTGCCCCTCGCCGCACAAGGTCATTGTGCTAAGCAGGTGAGACCCTGTATGCTGAAAATGCACTAAGACCCGAAACCCGAGTGTCTCTGGCCTTAAATTATCATGGCGTTGTCAGCGCCCCTTTCCTCCTGCCCCACCACTCATCGGCCTCTGGGCAAGCGGCCCCAGAGATGCCTGAGCTGGCTGTGCTCATCCACAGGAACAGGACCTGCCAGGATGCACAAAGGCTTTGGTTCTCTGCCTGATCCTAGAACTTCCGCACCGACGCAGCCCAGCCTACTCCTTTAATCTCATTAGGGCAAAGGAATCACTAAAGTCAGTTCTGAAAGACACTCCCCAGCAAGGCCTTGCAGGCCCTGGGCTTGACAACTGGCTGCCTCCATGAGACCCAGGAGTACAGATGGAAGGCAGCTTGCTCAGGTGCCAGCCTGTCAGTTGGATTAAAATGACTCATTTATTTACCCAAGAACCTCACAAAGTGCTTTTACGAACAGGGAGAGGGGGCTGCGACTTTCTGAGAGGGGACGCAGCAAACTGGCCTCTGACGCCTTCCCGGCCTGCCAAGAGTCATTATTGCCGTGTGTGGAAAGCCATCAGCAGGGTACAGGCCCCTGTTGTCCGGGTGACAGATTGGGCTGCGTAATCAGAGGAGGAGAGCGAGCGCTCAGAAGCTGTCAGAGCTGAGCGCTCCTGGCTGGAGCCGCCAAGAAACTGGCAACATGAGTTAGCGTAGCGGAGTAAACAGCAAACAATCTCCAAATGTCTGCCCATTAACACCAGCAGAGTAAAACGGGGAGACGAACTGTACCTGAAAGGCACGCCCTGAGGAAAGCCAGAAGCCTGCACTGGAGCAGGCGCTGGGCTGACATTCCTGTGACCCTCAGAGCCTCGGGCCTTTGTGTCCTGGCTGCCTGGCATGGTGGAAATTCCCCGGGAGGAGAGGAAATTAAGAACTGCACAGACATAACAGTGCTTCAAGCGAGAGAGACAGAAACAGAGACAGAGACAGACAGAGAGACAGAGACTACGCAGAGCAGGACACATAAGTCCGTCCCCTGAGAGAGACACAGCCTGTGTGAGCGAGCTCTGCTCACTGCCAGGGCTGCTCGGCCAGCAGACCCTGGGGGAGTCGGGCCTCTCTGTCCTGGGGAAAGGTCACACATTTCTATTTGTTCAGCAACAACCAAGGAGGGAGAAAGCCTAGCTTAGCTGTAACACAGGGGTCTTCAGCCGCCCAGTGGTATTTCTCCTTAGTGGTGGGTCACCACAGCATGGCCTAACAGACCACGTTCTTTCCTTCAGCTTGGGTAAGCATTTAATTCATTTGGGAAAGGGTGCCTTGGACTTTCGAATTACTTCTCCCTACTCCCCCACAATCTGGCTCGTCTGTGGATCTGATTTTCCAGAGGACACAAAGTTATATCACCAATGTGTGGAGGCTCGTCTTTCACAAAGGGGTCTCCTGCCCTGACCCCCTAAGCTCACCTCGAGACAGACCCACACTACTGAATAGCTGCTCCTGCACTGTGGGCCTGGTCCTGGGATGAATTACACAGGCCTTTGCTTTTAGGGTGCTTTTAATCAGCATGAACACATAAACACTCACACACCCTTAGCTGCTCCTAGATGGAAGGAAGTGGGGGTTCAATCAGTGAAGGACCCAGTGGTACTGTGCTGTTCTGTGTAGGTTCAGAACAATTTACAAATTTTCACAAAGACCTGCAGCCTTCTCTGGCTTTGTAAGAGGACCCTGGAATGATAAATTAAAATGGCAAAGGCATGGACGGCACAGAGGGGACAATCCCTGCGTAACAATTAACACCAAGCCCCTTTATCAAGAAGCCAGATATCCATCTGCCTGGCCCTAATACGGCCCTCGTTCCTCATTAACACCAAGGCAGCTCCTGGAGAGTGCTCGGATGGCCTGGCACGCAACAGGCTGCTCATGAGGAGCGGTGACAGCATCCCTCCCTACCCAGCACCATCTATCACAGTGCGCACACCTCACCACCCCGCGCCTCTCAGACACCAAACATGTCAAGCAAAAGCACCCGACTACGGCAGAAGCAACAGCATCTCTGTGAGCGAGAAGAGAACCTCTCATCACTGGGAACGGGCCCCGAGCCTGGCCTGGAAAGCCAGGAGCCAGCCCCAACCAGGTCCTCTCTGTCACTCTGCAGGTGAAGAGGATGCACCACTGTGGTGGCTGTCTGTGCACTGAACTGATGGGGACAGGCCGAAGCTACGACCCGAAGAATTTAGGGAAACCAGAGGGTGGGCAAAGGAGAGTTTGCTCTGCACCAGGGGCCTGGGGGTACTGTGCTGTGGCAGGACAATGGTGTCCTTTGTCTAGCTGATGCCACATCCTGCAGACACCAGCTGGACAGAACCGGAAAGCGATCATGTGCCTCGGACCCTACTGTGAGTTATATTGTAGAAGGAATGTTTTCTCTTCCATGCAGAGGTATGTGGAAGTAACATATATTGAGCTTTAGATATCTGGAGCTTTCTCTGACACTACACGCCTTTACATGCTGCAAAGCATGGGAATGTCTCCATACCAGAAATGCAACAATCGCCCAGGCATAAACCTAGCATTTTTTTTTTTTTTTGGTCTTTTTCGTTTTTATCGGTACCAGGGATCGAACTCACGACTGCCTGCTTGCAAGGCAGGCGCTTATGCCGCTGAGCTAAATCCCCAGCCTCCAAACCTAGCATTTTAATGGACAAAGAAAAAGTACCTGAATCTCAACATGGAGGTCCCTACTGCTGCTTCAATGCAATCTGTAACATTCACTCTTCAGACAACACCATTTGGATGAAAAAGCGCCCCGTGGATGAGTGTGTTAATTTCCACTTCTCCCTGTCTTCAGGACATGCACACATCAAGCATTTCTTGGCCTTGAGACCCTGGGGGCCCATCCGGGTACCCACTAAATAGTCACAACACCAAGTGCCCCGTGTGCCCCCTGTGTTAGAGGCTGGGATGGAACTGAGAACACTTCACGGTCCTTGTTCGCATGGAGCTTCTCATACCTAGACCAGGTGTGAGAGGCATTACTGAGAGAAACTCGGGCGCGTTTTCTGAAGCAGTGAAGTTGAGGCTGTGGTCTAAGCAGGGGCTGGCCACAGCTGGGACTGGGGGCTTTTCCAGACAGAAGGCAGAGCCTGTGTCAAAACCAAGGCCAGAAAGACGCATCTGAGGAACAGTAAGAGGGTCCCGCCGGGCTCAAGGGTGGTCCCATGGGCAGGTGCAGGGAGAAGGACAGGGAAACGGGAGCCCCCAGATTGATGTTAGTGCCCACACGATGCAGATAGATAGAACATTTACATTTATAGATCAGATAGAACATTTACAGAGCACGAGCATCTGCCTTGCAGGCTGGCTCCATCAACGGAAGCGCCAGTCAGACTCCTCAGGAGGTTGGAAGGATGGGGGTCCCTGGAGCCACCGCCAGGTGTGTATGAGAACAGACGCGTGAAAACATGAGCATAAGCTGGTTTCCAAGCAGATCTTTGTGTAAAGGAGCACACGCACATGCATGCGTGCACACACACACACACACACCCCTGCATGCACCTACAAACTCGTAGAGAGAAAACTATCTCTCTTACCTTTAAAACTGAACGGTAAGGAGTTCCTAAAAAGCAACTATGCTAAATGAGGCGTTCAAATAACTAGATGCAAATCTGTCTTTACCCAGCCCATTCACTGAATTTACTAAATTTATAGTACAATTTCATTCCTGTGTAAACGGGGACTTCTCCAATAACCACAGGGGACTCCGGCTACGTCCCCAAGACAGCACAAGCAGAGAAGGCATTTTAATCTGGGGAGAGCAGGAGGTACGGGGAGAGGAGAGACACAAAGGTGTAGTTTTCAATCTCAAAAGAGCAGAAAAGACACTCACTGAAAAGGTCAGCACAGCACTGTGAGAGGCAGCACTGGGCCGCGCTGACTGAGGCTGGACAAACTGGTCCTGGGAATCCTAGGGCAAATGATGGTTTTCAACAACAGCGAACAAAATCTGCCCGTGTGCATCTATTTCCCTTTAAGAGGGCGAGCAGAGGCACTTTGCTGGGGAAAGACTTTCTCAGCTCTAATTACTCCCGATAGCTATAATTTACAAGTTTCTGGTGGCTAGAAATCACCAAGATTCACACATTTTCAGACTAACAGCTGCCACTATTAGTGAGCAAATCGCCAAGTCTTCTGTAGTCAGCTATCTGTGGCACAGTCAGGTGATGACAAGCCAGAGGTGCAGAGCCCCCAGCCACACCGAGCGAGAGGCCTTGGTGCTGCCACTCTCCAGGGGCTAGCCACAGGACAACCTGTCAGGAGACAGCCTGTGTTCCCAAAGGTCACCATCACTCAGCGCAGAGGGATACGTACCGTGCAGAGAAGGACGCCTGTTTTGGAATATGAGAATTCCTGAAACACTGCTGTTCTTTCCTACAAAGACAAGGAAAAAAGAACCTTACAAACACCAAGTTAAATCCCAGCAACGCATCTTAGATTTCCATAACCTCCACACTTTCCCATTGCTCCATTTTTAGGCAGAGGGGCTCCCCAGGAAAGAGCAAGAAGTGGACATGTCTGCTAAGACTCTGCATTACCAAGGTTGGACCTCTGAGACTGACAGAGGCAGAGCTTCAGTGAGCCCTTGCCAGGGTGAGCGCTGCCTGCCCAAGGTCACTGACCAGAGCAGGGAATGCCGAAGGCCACACGTTCTACGTGTGAGTTCCTGACAGATTTCACCCTAGCACATTCTCCTGGCAGCGCTCCAGAGGAACAAAGAAAGACCAAACACCCCTATAGGGCAATTTTAAAACACTGCCCTACAAAATAAAACATTCACTTAAATATGTCTTGTAAGTGTAGAAAAATTCTACTTGATTTGAAGGGAAAAACATTCATTCCATCACTAGGTGCAAACCCCACTACCAGCAGTACTGTAAATTACTCAAGTGCCCCTTCTATGCATAATACAACTAAGCATACGGCTTTAAAATGTTCAGTTAGCAATAACTGCACCTCAGATAATCCTTGCTGGCTACAATACTGCTTCTGTGCAAAGCTAATGATTTTTGATTTTTTTTTTAAAGATAGCCTCTTGGTTTGCAGTGTACAGTGGGTTTGAACTCACTGCGTAGCCCAGGTTGATCTCAAACGTACAGTGATCCTCCTGTCTCAGCCTCCTGAGTGCTGGGATTACAGGCATGGGCCACCATGCCCAGCACAGAGCTGTGCTCTTATGTCTCCATCCAATCTGATTATTTGCTCAGGGCATAAATATTCAAAGACCACAGCACCTCACAGGGCAAAATGGTTCTGCTGAAGGGCTGCACCATCCCCGATGTGACCAAAATCCTGTCACTGGCAACTGAGCTGTCTGCAGTTTCTCACTGTCACAATCGGTGCTGTGCAGACATCTGTGCTGAAAAACTGCCATGCACGCTCTCAGCATCCCCTTGGGCTGAGTCCCTGAGGATGGGTCTGCTGGATAAATAGGGGAGAGCATCTTAGGGCCTCAGCACCCACTCACACAAGGCTGCCCCAGAGTGCGCCGCAGCCACTGTGCTCCAGGTCCCTGGCTGCACCTACCGGTTAGCAACAGAACCAAATCACGGAAAATTTGGAAGGAAAAGTGATGGCTCCCTTTAGTGCTGGCACGGCTGCTGAACCACCACAGTGGGCTTGACCCTGCTCTGTCGCAGGAACTGCTCTATCTGTGCCTGGATGCCAGGGCGCACCTCATTAGAGCTCTGCATAGAGGTGCAGCGACATTGGCGCTGTCCAGCACATCCCTCGGACTGGACCTCCAACACTCACACAGACCCTGAAGGAGGCATAGAGGTTGGGAACCTTGCCTAAGGGTCACACAGGCAGGGAAGGCAGGGCTGATACTAAACCCAAGGAGCACAGCTCCATCCCCTCAGCTGCGGTCCTTAGCAACAAAGGCATACTTTTTATTGACTGTGGAGTCAAATTAAAATCAGAAGCTCTCTTAAGAGCCTTGAAGATCGGAATGCTGTATTTGGAACTGGGCAGCACCTGCATCTAGCAGCCTCTCCAAGGCTGAACTCGTCTGGGATCATGCCAGTCCCACACTCAGGTCCTATGGGCTGTGACCAGGGTGACAGGCCAGGAAGGGGCAACTGGGATGGCTTCGACTTGGTCTAGAATGGGACATGCGACCATGACACAAAGAAAAGAGGCAAGGACAGCACTGCCTCCTGCCCAGCTCACAGGACGCTGTGCAGGCTGTGTATAAACGGAGCAGGAATAAAACACTAATTGTTTCAGCTATAAAAACAGCTAAACTAGCCAGGTGCAGTAGTTCCCATCTGTAATCGCAGCACTCAGGAGGCTGAAGCAGGAGGACTACAGTGAATTCGAGGTCAGCCTGGGTTACACAGCAAGGCCAGCCCAGACAACAGAGCAACACTCTGTCTCAGGAAGAAAACAACAACAACAACAACAAAAAACCCCCCAAAAACCAGTGTGCTAAATGGTTCTTGAACAAAATGTGAAGACAATAGTAACAGCACAAGAAGCCCGCTGAGCACTGTGCTACAGGCCCGAAACTGAGTGCTGTGCTGTGTTACTGGCTCGCTCTGCAGCACACAGTGCTTACACTCTTCCTGGGCAGCTGGGCCACCTCCACATGCATCTGAGTTAGTTCCCATCCCTTTCCCATCTCCCTCCATCTCTGGCCCTCTTCCCATCTGAAAAAGATCTAGCTCCTTACTTCCCATTACCTATCTCTTATTTTGCCCTTATTTACACTTTCGGTGTCTCATGTCAGAGAAACTGCAGTATTCTGTGTGTCTATTTCACTCACCGTTATGGCCTCAAGGTGCACCTGTTTTCCTACAAAAGACTCGCCTATTTTATGGAGAGTAGTGCTCTACCACCCACCCATCTGCTGCGGGCAGAAGGCCCCTCCCCTCCCAAGACTTGGCTAGCGAGACTGACCTGTTCGCTACAAAGGTGGGGATGCACGGGTCACTGTGATATGATGTCTTCCACTTACGGGGAAGGTACCTAGAGGGGAAGTGACTAGGTCCGATGGACTTCTCACTGCAGCTTTTTAAGGGCCCTCCACACTGAGCTCTACAGTGGCTGGCCCATCTATACTTCTGAGAAGTGTTTTCAGGTCTGTTGTCCATCTTCTAAGTGAGTCTTTTACCCTGAAGGGTCTAATTTTCTGAGTTCTTCATACAGTCTATGTATTAGTCCTCGGTCTGAGGAATAGCAGGCCAGACTTTTCCCCTATTCTGTGGCTGACCCTTCACTGACCAGTTGTTTCTTCTGTTGTGCAGAAGCTTTTTTTTTTTTTTTCCTCCCACCCCATGTGCGCTTTTTAACTTGATATAACCCCACCTGTGGATTCTCGGTAGCACCTCTGTGGAACTGTTCTGTTCAGGAAGTCCTTGCCTGCATGCCCTACGACTTCAAGAGCTTTATTTATTTTGTCTTCGGTTAAGTGTTTCCTTGGTCTAAGTGGTTCATCTGCATTACCTCAATGAATTGACATAATTCCATGAAGTAAACGGTACTATCATTCCCACTTTAGAGACACAGAAAAGTTAAACACTTATCTGGGGTCACACGGCCAGCATAGGACAGAGCCAAGCCTAGAACACAGGCAGTTTGTGATTGGGAACACAGCTATGAGCTGCATGCCAGACTCCCCCACCCTGTGGTGAAGACATGGCTATGTGGTCTGAAATCACTCAATGAACGGATCTTTTGTTCAACCTGTTACAATTCCCAGTCTCCCAGTTCCATATCCTTATCAGTATCCTCAGCCTGACCCTGCAGAATGCCTGGTGAGTACTGACCCTGAGGATGAAAAACTTTAAAACAAAACCCCAAACCAAAACTGGCAATAAAGAGTAAAACTAATATGCCTGACTGAATCAGAGAGCTAAAAGTAAAAAAACCCAACAGTTTATAAACTGTCCCAAGGTCTTGGCTACTCAGGGACTTCAGTATCACCTAGCAGTAAAAGCTGTGTCCATGAGTAACCTTGAGCAAGGTCACTTTTCTGGGCCTTCATATCCTTATTATTTAACAAAAGAGAGAGAGGAAAAAGGCTGTATGTGTCTAAGGCCACGGGCGAACGTCAATGCATCTTGAAGCTTACACGACATCACAATGTTTAAGCTGGCGCCGATCTGTCCTGCTGATTCCTGGCTGCTGTCCACCCTGATTTCTGAAGCTGCTGGTGACCTCTCCTTGAGGACAGGATGGCTCCACGCCGTCCATCCTGTTCTTCCCTTCCCACCTTCCCTGACTTGTGAGTACACTGCAGTCCCTTGCTCTACCCTGGCTCCCCAAACGTGTGGCCTCATGAAGAGCAGTAGAGGGGAAGTCGCTAATGCAGGGAAGGGCAGAGCCTCGCCTTGCAGGAGGACGGGCAAGGCCTCTGGTGTGCATCCCGCTCTCGGCCCGAGGTGTGCAAAGCGCAGCGCTGTGTCTTGTTGACAATGACAGCAGCCACGCTCAGCAGTACCATATGGGACCCACAATTTAGCTCCATTAATGCTCTTAATTTGAAGACATCAAGCCCTAATTACACACTGGGTACTAAAAAGGCAAAACCCTTCCCTGGTGCCAGCTCCTTAGTGGTACTCTGTTGCCCGAACAGCTGGCTGAGGAAGGCACAGGCCAAGCTGGCCCTGAGCACTCTCAGGTGGCAGAGACAGGCTGGAGCAAGAGCACCGGGGGTGACAGGCCCTCCCTTGCCCACATGCCCCCAGCTCAGGGGACCCCATCAGTGCCAGCGAAGCCAGTTCCAGGGCACCCAGGGTGGGGTGGGCTGGGGCTCACCTCCTGTTCCATGTTGCCGTGCAGCCGCAGGAATTTTAATCCCACGGAGGCAGATGGCACCGGCCCCGAGGCAGGGGCCCCCGTGAGGCTCTGTAGGGTCTGGAGGAAGAGGTTGTAGTGGAACTCCACCAGCTCGCAGCTGGAGAAAAAGACGATCACCTTCTGGTCCTTCTCAAACTACAGGGAAGGGAAACAGGCACGGTGTGTGCTTAGGCTGGCCCTAAATGACAGTGCTGCACGTTAACTTTAAAAACAGCACTGCTGATCTGTTCCAGAGAGCAGAGGGGCAAGGCCAAGGACAGAGCTCTAACCTCGCACAGGCAGACTGCAGGGCGCAGCTGCCCCTGGGCTCTGTCTCTCTCATCTGCTCACCTGCCTAACCGACCTTACAGGGGCAATAAATCTCACTACCTGTCCCGCGGCCCCATAGCTTACTCCAGCTTCCCACTGCCAAGCGGACACAGATATGAGGACTTTAAGAACTTGAGCACAAGCTCCTACGTTAGCCTCACATCGTGTGTGTTTCTGCCCCAATACCCTAATGTCTGTCCCAGGAAAGGTAGTTTTGGTTAATTTCAGGTGCAGTGTTAAGAGTGGTCACCAGCCTCGGAGTCTGTATCAACCCTTGGGCCCTGACTGAGAGGATGCTTGTTAAAGTCTGCATCTGCAAGCTCAGAGATAAGGTAGAAAATTGAGCTTCATTTTTCATGGTACCGCCACCGCTGCCTGACACAAATAGGACAGGTGCTTCTTCCCTGGGCGGCCATGCCAGGCCACTGTCCTACCTTGCATTTCTGCAGGATGAAGGCCGCTAGGCAGACCAGCCGCAGTTTGCTGGGGACCAATGTCACGTGCTGCTCAAGACTCTCTGGTATGGCGAAGCTGTCCAGCCTGCTGCCAGTCTGTGGAGGACCAGGGTCCTGGGCCGCTCTGCCCTTTGGGATAGACTGGTCATGGCTTCTGTCCACCACAGAAATGCTGACTGGATTGTGTAAACTGATATCTGCTAACCGTGTCACACCTTGGATGAAAAAAAAAAGGACAAAGGAAATTGGTCCCATCTGCGTGTCCCCACGGCATCGACCCAGGCTTTTAAGAAAGTCCCAGCAATGATCTGCCCTCCTGCCACACTGCGGGGGCAGAACCCAGCCTAACAACCCATTCGTGCTAGCGCCTGCTTCAAACTCCTGCTATGGAGACACCCACAGGGACAGTGCATGGTGGCACCACCACACTAGAAAAGGCGCTTGCTCAGGCAGCTCCTTTTCCAAACTTTCTTGCTGCAGGCCTTCCCTGTACCAGGTCACGGTACACCATGAGTCTCTAGAGCTAATGAGCCCCTCCAGGGGCCGTCTCTTACAGCTCCTTCTTAAGGTACTTTAGGAAGGGTTGGCCAGCAGCACACATGGCACCTGGCCTGGGCACATCACAGTGTGGCCCAGCAGAGGCCACGAAGGCGCTCTATTGTCCATACAAAGACTCAGTCTACAGGGCGGCTCTGATAAAGTGGTGCGATTTTTTTCCCAAACCTTAGTTTTCCTACCAAGAGAAGTAAGAATTTCGCTCCTGAAGAAAGAGCTAAAGAATAGGTATTTTTAGTCAAGTAAAAGTCAGAATGATTACTCTCAAAAATGCACTTGGGAAACAGCAAGAGCCCCAGTTTCCCAGCTGCAACTCCAGCAAAACCTCATGAACTTCCGGGCCAGTGGCAGCTGCCCTTCCTCCCCTCCCTAGGTCTGGGCACACAGCAGCCCAGGGAGATCGGGTGAGTGGGAAGAACAGTCCTCTGGAGATACCCCCCTGCCCCCAGGCCACCCTTCCCTGTCACTCACTTTCCGTAAGTGTGGCCGACAGCAAGACGTTCTGCCGCTTCTGGCCCTCGGCGTTTACAGCATTGAGGATCACAGTGAGATCCTTCTCAAAACCCAAATCCAAGATTCTGAGGTTGTGAGAGAAGAATGGGGGATGAGTCGGGGGGGCACTACCACAGGCCACCGACGCTGCCGCCGACACAGACATGCAGACCTCCCCAATTCCCCCACTGCCAGCCTGGGGCTCACCTGTCGGCCTCATCCAACACCAGCCACTGAATCCGGCTAAAATGAATGTTCTTCGTGGATTTTATATGATCCACCAGCCGTCCAGGAGTTGAGATGAGGATATTTATTCCTTTGCGGAGTCTGTTTAAAATTATGTGTCTTAAGAGAGAGCAAACCGAACAGGGCCATGGCAACTGAAAACACATGAAAGGGGCAGAGGACACAGATGCACGCCCTGCACATGGGGTGCGACACGATGGCAAGGAGGTAAAGGGCATGCAGGCCGCCCACATTGACAGAACGCACCCAAGATTACGGCCCAGTCCTAACGCCACTACTCGGCAAGGTGTCCTAACCACTTCACCAGCAGTCTCCATTTGACAATGGACCTTCCAGGATGCTCCAGACATGTGGATGGTTCTAGAAGGCTCCTGCGCCAGGAACCTCCTAGCCCAGTGAGCTACTTGACACCAATGAGCCCTAACTGCTACAATGCTTGTTTCCCACAACAAACTCTAGTTAACGTCCATGAAGCAGTCTCTGTTTTGCCCACAGAGCATGCAGAGTTTAACGTCTCACACCCAAACCACCACACTCCCATTATTCTACAGCGGCAAACACAGCCGCCAGTTGGCCACACTGTCTCGTTTGCTTTTCAGTATCATTTGGCCATGCACCTATGTTCTTCAGCAATGGGACGTTCCCCCTCTTTTCTGTGGTACTGAGGATTGAGTCCCGGTCTTCACGCTGAGCTCCAGCCCCGGCCATTTTTATTTTGAGACTGTGTCACTAAGCTGCTCAGTGGGATGGAACTCCATCTCCTTCCTCGGCTCCCAGCTGGACTGCCTGAATGTGAAAGAGATCCTTCTGTGCTCTTTGTGCCACTGCCGTTTTCCCTGTTATGTGGGTGGAAAACAAGTCGCTAAGCTCCTAGTGTGCACAGAAGGGAGTCACAGCCAGGGGACTGGTTATAAGTGGCACGCTGCAGAGTGCCTGGTGGACAGGAGTTATGAAGGGAACAGCACTGCACCCACCACACCAGAAGGGACCTGTGTGCAGGCTGGTCAGCACTGACTGGACACCTGATCCACCCCTCTGCAAGGGTCAGGAGGCACAGTGAGTGACAAGGCTCTTGCCAGTCGCGAGGAGCAACTCTTGCTGATAGGATGGGACACATTCCAGAGAATAAACAGCAGCCACCCCTACCTGGCTTTTTCTGATTTTCTCTTCTCTCCACCCATCAACACTCCAGGAACAATCCAGGTGAATGGCTACAGGAAAACAGCAGACCGAAACCAACGTAAGGCACCCCTGCCTGTGCACGTGTGTGTGCACACATGCGCGCGTGCGCAGAGTCTGTCGAGTCTAAATTCTAGCTCTCGAGCAAGTCAGGCCAGAGGAATGTGCTGGTCTCGCCCGTTCCTGTACACAAACAGCTTGTGGGCACTCTATGCTCAGGTGAAAGCACTAACTTGATCATGGCTATGTAACTCGCTTCCAATGCTGTGGGGGGCCAGTGTGAGCTTCTTAAGTGAGTCAAGCAGTGCCTCTACCTTTCCCCATGGAATCAGACTCAGAACAAAGCCCAGTACCACTGCTGCCTTTGGCTGGGGGTTAAGGCAGAGCCCAGACAACTGTCTCCTACTCTCTACCCCTGGTCAAACAAAGGACCCAGTAACTCATGGTCTTGTTTGGTGGAGTGGCCAGCCCTGAGCCTCGGGCCTTCTCTCTCTTCTCTCCTGGACAAAGCCCAACTGAAGCTCTTCATAGCTGTCCACTGGCTCACCTGCGGGTGGTCCCGTGAGTCGCTATGCTGCTTGCTAGTGGCTCTGATGAACAGACCACGGAACTGTCAGTTGTGAGAGACACAGCTGGGTTAGCTAAGCTGGAAATCAATGGTCACTGAGGTTTAGTTCAGTAAAACCTGCAAACTACACCTATAGAAGGCAGAGATGTCCAGGAAAGAAAGAAGTAGCTGAAAGTCCTCTCTCTTTGAAAATGAAGACTATATATTAATTTTTCCTCAAACTGTCAGAAAAAAAGATAAAACTGAGCTCATGGCTTGTCTTACCTTAAGCAGTTTCTGGATAGTGTCAAAGCTTTGGAGAGCCAGCTGAAAACATTAAGAAGTTAAGGATATGAATATGGTCTCATCCCCCGACTCCCCTTTTTTGAAAAAGTCATGTATAGAGATTAGGATCCAAACCTGAACCTCAAGTTAAGATTTAAGGAGAAAATATCTACATACAGAACCTGCTCTGGAAATCTACCTTGTTCTGAAACTGGCTGTGCAACCTGTTAGCCTGGGAAGTGAGGGTAGACACATCACATCCATTTCTTAGACATGTGCAATGTTTTGTGCTCCCTCTGCTGGCTCAAATTCCCAGAGCATCACATAGAGAAGTTCAAATCTACAGTGCAGAAAGATGGAAGATGAAACTAAGCTAACATAAATCTGGCCCTCTTAGAAAGAGACAGAACTTAACACGAACAAAGGGATGCCCTAGGACAGTGATGCAACATGCTAGCTGTTGGGGACCTCGCTTCAAGGTGATTTGCTGTGTCTTAAGGCCATGTCCGTGTATCTAAAGACTGACAGGCAGTCACTCTTAAGTTTACAAAAACAAAAGCAGAACAGCACTCGAGGGAAACCAGAGAAAGTGAAACGTAACGTAGGTGCTAACTTTCCACCACCATTTAAAGAGCCTGCACTGACTCTCCTGGGGTGTGACAGTTTGCGGGTGAGGCTGGCGTAGTTCTTTGCTGCACCGACTTGGGCCCTGCAGCCTGAGCACAGGGCTGAGCTGAAACTGCATCTGACACAGGAAATGGGCATCCTAACCTTGAATTGTCCTGTAGGCAGGTAACCTAGATGAAGCAGAAGAGATTTCCACTGAGCTTAGATAGACTGCATCGACAAGCTTCACTTCCAGGAATAAACATTTTACTAGCAGTATCTTCTTTTAAAAAAAAAATTTAATTTTCAGAGTTGTTTTTATTTTCAAATTAAGTTTTAAAGAAAAAACCCCCCAAAATATGATGATTTTAACTCTTTTTAAAGGGACAGACAGAGGTTTAGGGGCCAGGGATTTAGCTCAGTGGTGTAAGCACCTGCCTGGCAAGCACAAGGTCATGAGTTAGATCCCAGATGCCAAAAACCAAATCAAACCAAACCATAAAGGGACAGAGGTTTAATAATATCACTGATCTTTAGATAGCAAGGAAGTACTTTTCTGTATTTAGGTTTTCAAAGAACATTTGAATTTCTGTCCTTGAAGGAACCAGGAAGGTCCCACGCAAAGGAAAGTAGTCTGCAGTTGTTCATGCAGGAAGGACAACGGCAAAGTGGCTTTGAAGTCACCAGGGTCCCACTGTGGCGCCCGCTTCACACTCAGCCTCTTACCTCTCTCGTCGGCACCAGCACCAGGGCGTACGGGCCATCGCTGCGCTGTCAACAGAGGAAGGAGACACCATGAGCAGCCTGACAAACTTGACCTCCAGATAGACGGTAGGGAAAAGCAGCCCGCCGGGCATCACCAGCACACTGCCCATCGGCACACAACACTGCTCTGGCAGGCGCGGCCTGCATAACTGCACAAACCCACAGGACCCGCAGGCTGGAAGGAGGCCATGTTGCCATTATTAACAGATGAGGTCATTCTATTTTACAAAGTAAAACTTTTGAGAATCAACTAAAAGTTATTGTAAATCAGTTATTTCATATACTGAATACAAAAACCACAGAATTTATGTGCTAATATTAAAACAGCCTTCCAATATAGAAAGTTAGAAAACACAATGGAAGGAGAAATCTCACATTTACAATGGCAACAAAAAAGATAAAAAATGTAAGTTAAACCTCGGGGGCCAGGGGGGTTTAGCTCAGAGGTGTAAGTGCCTGCTTGACAAACACGAGGTCATGAGTTTGATCCCTGGGACCCCCCCCCAATTAAAAATGCATAAAACCGGGGCTGGGGATTTAGCTCAGTGGCATAAGCGCCTGCCTTGCAAGCAGGCAATCCTGAGTTCGATCCTTGGTACCGAAAAAGACAAAAAAAAGAACAGAAGCAAAAATGCACAAAACCTATATTTAGAAAAATTTATACACCTCTGAGAGACATAAAAAACAATCTGAATAACTGGACAGACCCTATTCTTGGATAAAAATATTCAATAGTGTAATCAATCCTCTCCTAAATAAATTTGTAAGGGCCACGCAGTTCCAACAAAACATCAGAGACGTGTGTCCACATAAGCATGCACATAATGCATATATCAGACAAGATGGTTCCAAAGTAAACCATGGGAAAATAAATGCAAAAGTAATCAAACTTTCATTAAAAAACCTACCAGATGTTAAAGTAATTTAAAGCTACAATAGTTTAAAAAATAACTTGTAAACTAGGCATGGGGCACATGTCTATAATCCCAGCACTTGGGAGACTGAGACAGGAGAATTGCTGCAAGTTCGAGGCCAGCTTCGGCTACACGGAGTGTGCAAGGCCAGCCTGCACTACAGAGCAAGAGCTTGTCTCAGAAACCAAAGTTAACCAACCCAAAAACTAGTGCACAGAGAGTATACCAAGTAGTGCCTAGAATACAATCAATGACAGAAAGAGGCTGGGGGTGGGAGCAGCACAAACCTATAGCCCAACTTCCCCAGTAGGCTGAAGCAGGAAGATCAAAAGTTTGAGAACTGTAATTTAGAAAGACCATGTCTCAAAAAATAACAGAGCTAAAGACGCAGCTCAGTGACAAGGTCCTGACTTCAATCTGTAGTACCACCACACAGACAGACAAACAAGCACACCCTGCGGGAAAACAGTGCAAGGGTCATTTCACTGTGTATCCACAGAGAACAGGCCAATCACTCAGAAATTCTTTGAGGAAAACAAAACAGAAAATAAAGCTGGAATTGGTTGGCCTTTTTTTGTTTGTTTGTTTAGATAATCTAAAGCTCAGATACCATAAGCCTCTGATATACTTAGTACATAAAAATGTAGAATCTCAGAATAGAAACACATGCCCCCAAAACCCAAGAGTCAAATGAACACAGGAAAAAAATATGCCACACCTAAGAAAAAAACGCTAATTTTTTTAATAAAGAAACCCTGTAAGTCAAAGTGTTAGCAACTCAAACAGAGAAAAAGAGAAAGGTCCTAAACAGCTAATTTATGAAAATTCAAATTCAGAATATGGCTCTGACACCCATGAGAGGGTGTCAGTTTTATTTCCCAAGGAAACTCAGACTGAAATTACAGCAGATCCCCATCGGAGGGGCGGACGAGACCAGCAGAGTGCACCGGGAGTGAGCGCTAGGGCAGCGCTTCCGAGACCAAGCCTGAGCTGGCCATAGCAGGCACGACTGCAGGTCCAGCTCCTCAGCAGGCTGAAGCAGGAAGGGCATGAGTTCGAGGCCGGCCTGGACAACACAGAAAGATCACACCTCAAAGAAAGATGACTCCAGCCTTAGACACCAAAATGGAAATGCAAATTCCACTTAGAGGGACTCTTCCTGTAAGCACACACATACACACAGAAACTGTGGAACATTTTACAGACTGTAGAGCATATCTGTAATAGCCTCATCTGGAGCAAAATGATGGGCACATTGTAAATTCCACCACCCTTCAAGGGAATGACTCAGTAATAAGATGTATACCCATAATGGAATACTAGGCAGCCACCACAAAGACATGCTCTATATAGTACTGAGGAGATGGCACCCCTAAAAATAAAGGAACAGAAATGAAGGCACAGGACAGCATACAAATGCCTTAGTAGTACACCAAACAGGAAAACAACCAAGAGGCTTCAAAGGAAGCACACAGACTCACATCTGATATGCAAAGACCATCCCTGGGAGGAGACACCAGAGACTGGTGGCCACAAACCTGGGTCTCAGCAGCACACTGTGCCTGCCCTGAGGGGAAGGTGGTGTAGGGTGACTTTGCCCTCACCTTACACACCCCACTCTCCAGACACCTTACATCTGGATGACGGTGATACCAACTGAGGTGCCGCTAAACCAAAGCAATCTGGTGAAGGCCGAGTCAATGGTGCGAGACAGCAGAGGCTCTCAGGGGTGCCGAGTGAGTCATCCAAAACGGTATCTGCGCAAAAGCTAAAGGCAGATTGAGCAGCAAATTCAATTACAAGTACGGCCTTCGTGTTGTGCACGGGAAACGTTTACCCACAAGGAGACAGGATTTAGAATTCAAACCCGAGCAGTCCGTACCCAGCATCAGCTTTGCAAGACGACGCTGGAGCCCAGGCTGGGAACTGTAAACACGCTAGTACAACAGGATTAACATGCCACCGTGTGACGCTAGGAGGTTCTGACATTTTAAAGGTGTTACTACAGAGCAGAAGAAAGGGAAATCAATTCCGCTCAGGGCACGAGTACAAGAAGCCGATGGATGGGATGGCACAAATCAGAGCCACAGCAAGTGCGCCACACGAACTCGGAGGAGCAGCCCCTTCTCATTTCATCACCAAGGGGATGTGAGAACCCCTGGATGCCTCTTGGATTTGCTGCTGACTCCAGAGAAGTTTTTTACATGTCAAATCATTTCACAATGAATTCCAAGGGACTGAACTGCATCTGATTTGAAATAGGTGAATTAAATGGGGGCTTGCAAAACTTTCTATGCAACATTTCACTCTAGAAGAATCTTAGTGATATTCAAAAATGTCTGCCCAAATAAAAAGCCACACGGCTTGCTGGTCCTGAAGGCCATGTGTGGACACCAACTCTAATGGGTCCCAGGCACAGCCCGGCCCCTCCCCGTCTCCACACTGCAGTGTCCTCACGCCAAGGGCCAACACGGAGGCAGACAGGGAAGAGACTGACCCGTTCCCCTCAGGCCTGGAGCCAGTATGGGGACAGAGCGGGTGCTCAGCGTGCACCAGGCCCAGGGCTCAGCCCCAGCGTGAGGAAGAAAATTACACTCAGGCCCACAGTCTGAGAAAGGCTCCCAGCACACCATGTGTGCCATCTAATCGCCGGCCCTCAGCTGCCCGTCTATGACACAGCTGTACAACCCACATCTCCTCTTCACGGACCATGAGCCCAGGACAGCGCTAAGCACTGCGCACACAGCACCTCACTGTGGACTGCTTTGCAAGGAGAAAAACGAACAGGCTACCTTACGTTCAGGAGACAAAGTTCTGTGCTCTCCTACCTCAGAGAAACCCAGTACTAAGGGTTTGCTGGTGTCCTTCTCATCTGCTGCCCACACAAATACCAGGTTACTGTTCCGGAAACGAATTACAGAGCAGTCTGAAAGCTGCTTTTCTTCAGTGAGTATGGCAGGAACACAGGCTCAAGCTCCCTAGCAGTGATTTGAAGAAATGCACCTCTAATGGCCACACGGGGTGGTATCATCGGGATGATTAGGTAGGGTTTCTTTTTAGCTGATCTTAAAAATGTTTTAATCAAATTTTTATCTAAAATGTGTTAAGCTTCAGACTTACAAAGCACTGCAAAAATAGTCCGAGGGATTCTCACACATCCTCCCAGTTTCTCCCTGTTATCGATCACCAAAAAGATAATACAATTGGGGTTGGGGGTTTAGCTCAGTGGTGTGAACGCCTGCCTGGCAAGCACTAAGTCATGAGTTCCATCCCCGGTACCAAAAAAAAACCAAGATAGTACAACTCCTAACCTGGAATTAGTACTGGTGTGCCCCCATTGCTTTAAAGGCCTCACTCAGATTTCATCACTAAGACTGCGACCCAATCCAAAAGCACACTCTCAAGCTGGGCTGGCCTTCAGGCACAACCTTGATGCTTCTGAGAGACACGGGCTAGCTACTTTGTCCCTCTGCTTCAGTTTGTCTGGTGCCTCCTTGTGATTACAATCCAATTACGTATTTTTGGCAAGAAAACCACTGAAGCGACATCCCCACCTCAGGAGGAGACCGTGGTGACACGTCTCAGCCTGCTGAAATCCTGTCCTTCCCGCCTTCATTACGAGGCACTCGAGTGGCGCTACTCGGACGCGACACAAACCTTCTTGCCATCACCTGCTGGTGAGGGTCTGGGCCTGAAACACTTACAGGTGCTGGTCAACCACACAGTGCTCTTCCAGGTGCACCACTTCCACTTTCCTTTGGAGGAAGGGTTTCCTTCCTTCCTGTTTATGTCTGCACTCAAAACCACTGTGGGCTTGCGGATGCTTTAGTCCAGGGACGGCAAATACTCTGCACTTTGTCATTCACCTATCGGGGAGCCTGATGCATGCCCACACTGAGAGAACGGCACCCACCGGCCCCTCTGTCTCTACACCCACTCTTTGTCCTATTTCCCATCCTCCCACTTCCTCTCGACTTCAGTGACTCTGGGCTCGGTGGGGCGAGGCCAAAGCCCACTTGCACAATGGTTACCTGGCCTTCTCGGGGCCGCTCTGGCCCAAACATGAATTCAGCGTGTCTCATGACTAAAAATAAATTCTAAATAACGTTACATCTATGTCGGCCCAATGCTAACTAACTGCGTGCTTATTTTTATATCTACTATCGAAAAGCCACTGTTTCACATAGGAACTTCTGCCTTCCTGGCCCCAGGTAAGCAGCTCACTGGAACTTAGAACAGGATGTTGAAATTTAATGCCACGTGATTTACAACAGAGATGCAAAGGAAAATGCTACACAGAAAGCTGCAGACCACTCCCAAGCATTCACTCTTTAGGGTGCTCAGTGCTGGGCACTGCAGAAGACACAGAGAAAAGGACAGGAGCCAGCCGTGAACCCTCACCACAGATGCACGGTGGGGCATGATCTTGGGGCCAAACAGGAGGCAGGTGGCGATCCAGCTCCATGGCACCTTACCGCACGGCCTAGGTTGTTGCACTCTCTTGAGCTCTGCCTCCCTTGGTAAGACAGGCATCAAGCAGTGCAACCGGGTGGGGGCAGAGCATTGGCCAGCACGCCACCTGGCACACGGAAAGCATGTCACACGTGTTCCGTGGCATTCTTACCACTGTACCTGTTCTGTCCCGCACCAGGCAGTCTTCAATGTAGCATGCTTATGGAACACATGAAATAAAGGGAGACGGAGGAACGATGCCAAACAGACATGCTCTCGGTCCCGCAATGACCACCAAGCTTCAGCTGGACGGCCCTGACCCATCATGGACAGTGGCAGACACACTTCACACTCACCTGTATTTTTGACTTCGTTGCTTGAAGGGACTGGACCATAGGGATGCAATAGGCAAGCGTTTTACCTTTTAAAAGAGGGCAAGAGCAGTTAAATGGGACATGGTCTGTTTTCCTTACGAAGCCCCAAAGTCGAGAAGGTAAACTGCATCCCTGGATGCAAACGGTGAAAGGGGCCCCTGCTCTGCCATAGTTCATCCTGCTTTGCAAACTCAGTGCTTCTAAAGACCACATGGCTTCCGCCCCCTTATCAAACCCAGCAGCTGAGGCGGCTACACTTACTGAGCTACACAAATGCTCCTCCATTGTGTGTAGGACCTGGAAAATTCCTCTCTGAGCCCCTTTTAACTTCTCTGACAAATTCTGGTGGTTAATTACATGTCCTCTGCAGTGAACTCCAGAGCCAGCATCCAGAGAAGGAACCCGCAGGAAGGCAGCAGCTCTGGGTCTCCACCCCCTCCACATGCCTGGGCCAGCAGGAGTGGACAACAGCTGCCCTGACTGAGGACATAGGAGAGCCCACGAGGACTGGAGGAGCAGTCCAGACAGACAAGAGTTCCATCTCCAACACCATGACTGTATCCAAGCAGCATGGTACCAGATATGGTCATCCCAAGCAGAATGGACATGGGCAACTGTGGCCATGGACAGTGGGTGTGGCAAAACCATGAAACGGGTTCTGGAGAAATAAAAGCGGAAGCCACCCAAGTGCTGCTCACTCTGACCGCAGTACCACTTGCCAACCAACACATGCCTCCCAACACATGAATAAACTCAAGACTCTTGTCAGAAGCAAGCACAGCTTCCCCAACACAAGACAAACAGCCACCACTGCCCCAGACGCCAGCCTCCGAGCTACCAAATGACCAGAGGCCTCGTGCCACAAGAGGAAGGGCAGAGTTAAACAGTGACTGACCTGAGCCGGTCTGGGACCGCACGAGGGCATCTCTGCCTTCCAGCAACACAGGAATACTTTGCTTCTGAACACTAGGGCCACCAAAAGACAGAACACATTTTATGTATAACACACGGTCAGTTACGTGTCCAGGCAGACAGGCAGGCTATGTCGCTCACAATTGACCTCTCTCCCAACTGTCCCTTGAGAGGAGCTGGGAAACCTCTGATGACTAGGATAAATCCCTAGTTACACTTCTGGAACTTAGCTGAAATCAGTGATGCAGTCAGAGACCTGTCAGTGTCAAACTTTTTTTTTTTCCTTTTTTTTTTTTTTTTTTTTGTCTTTTTCATTTTTATCGGTACCAGGGATCGAACTCACGACTGCCTGCTTGCAAGGCAGGCGCTTATGCCGCTGAGCTAAATCCCCAGCCCCCTTTTTCCTTTTTTATCGGTACCGGGAATCGAACTCATGACTGCCTGCTTGCAAGGCAGGCGCTTATGCCACTGAGCTAAATCCTCAGCCCCAGTCAAACTCATTTTTAAAAATGTGAACAGACATAACAGATGAGTTGCCACAAAAGGACAGCACACCCTCTTATCTTCTGCACTGTGAAACAGGGGCCCCAATAAAACATAAGGTGAGATGCCAACGCCGAGGAGCAGAAGGATGCTCCAGGCTATCCAGACAGCCAGCAGCATTTGCCCATGCTCCAAAAAACCGTCACAAGCATGTGGAGGGATGTGGCCACGAGGTCATTCAAAACCAGGCACCAAAAAGGACAGAGAAACAATTTCAATTTGGTTGATTAAAAAAGCAAACAAACAAAAACTACAGGTGCTCCTTAATTTAGTCTTCAATATTCTCATCTTTATTTATAATAGTAAAAAGTGACCTTATTAACATTTACAAGCATACATACTCAAAACAAGAAAGTGCATATTGAGCTGGGCATGGTGGCTCACACCCGTAATCCCAGCACTCAGAAGGCTGAGGGGGGAGGATCGTTGTGAGTTGAAGACCTGCCTGGGATACAAAGTGAGCTCAAGACCAGCCTGAACTGCATAGCGAGACTCCATCTCAAAAAAGACCAAAAAAAAAAAAAAAAAAAAAAAAGTGTGTATCCCCTGGCCCACACCTTTCTGTTTTCTACTTTCCAAGAATCATCACTATAAAAAACACTCAGACGTTATTTCAGCATCCTGTTATATCCAACCAAACACTGACCTCTCTGTGGTTGACTCTTATTGCTAAGAAGTGACAGGACCAAATTCTATATTTTGGCCAGATGACCTTTGAGGCAGCACAGACAATAATCTTCTCAACCAGGTATTTCTTACAGTGTAGAGTGGAGCAGAACTGGAATGGAAACTTCATCTCTCCACGTAAAAGGCGGGGAACTCACCACTAAAAGTGGTGCCACGGCCTCTACGGTCCATACCTGGCATTGTTTCCAGCACCAAGACAAACACTTGCCCTGCCCTGTACACAATTTGGATCTCATTTGGCTGCACCCACTTAGACCTTAAGAAACCTGGAGTCACCTGGAACTTTTACCTGGTCATACTGGATACTTTTAAGACTGTGTTTATTGTAGAAATCTAAAAGAGAAGACAAAAAGTATTTTTTATCAACTTTCCAGTACATAATGGAAATGACACAAAAAGGACAGACAACTGGGACTGCACTGACTGGCAGGACCAAATTGAGTTCCCCTAACCTAGCACTTCTCAAGTTGGGGTGAGTCCACTCCTCCACCAATGTACGGCTCTAGCTGGAAAATACTCTGGTTGACACAGCTGGGAGGAGGCGCTGCCGGCACTTAAGTGGCTTTGGCAGGGGCCCGGGATGCTGTGGAACGTCTAACGATGAACAGGACAATCCCCTAATAACAGGCAAACAGGCACCTTGTCCAAAATGTCTACTTTACTAAGACTAAAATTCCCTGCTCCACCCCTTAAGCAAGAAAACCACCCCCTGGAGCATACCCTAAGGAAGGAGTGCATAAACCATGCCCACTCAAGCAAAGGAAATCAAGGCTTCCAAAAATTAAGAGATTTTTTCCTCACTTCTTATCTGTATTAAGTCTAGAAAATATATCCACAGTGGTAAAATGGGAAAAAAGGATGCATTTACGAGAACCCCTTCTTCCTTCATTTCTAGGACTGCGCATCCCTCGGCAGCAGGAAGACATCTCAGGTCCTCTGTCCTGGCCACTGTGCCGTCTGCCATCCTGTACAGCTGCGCCTCCCCTAGCCAGCAGGTAGGAGCTGGTCTAAGATGGACTAGTGAAGTCCTGGTGCTGAACTGCATTAGGAGAGCAGAGTCTCAAAACTAGGAAAAAGAGGGTGCGGAGTGAGCAGCGACCTCTGCACTCCTGAACTGCTCAGGCAAGAGAACATGTTGCCCACGGGACTCCGGACACACGCACACACACCAGCCGTGCAGCCCCACAAGGTGCTGCAGGGTACTCACTAGATGCGGGTGGAGGCCCAGCTCATGGAAAGCCTCGGGAGTGAACACTTGCTCTCGCGCCTGCTTTACCACAGGTCTGCAAAACCCAGACACCAGCGCCAAGGTCAGCAAACGGCCGAACACAACGGCCCCTGCTGTTCCGGAGGAGCATCTGCACCCCACCTGCACACACCTGTGGAGTTCCGGGATGGCGGGATTGTTCTTAAACAACGATGAGGTCTTAATGCTCGCTTTCTCCTCTTGCCTTCTGTCAGCTGAGTTAAGCAAATGATTCTTGGGAGAAAAATGTTTCTGTGACCTCCCCGTGAAAGTCCTGGGAGTTTCTTTCACACCAGTTTTCTTGGATGAGAGAAAGGGCATTCCATTCCCTCGCTTTGCCGGAGGAGCTTCGCTGAATACTCTGCATTTCCTCTTGGTAGCCTTCGCTTGCTACGTTGTTTCCAAAAGGAAAGATTGAGAAGGGATGCATTAGTCCATGAAGACACAGCTCGAAGTGAAGCCTGACTGCCCACAGAATCGCATCGCCTCCTGCAGAGATCATTAGACCCCATATGCCGACTAGGTTTAGGGTTTGCGATCAGGAAAAGAGAAAAAAAGAATGAGACCTCAGCACACGCATCTTAACTGCTAAACCACCCAGGACAAGAGTGGGGGTCAGGAAGGCAGAGGCGCTGCTCGAGCTGCTGGCCATTTCATTAAGTCCGTATGATGGGAGGTAACCACCCACCTTGTGAGATGCACACACCAAGTCAGCCCACACCCTCGCCAGCCACCGCACCGGCACAGAGGCTGAGAAACGACCTCTCCTCTCCACCCCCAACATGTGAAGACAACACAGGAGAGAGAGGAGTGTAAAGTCACATCCCAGCTTGTGCCCAGGAAACGGAAACCTTGATTACTGCTCTACCCTAGTGCTTGGATCTCAGTCCTCTCCCCTCAAGCTGCTCCTCCAGACTCAGACGGGCTGCAGACAATCGGTACCCACCGCTCCCATTCCAAATGAGAGCGCCACGCCATCCATCACTTTTATCATCACTACTTCCGAGCCACCTCGCCTTCTGTGGATCGCAGGCTGCACGCCGTTAGGCCTGTCTCGCTGGCGCTCATCCCCATGACATCAAAGTGATTCAGTGCATGACATCCTGACTTCCCTCGGAGGAAAACCCCACTCCTCTGTTTTCCTGGCCGTGCCTCACCATTTACACAGCAGCGTGTGGAGCAGCGTCCCTTGAGTGGCCAGCACTTGTCACTCTGTGGTGCTGGAATGGTTCTTTTCCTCTTTGCTTGAAATAGTGGTTTGTGTTTACGTACTGGCTTGCTTTACCCATGATTGTGGACTTTAGACTAACTTACCAATAAAAACAACAGTTCTTTCATCCTGGCAATCATAAATGTTCTTTTATTTAAGTAATTCAATAAACACAATTTCAAATATTTAACATCAGTAAAGTGCTAGCCTACTTACAAATTTAGTTTTAGAAAGTCCCAAGTTTATGAATTTCCAGAATTAAAGTGAAAGGAAGCTTCAGACTGACATTTAGGTGTCACCTGACTTACAGACTGAGATGCACAAAAGGTCTGGAGGCCACCCCTACCACCAGGTTTAGGGCATTAAGGAAGTGAGCCAGTGATGAGCGAGGACCAGATTCGTAGGTGTTAGAGGGTTTTTTCGGGGATTGAAAGAATTCCTCCTCCAGGTTCTCTGGCAGGCGGCCTTGCAGGCCCTGTCCACACTCCCTGTCCTCCCAGGAGGCAGCCTGTCCTGCTCTCGGCCAATCCTAAGAAGCCTCTCCAACACTCAGGCAGGCCTGGCCCCCCAGACTGTCTGCCTACCACTAAGGTGCACTCTGCAGCAACAACATGCTCCTCCCCTCAGGTGCGCAGTATACCTGTGCAGCCTGGAGCTCCTCCTGCCTTCTCAGGACTTAGGGTCCCAAGTAGTACACGAAGGTTAGACACCTTATCACCTTGGTCACCCGATTCCCCTGTGAACATCTCTCTAAAAGAAGCACTCAGAATGAAGCACAACATTAAACAGGCTTTCCCTTGCTCTTAGGCTAAAAGTAAAAATCTGTGGGGGCCAGGGGTATAGCTCAGCAGGGTGGCACAAGCAATTGAGTGGCAAGTACAAGGTCATGAGTTTGAGCCCCCACTCTGAGAAAAACCTACCACACCTACAAAACCCTCCAGAATATGGTCTTCGCCCATCTACCTCACTGGCTCAGCTTCCTTAATGCCCTAAAATGTACAGTACCTGCCCCTTCCCTCCTCTTGCCCTCTGTAGTGCTATTCCCACAGCCAGGGCTCTGACACTCCCTTCAGCTGGTGTAATAACTGATACACTGTGTCAACTTGAGAAGTTTAGCCATGCCTCTCAGCAGACAGCTATGGCCCTTACTTGCAAACATCCTCAGCCTGTGCAGCAGGACTGCACAGAGGTGGTGTGAGTGCTACACCCACCCTAGAGGGTGGTAGTCCGCTTGCAGTATTAGCAGGAGATGCTCTCTTGCTGCTTTTGCTGTCTTCTGTCACCCTGAAGTGCTGCTTCTGTGCCACACCACCCTGCTTTGAGGCCAGCTGATTATGGACTGAAACCTTCCCAAACTGTGAACTACCTTTCCGTCCTTCATTTTGGGTGTCGTGTATTTTGTCCCAACAAAGAAAAGAAACCTGTACTCACTGCAGTTGGAAGCTGACCTACTCCGTTCTCTGAGTTTCCTGACCTCCTCTCTCTCCACTGCCTGAAGCCAAGTTTCCCTGTTCCTGGCTTCCTGGAATCCTTACTTGCCCCTATAGCACTCAGCACAATAAAAGCAAAGCACGCAATTCCTTATTTAGTGCCCATCTGCCACTTTAGATTGTTAAACTCCAAAAAGGGGCCAGTCTGTTCTATGCATCCTCCGTATGAACGCACGCCTGGCGCACAGCGAACCCTCAATACAGACTTGCCAGACGAATGAATGACACGTGATTAAGCTACCCCTTCCCACAACTTGCATATTTTTCTACTAGTCGTTAGCTTTTCTCCTCCAGCAACCACAACACATTCATTCAGCAGTTGTCAAGTCTCTTGGTTCTGAAGATTCAGACCTGAAAGCTTAGTCAAGCCTTGGAGGAGGTAACACTGAAGAAGAGGCAAAGCACAGTCATGAACCCAAACCTCTGTATAACAGAAGAGGCCTGTGCTGTGGGAAGAAAGCAAGGGAAATAAATAAACTCCCTGTTTATGCTTTCTCAGGCGACCTTGAGCAGAGAGGAAATTAGGACCTGCCGGATCTGCTAAAAATTAGCTGAGCAACAGTAAGCAAGTCACCTCCGGAGTCTGTTCGTGCACCTGGGAAAGGAAGGGACTGGCAGATGATCTAGAGGGCACACCGAACCAGAGAGCCTAAGACACCAGGTCTCTGACATTAATAAACGCACAGAGTAGTAGTAAACATACTACATGGCCTGCAGTCTACTGAGTATTTACAGCAAGTATCTTATTTATTAACGTAGACAGTGACGTCATTTTAATGCCTTCTCAACCGTTTCCTGTTTAGTTACAAAACACCGTGTGTGCCAGGCTTCATGGCCCACACCTATAATCCCAGCATCAGAGGCAGGACTGCTCCAAGTCTGAGGACAGCTGGGCTCCAGCATGAGTTCAAGGTCAGCCTGAACTACACGATGAAACTGTCTTAAAAAAACAAAACCAAAAAATAATCACATGACATTTGATTGCTGCTGTCTTCTAGAAGAACAAATACGAACTCGGGAACAGGAGTTACCCCTGAGTATGGCAATTATCTTCTTTCCAAATTTTCTATCTTTTTTAAATTAAGAGCAGAATATATTTATTGAGAGAAAGAAAACTTCTGACAGAGAGTCAGAAGGGTTCTGAGCGGGTTGCCCCTTTCCAAATTTTCTAAAATGGCTTTGTATTAATCAGAAAATGTTCTTAGAAACAAAATATTCTAGAGTTAGACACACCAGCATGATTTTACTATCAAGATCTTCCCAAAACCAGTATACCAGCTACTTGGCCTGAGTCCATGCTACTCACAAGTCTGATCAAATCAAATCATTCCCATTCAAGGCATAAGCCAAGATACAGATGCAGACAAGTCCACTACTGAAACCTGTTACCACTTCTGAATCATCTCTCCTTTATGGTTTAAGCAATCATAGAGCCAAATACCTTATTACCTAATCACTCGAAAGCAGTCTATGTATTAGTTACTCGGCTCTGTAGGAGGGGCAAGCACCTCACTGACCTCCTGAGGTAGTACACTGTTACTCTGCAAGGAGCCAATTATCGTTTATCTCACCATTGGCACTTAATAAGTCACTCTCTGGGGGCTGGGGATTTAGCTCAGCAGCATAAGCGCCTGCCTCTTGAGTTCATCCTCTTGAGTTCAATCCCCAGTACCAATAAAAAAGAAAAAGACAAAAAAAAAAAAGTCACTCTCTGGACCAGACAAGGTAAAAGGCCTTCATATATACCTATGTGATCTTGCTGGATTCTCACAATAATCTTATTTGAAAAAGAAACGTTCATTCCCATTTACAGGTAGGGGAAGTGAGGGTCAAGAGGTTAAATAACTTCCCCTAGGTTACACAGCTAATGAATGTTGCAAGGTTGGTACCTAAAGGCAGGTCTCTCAAATCACAGCCCAAGTTCCCTGGGGTTCTTCCATGTAAATACTACTCCTCTACAGAAGACTCCTCATTCCCAAGCATTTAAACCTGAAGCTCGTTTTTGTATTTTGAGACAGGGTCTCTCTATGCAGTTCAGGCTGGCCTTGAGCTCACTTGGTAGCCCAGGCTGCTCTTGAACTCGTAACAATCCTCCTGCCTCAGCCTCCCAAGTGCAGGGATTACAGGTGTAAACTACCATGACTGGCTCTGAAACTCGTTTTTTAAAGAAACTGCCAAAGAGAATCTAATCTACACTGAACGCTAGCTGGCATGAGAGCATATGAAGTTAAGGAATTTCCTTAATTTCAACAAATCAATTTCAACAAGTTGATTGACCTGAACTGAATCTTAGACAACTGATTTTTTACTGAAATTAGTCTTACTTTTTAGGAGGGGAAAACCCTCAAACTGTCCTTGGTACTGGACTGTATCTTTCCTGGGCTTTGGTAATTTATGATTTCACAACAAACTCTCTGTCCTACGGTCCTCTTTGAAAACAGCTTTCCTTTCTCCTGTAAAGGAATCACATTTATCAACCGTATTTTATTTCCTTCTACACGGCACATGGATGTAGATCTATCCCGTCTTTTAAAAGCTCTTCAAAGACAGCTTTCGACTCCAACCCTCATTCAAAAAACTCAAAAAAACAACACTTCCTTGGGGTGATAGAAATTGGCTCACGAAGTCACGCAATTGGGAAGGCAGGACCCGCCCGGAGCCAGCCTCCCCACGCCTCGCCTGCCCGAGCTTACCGGCCTCCAGCCCCACGCTCCCGCCCTCTGTCCCCCCGACCTCCCCGCGGCGGCGCGTCGCTCCCACTCCCAGACACGTGTTTCCGAGCAGCTCCTCCAGAAGCCACCAGGTGCCCCCGCTCCCGGTCCCCCAGACGCTCTAGAGCGCTGGACTCGAACCCGACCCGAACTCACCCTGCTCGCTGGGGCCCCGAGAGGCCCCGAGCACGTCCCGGGGGCGGCAGCGGCCATGGCCACGTGCACGCGCGAGGACCCCGCGCCGCGGCCCTTCCGGTCCCGGGGCCTAGAGCCGTCCCGCACGCGCGGACCCGTGGCTCGGCGGGGAGCACCGTGGGCCCGCGTTCGCACCGGCGTCGCCCGGGCCGCTCCCGAGTACCGCAAAGAGGCCGCGCGGCCCGCACCCGACGTGCCTGTCCCTCCTCGCCCCGCCGCCGCAGCACGCCTTTCACCACTTTAGCTCCGCGCCGGGAAGGTCGCTAACGTGGCCAGGGCTGGTCGCCGAGAGAGGGAGTCCTCGAGGCTCCTCGTCCCGCGCCCGCCTGCCGCGGAGGCCGGGCGCTTCACTTAGGCCCGCCCCAGGCGCGTTTTTCAGACAGGCAGTGCCTTGGCCACCTGGCAGGGCGGTGTCGCCTGGCGACGGCCGGGTCCTTCCTGGCTCGGCGGCGCTGGGGGCCTGAGGGGAGAAAATAGCGGCGGCCGAGGGCGCTGGGGGCGGCGGCCGCGGGGCGGAAGGTGCGCGGGACGGCCACGGGGACTCGGCCCGCCCCGGGGGCCAGACTCTGCGCCTGAGGAGAGATGAACACGGCCGACAAGGCCCGGGTGGGGCCTGCGGCCGACGGGCCCGCGCCGCCGGGAGAGGAGGAGGGCGAAGGGGGCGGGAAGGAGCCGGCGGCCGACGCAGCCCCGGGGCCCAGCACCGCATTCCGCCTCATGGTGACTCGGCGGGAGCCGGCCGTGAAGCTGCAGTACGCAGTGAGCGGCCTGGAGCCGCTGGCCTGGTCGGAAGACCACCGCGTGTCGGTGTCCACGGCCCGCAGCATCGCTGTGTTGGAGCTCATTTGCGACGTGCACAACCCGGGGCAGGACCTGGTGATCCACCGCACCTCAGTTCCCGCTCCACTCAACAGCTGCCTCCTCAAAGTAAGTCCTCTGCTGCCGACCTGCTGGGGTCGCCGTCTGGCCCCTATCCCCGCGGCGCCGTCACACGTCCCCAGGGAAGCCCAGCCAGCACCTGGTTCGGGGATCCCCGAGCACCCTGCTGCACCCCAGGGCTGTGAAGGGGCCAAGTCGCTGCAGCTTTAAAACAAACAGACCAACACCTTGCGGCTGTTTGAGCCGTTCCCCGGATCACTTAGCGCTCACGACAGGCTCGTCCAGCTTCTGCGCCCCCGGCCCCGGGTCTAGCGGGCCGCTGCGCTGATTGCTTTTGGTGTCTCTTTCTGAGACTCCACCCCCTGCTGACCCAACCCGGGACCTGCCTCTGTCATCGCTCCTTTTGTGTGGGGCCTAACTTAGCATTCAGCCTAATTTAGCTGGTCTTGTATCCTTCTTTCGCGCCTCGTTTGCTTTGGAGAAGGAACCCCGTCCTGTTTTATTATTTTACCTGTTTCAGCGGTTTTATGTGGGTTGTTTTGGGTTTTTTTTTTTTGGTCTTTTTCATTTTTTATCGGTACCCGGGATCAAACTCATGACTGCCTGCTTGCAAGGCAGGCACTTATGCCGCTGAGCTAAATCCCCAGCTCCGTCAGCGGTTTTATGTGAATGACCCCCCTCCCCACCTCACCTTGGGGTAAGAGGTAAATCATGACTTGCGTTTGTTTTTTTAGTTTTGCTTCACTAGTGAAACGTCTCTGAGATGTAGACATAAAAGAGGATGCAAATGTAATACTTACACCTCCACGTACAAGGTCTCTGAATTTGGGACCTTGAACCTCATCTAACCTAAATTTTCTAATCTTAGAACTTTAGAGTTTCTAAAGTTTTGCTGTTTTAAATACAATTTTCAAGTCCAGTTTTTAGAAAGTGCTAGGATAGGACACCGTTCCTTTTAGTAGCTTAAAAGTAGAAAAACTTCTCACATATCCTTGACAGTATGTGATGTATCAGTGCGCATTCATTCCTCAGTGCATGAACAGGTACCGGCCTTGATGGGAATAAACCTCTGTACACAAGAGTCCCTGACCTCATGGAGCTTATGTTCCTTGATACGTTATGAACAAATTATCAGGCAGTGATGAGTGCTGTAGAGGTTTGTCTCCACATGCAGCTTTCTGAGCTCTTTAACTCTGGGCAGTTACTGGAGTCATTAATCGTGCATGCTGATGATATCCCCTCATCTCTTTTTCTCATACTTGGTTCCAGTTTCAAACACAATTTGATGTTGAATTAGGTAACTGGGAAGCTTGTATGACTAAGCCCCGTAACATACTCTTGAAGAAGACATGAATGAATTGGTTCAAATATAAGCAAATCATGCTGGCCGTGCTGTGTGAATTGAGACATGTGCAAGGTGAGGCCAGAAGTGTTTTAAAAGGTGGGACCTCCTTCAATAAAAGGGGTGTCCTCCATTGAGAAGGAGCTGTTTCCATGGGTGTTCATATGCACACCATAAAAATAATGATTTAACAGTAAGTCATGATGTAAAAGAAAGAAACTCCCGACCTGCCAGATGTCAGGTACGAGTACATGTCCTCAGAAATTAAGGAATGAATCTTAGGAACAATGGAGGTTAAGAGTGGAATATATTTATTGAAACAAAGCTTCTGTACAAGACAGAAAGAGTCCTGAGTGGGTTGTCAAGCCCCTGTCTGACTGCCTATAATATTTTATCTAACTTAGCTGCTTATGTAACAGTTACAGCTGGGCATGATTGTGCACAGTGTAATCCCAGCTCTTGGGAGGCTGAGGTAGGAGGATCACTTAGTTCAGGGACAGCCTGGACCTTGTTTAAGAAAAAAAAAGCCAAAAAAAGAGAAAAAAATAAAGTAAGTTACAATTTTCCTGTTGGACTACTACTAATTTTATTTATTTATTTATTTTTATTTTCAGCTAAGGTCTTGCAGTGTAATACAGGTCAGCCTTGTACTCCTGAGTGCTGGGATTACAAATTTGTGTCACCACACCTGGTTTTGGATTACTAATTTCATGTACTGGGTACTAAGCTGTATTCGGTTCCAAATAGGATCAGACATTGTTATTAGGAGCCTTGGAAGTATTATTGCCACCTGCTACGTTACATTGCTGTCACCTGTATTTGGAATCTCATTCCCTGCCCTCAGGAAGCTTACTATACAAACTTCAGATTAGCTTTCAATTGCCAGGTTCTTTTTTTAGGGGTGTGGGGTGAGCCAGGAATCAAACTCAGGACCTAGCGCTTGCCAGGCAGGAGCTAATTGCCAGTTTCTTACTGAAAGCTTAACTTTTAATAGTATTAGTGATTGCTTGGCAACTCAGTGGTGCAGTGAAATGATTGGCTTTGGGCAGGCCTTTGGGAACTGGACTTTTGTGTGGTATGCTCCTTTGGTTTCTGAGTTCTTGTTTTCTTTTCTTTTTTTTTTTTTTTTTTTTTTATCTTTTTTATCTTTTTCGTTTTTATTGGTACCGGGATCGAACTCACGACTGCCTGCTTGCAAGGCAGGCGCTTATGCCTCTGGGCTAAATCCCCAGCCCCTTGTTTTCATTTGTTAACTAATTTTGTGATAGGGAGAATTGGAGGGGGTGAGGGGGCCTTCAGCGGGGTAATTCAAGTATATTGCTGTGTTAGAAATGACTGCATAAGACCATTCGGCTTCCTTTTTGGTCGCAAATTCTTCCTTCAGTGAATGGGATAGACAGTTGCTTGAACTTCCTTTTATTTTATTCTCTGCTGCTGCTTTTGGTTACAAATTCTTTAAGTTTACTTTGGTTCTGCAGTACCTTTTATTTGTAATAATTTTAACCTCGTCTAAAGATTATTGCATACAGTACTGTAGGATTTGGTGAACAATTTTTTATCTACCCTTTAGTTAGTATACCACATTGTATCTAGTCTACATTTTACATATTTGTATTAGGTGTCACTAATAGTTGCTTAATCCTCAGAATATTAATACTTATCATCATAACTAACATTGAGCCTTTTGCGTATTCTGACTTACTTGACATTCATAATTCAGTGAGATATATATTATCATTCTGTGTTATAAATGAGGAAATTAAGGCCAGAATATGTAAGCAGTTTGTACCTCACTTTGAATCGAGCATGTAATAATCATTTGAATCCAGGAAAACTGGCATCATAATACAGATTTTTTTAGTCATGCTGTTTTATTATTTCTTGTTTCAAATTACATTTCCCATACAGAGCTCAGGACTTTATTACCTTGCTAGCCATGTAAACCTTGTTTAGGTGGAATTTACAATCTGTGTTGCCACAATGGATCTAAACTGTAGTCATGAGACTACCTTAAATGCTTTTCAGAAATTAAGATATGCTGTCCAAAACACCATTACTAGGATATTCTTTTAAGAGCATAAAGGATAATAATTCCCCCAAAAAGTTGCACTTAAAAGTTTTTTGGCCAACTCTGATTTTAAAGTCCCTATAGAATTCCGCAGCCCAAGGCATTTCGTGTATTACTATGACTCTTCTAGAAGGAACAAGTGTACGGGCCTTTCCTAAACTTACTTGCAGGATTAATTTAGGGACGTAGTGTCTTGTGAGTCACTTCAGGAAAAGTTAGCTGGTTCGTTAACTTGGCGAGAAGCTTTATAGCTGCCTTCCACTCTCTGAGCCTGTGCTGGCACCAGACAGCGACAGCGACAGCGTTAGCAGGAAAGAAGCTAAGACTAGGCAGTTACCCTTTGCTAGGTTCTTATCAACACTGCTGTCTCACACCCTGTTGTTTGTTACTCTGCTGAGGAATTTTATTCCTATTTAGGTTTGACAATCTGTGTATATTTACTACTTGGAGGATTAGTATTTTTCTGTTTTTGCAGTACTAGGAATTGAAGCCAGGGCCTCTGCATGGAGCTTTTATCTCTAGCATTTTTTTTTAAATAAGGCCTCACTAAATTGATAAATCAGAAAACCAGAGAGGAACAATTTATCTCCAGTTGCCTAAGCTTTCTTTAGATGTAATTGGTGGTTTTGAGTTAACATTTTTCAAGTTCTTTCTGTGTCCCGGAATGTAATGTGCTTGGGAATTTAAAGTCATTTAAAATGACTTTTTTATTGTATGTATGTATAAGCATGCCTTTTGGTTGAATTCCCTTTTAATCATACTGTACCCTTTCCAGTTTGAAAATCAGCTCCTGTTACAAAGGAGATTGACACTAAAAAGAAATTAGAAGGTTTTTCTTTTTTTCTTTTCTTTTTTTAAAAAACTATTTCTTTAATGACAGTGGATCAAGCAGTATCAAGTCCTTCTTGCTTGCCACGTTACAGAAACCATCTTTTGGTTGACCTCTGCCCTTTTTTTATTCTCACTTTCCCAGCTGTTTTTTTTTTTTTTTAATGGCTGCAGATCCTTTTTTTTTTTTTTTTTTTAAGTCATTTACGTCTCCCTCCCCTTTCACATCTCCATAAAATCTTTTTAACAGACTGTCACACAACCAGGCTAGTGAGAAGTGATGGACCTGGAGGAAGGAGATGTGTGAAAGCCAGTGACCTCTCTCGGCCTCATAGAGAGGGTTAGGCCTGCTAGGGCAGATGAGGTATGGACAGGCAAAGGAATCAGGAGATGCAGTGTGGGAATGTTTAGGAACGGGAAAGAGAGCTGTCCAGTTGGTACTGTCTTGCTGTGTTGCAGTGCCCAGTCTTTTGGCTTGCCACACTGGATAAAGAAGAATTGTTTTGGAGCGCATAGGTGATATTGTGAAGTAATGCAGCCAGCCACGTTTGATAATTAAATAAGAAAGCGTGCAGGTCCATTTGGTCTCCACAGGTTGGCAGTAACCACTCTTTTGCTCATAGGGTTGCATAAACATAGGACACATTTGTGTGTGTGGGTTGCTTTTCCACTAGCTGTGCGGCAGGCACAGGAAGCAGTTGGCATTGGGCTGCCCCTTCTCTTACACAGCGTTCCATGTTCACATGTGAAGTCCATGCTCAGGCACTGTGCAGTTGACTCATGAAAAAGATCACGTAATAGTGTTACAGGCATACAACCGGGAGGTCACATTCCCAGCTGTCCGGGGCGGCATGTCTCCAGGCTGTGTGCTGGGCATGACTGCTTGAAAGCATCAGTAGACAAAATGATTGGTGCTGGGTGTCTGTCATTTTTAATGAGCTTGCAGAGTAAAACATTTAAACCTGACATTTGTATTACCAAGGTATTTAAAAATCTCACTGAATCAAAGATGAATATAGGTGCATATTTTCCACACTTTTTAACACCTTTATTGTCTCCTGACCAGCTTACTCTTAGGAGTCAGCTACATCTCAATTGCGTATGTCAGGTCTAAGAAAAATGTGGGAACCAAGATAAAAATACTCTTTTTTTAAAAAAAAATCCCAGTATCAGGAACCGAACTCAGGACCTTGTGTGTGGTAGGCAGGCACTTGCGCCACTGAGCTATATCTATGCCCCTAAGATAAGGACAACATTTATTCTAGTCCTTTCAAAAACTGCTGTTTCCTTGTGTAAATATTCACTTAGTCCTTAGATGTATACTCAATATTTTAAACACATGCCATGATAGAAATAAATGAATTGATACAAAATGATCATGTGTGAATCAGTTAATACAAGTGGATATTTATTTTACCCTTTCTGTATCTCTTATTTCCAGGTCGGCTCAAAAACAGAAGTTGCAGAGTGCAAGGAGAAATTTGCCGCCTCTAAAGACCCTACTGTCAGCCAGACTTTCATGTTGGACAGGATGTTCAACCCCGAGGGGAAGGCGCTGCCCCCAATGCGAGGGTTCAAGTACACTAGCTGGTCTCCCATGGGCTGTGATGCGAATGGCAGGTGCCTCTTGGCTGCTCTGACCATGGACAATCGCCTGACTGTGCAGGTGAACCTCAACAGACTCCAGTGGGTCCAGCTGGTGGATCTGACTGAGATTTATGGAGAGCGTCTTTATGAGACTAGTTATAGGCTCTCTAAAAGCGAGGCCCCCGGGGGGAACCTTGGGGATTTTGCTGAGTTTCAGAGGAGACACAGCATGCAGACCCCGGTCAGAATGGAGTGGTCGGGTATCTGCACCACCCAGCAGGTCAAGCACAACAACGAGTGCCGGGATGTTGGCAGCGTGCTCCTGGCTGTCCTCTTTGAAAACGGAAATATTGCCGTGTGGCAGTTCCAGCTGCCTTTTGTGGGAAAGGAGTCCATCTCTTCCTGCAACACGATCGAGTCAGGAATCAGCTCTCCTAGTGTCTTGTTCTGGTGGGAATACGAGCACAACAATCGGAAGATGAGCGGCCTTATTGTCGGGAGTGCTTTTGGACCCGTGAAGATTCTCCCCGTCAACCTCAAGGCGGTCAAAGGCTACTTCACGCTGAGGCAGCCCGTTGTCTTGTGGAAAGAAATGGACCAGTTGCCTGTGCACAGCATCAAGTGTGTGCCCCTCTACCACCCCTACCAGAAGTGCAGCTGCAGCTTGGTGGTGGCTGCCAGGGGTTCCTATGTGTTCTGGTGTCTTCTGCTGATCTCCAAGGCAGGCCTGAATGTTCACAATTCCCATGTCACAGGCCTTCACTCGCTGCCCATTGTCTCCATGACTGCAGACAAACAGAACGGAACGGTGTACACCTGTTCCAGTGACGGGAAGGTGAGGCAGCTGATTCCCATTTTCACAGACGTGGCACTGAAGTTCGAACACCAGCTGATTAAGCTCTCTGATGTGTTCGGCTCGGTGAGGACTCATGGGATCGCGGTGAGCCCCTGTGGTGCGTATCTGGCCATCATTACCACCGAGGGCATGGTCAATGGCCTCCATCCTGTGAATAAAAACTACCAGGTCCAGTTTGTCACTCTCAAAACCTTTGAAGAGGCTGCTGCTCAGCTCCTGGAATCTTCCGTTCAAAATCTTTTTAAGCAGGTAGATTTAATAGATCTGGTACGCTGGAAGATTTTAAAAGATAAACACATTCCTCAGTTTTTACACGAAGCTTTGGAAAAGAAGATTGAAAGCAGTGGGGTCACCTATTTTTGGCGCTTCAAGCTTTTCCTGCTGAGGATTTTGTACCAATCAATGCAAAAAACACCCTCCGAAGCCTTGTGGAAACCTGCTCACGAGGACTCAAAGATTCTGCTGGTTGACTCACCTGGGACAGGCAATGCCGAGGATGAGCAGCAGGAAGAAGGCACTTCCTCCAAACAGGGGAGCAAGCAAGAGAGGAGCAAGGAGGGTGACACAGAGGAGCCAGCGGATGACTCACTGCCCCCCTCAGGAGACTCGGGGACCCGGGAGCCGATGGAGGAGAAGCTCCTGGAGATCCAAGGGAAGATCGAGGCTGTGGAGATGCACCTGACGCGGGAGCACATGAAGCGTGTGCTGGGCGAGGTGTACCTGCACACCTGGATCACGGAGAACACCAGCATCCCCACTCGGGGGCTCTGCAACTTCCTGATGTCTGATGATGAGTACGACGACAGGACAGCGCGGGTAGGTGTCCAGCAGCAGCCACCGCAGCTGCAGAGTGTGCTTTCACGAATCAGTGGCCTGGGTTATGTTTCTAACACTGAGCTTTCAGGTTGGCTCTTGTTAAGGGAGAGTCTTACTGTGTCCTGCAGGCTGGCCTTGACCATATGTAGGCCAGGCTGGCCTCAAACTGAGCCTGCCAAATGGTGGGATGGCAGATGTGTGCCACCACAACTGGCCCAGAGTTACCATTTTGAAAGTAAATGATGGGCATGAGTGGTAGGGGAATCAATAGGAAGTATGGGTTAAGGCAGAGGACACACCCATAACACACACAGAGTGTTCTGATAATCCTCTTGTGGGTCCTTGGCTGAGAAGCAAGGTTTGCGCAGTGAGATTTCCAGGCTCTAGATGAGCTGGAGGAGGTCGAACTCCCTTAGCAGAATAGCCTGAGGTGTGCAGTCACCCCAGTAGAAACACCATACTCAACACACACTCCCGATTCTATATTACAGGAGTTTCGTGTGGGATTCAAAGAGGGAAATTTTCCGTTTGAAAGGATTTGAGGTCTGATTTTGGTCAAGAAGAGTTTATATGCAGGCTGTGGTGGCTCACACCTGTAATGCCAGCACTCTGGGAGGCTGAGGCAGGAGGTGGAATTTGTATTTGTAAAATACAGACATAGAGTAAGTAAGGCAGCTGGCTCCCCAACTTCTAAGCCACTACAAAGCCCTTGGAAACTAAGTGAACTAATTTTATAGACTCTTCCCTAAGAGGTTAAGTGTAAATGGATTCAGAACTTGGAAGGATGCTGTGTGCCAGTAGGAGAAGATGACCTCCCAGGCCCCGCAGTGACAGTGAATGAGGTGTTTGGTTTTTTCAGCAAAATAATGAACTAGATGTTTTCACACATTGATTCTTTTTTCAGGGAGGTCTTTTTGCCATAGGGTTTCACTATATAGTTCAGGTTGGCTTTGAACTTACTTTATAGCCCAGGCTCACCTGGTATTCATGGGGATCTTCCTACTTCACCCTCCCCAGTGCTAGGATTACAGGTGTGCACCCCCACACCCAGCTCAGATTTTGATTTTTAAGGAGTGTTTTATTAATAAAGCAGCAAAAGGCACAGCCAAACTAAGGACAAGGCCTGGAGCGTAGCCCTTTGCCTGTCTCAGTGCCATCTAGCCCACCTGGGTAGGTCCGTGGCCAGGTACAGGCTGCTAGGTTGTTACTGGTCACAGGTCTTTGAGCCACAGAGTAGGGAATTATTTTTTCAGTCCTGGTTATTTACTTTGTAAGTGTTTTTTTTAAAAATAGAAATCATGTCACAGAGTTAGCAGTATTATAGTAACATTTTGCTTATAATTATAAATTTTCTTTAAAGACAAAACATAAGTAATAAATCCTTGCTTCTCACAGAACTGTGTTCTCAAGCAACTAAACCAAGGCGTGCAATACAAGTTTGGTTTTCAGAACAGGTTTTCTCTTGGTAGTTCAAGTTCACCCTCCTGTCACGGGTCTCTGAATGCATTCGTAGCACTCAGCTCATCTATGCAGGTGACGGGCTTGCAGCCCTGCAGCCTCTCACAGCAAGCTGGCCCACGTGGAAGTAAATGCATGTGTCCGCCCCTGTCCAGCTCTGCTTGGTTTCCATTTTGTCCTTATGGTGGGCTTTGCTTCAGGAGGCCCTGCGCGTCCTCATGATGCTGACTGCTGTGTCTACCAGGTGCTGATCGGACACATCTCCAAGAAGATGAACAAGCAGACGTTCCCTGAGCACTGTAGCTTGTGTAAGGAGATCTTGCCGTTCACAGATCGCAAACAGGCTGTCTGCTCCAATGGGCACATTTGGCTCCGGTAAGCCGTCCTGAATTTTAGCTCCTGCTCTTGCTCACACTTGCGCCTCGGTATCCTGCCTGCTATAAGTGTGTCTTGGTGATGTCACCCATGCTGTGTGTTAGAGAAAAGCTGCTGCTTCCCTAAGCCTTAGGGCTCTTTTTCATCAGTCTGGCTAGAGTAAGAGGACCTTAAGGACAGATTTAAGGCTCAGGCCTGTGGTTGCTGTATTTATTTTGGTTACATTGTTTTACTTTGAAGCAAAGAAATTTTAGATTACAAAATGGTATCTGTTGAAGTCAGTAAGCTTGCGTGTATAGTTTTAGCCATTAAAAGGCTTAGATAAAAGGCTTGGCCTTCTCCCCTTATCCCTAGTCTCATGTTACAGGCAACCCTGTTGCATCCTGACCTTACCAGACTTGTGAGCAGCTCCTCCCTGAGGCACTTCATCAGTTGCCTCCCAAGACCGGGGGTGTGTGTGTGTGTGTGTGTGTGTGTGTGTGTGTGTGCGTGTGCGCGCGCGTGTGCTCTTGATCTTCCACCTGCCTGGATGCTTTATTCCCCACTGTCTTTGCTGATCCTGCTCTTCCCTGGGTGGCCACATGACATTTGCACTCCTGAGCCCATGTCTCCCTGCAGTCCAGACCTGCTTGTCTAACCCCTGTTCCCAGACCAGCTGTGTGGAGTCCAGTGCTTCCCCCACTTCCTAAACTGATCACTCTAACTATCTTCCTGCTTTGCCTCCTCCTTTCCCGTCCCTCCAGTTCATTCTCATGACCTGTGCTTGTGATTCTATCCAGACATTTTCAGCTCCTGTATCCATCCCTCTGCTGAGCTCTCAGTGCCTCCCCACTTCAATGAGTAAAAGCTAAAGTCTTACGGGGCCCACAAGACTGAGCAGCTTGGGGCCCCTCGATTCCTTTGCCCTTAAGTGGACCTCATGCGTGTTTTTCCTCCTAGCTGGGGCATTCCAAGGAAAACCAGCCTTGTTCCTCAGCTGCTGAAGCGCCCTTCTGCTGCAGGATGCCCATGGGGCTGATCCTCCTCCCTGAGTGCTGTTTTGGCCAGTGGCCTGTGGCTCCTCTGCTGCCACTGTCTCCCATCCTCTTCTGGCCATCGTACCTGAGGCTGTAGCATCTGTACCCTTCTCCCTTGCTTTATTTTTCTCCAATTAGTACTTTTTTTTTGCTTTTTCTTTTTCTCTGTCCTCTGGAATAGGAGGTACATGGGGATCAGGACTCTAGGGTTCTGTTCACAGCTGTTTCTAGTGTCTGGGCCATGGTAGGTACTCCATGGCACAGTTTTTAAATCTACTTCCCCCTGAAACCATCCTAACAGGATACTACACACAGCAGGCACTGATTCCTTCAGTTTCACCGGCAAAGCAACCAGAAGCTTGGGGAGTAAAGACATTTGCACAGGGCCAGGGATGTAGCTCAGCAGGGGAGCATTTGCCCAGAGTCACACCTGTGGCTTGTGACAGAGCTCAGAGCCTGGCAGGTGGCTGCAGAGTCTATGTGAGTGAGCGCTACATGTTACTGTCTCCCTCATGGGTTCTTTCACAAAATTCTGTCTCCATTTTACTGCCAAAATTAGTGCCAGAAACACCTTGGTGATTTGCCTGGGAATGAGCGTGTCTCAGACAGGCTCCTGTGGGCTCCACACAGGGGGAAGCCGCTTGGTCCTTCCCCCGTGTCCCCTCCCCTCTGCTTCAGCCCCTTAGCTCCTCAGCGGAAACCCTCCTGTAGGACCCTGCTCATTGCATTCCACCTGCCTCCCTGGCCGATCCTGCTGTGGGTGTTTGGTGACAGTCACTGGCTGAATTGAACCTGCAGGCATTTGTTAGTCTCGCTTCTCTTTTTGCACCGTTAATTTCATCTTCAGTAACCTTCAGGGTTACTTATAAGGATTGTACAAGACAGTGGATGGTGGCTGGTGACCCAGTCGGTAAAAAGAATTTACCCATAGACAGGAATATGGGAAAGACAAGAGCACCCTGTCTACAGGAATGGCAGGCGAGTTCCCAAGAGAGGAGCAGTGTGGTCGGGTGGGAGACGGGTTTTATAAGGGAACGAAGAGGCGGAAGAGTCCAAGTTGGCAGAGGAGACCCTCAGCTGCCTTTGCCAGGGCATCTGGACCTTGTTAGTCTTTTAGGGACACCTGTATTGTAACTACAGTTGTACATCAAAGTTGCTGATTCTCAGGCCTCTTGAGTAGGCCTCAGAAAAGGCTCTTTAGCCTTAGAGAAGAGCACCTGTGTACTTTAACCTGTTTGGGAAAGATACTATTACATCTCTGGCAGAAAACTGGTTTCTGGGTTGGCTTTCATCTCATGCTGGTTTTAGTCCTCATTCATATGGTGCATTTCGACAGTCCAGTACATGCTGGACTGAAGTGTGGTTTCAAAGAAGTTTAGGTATGGAGAATTTTAACCCTGCTGTCAGCATCAGAATGACTTTTGGCATAACACATGATGGAGGCTGAGGGTTTAGCTCACTGGTAGGGTTCTCGCCCACCATGCACAAGGCCTTGGGTTCAATTCCCAGCACTGCCAAAAACAAAATCAGTATATCACAGGATCAGTTTTTTATATAAAGAGCTGAAAATGTATGGTAGGGACAGACCAAATTCTTTCCCCTTGTTGCTGTCACAGAGCAGAGCCACAGTGGCTTTTGAATTGGAAGCTTTGCATCTCTTTGCTTAGTACCCCAACACAGCCACTTCTCCTCCACTGAGTGTGGGGTGGCGCGGGTTTGTCCTGCACAGGAGGGTGGGGCAGAGGTCCATGCTGGAGTTACTCCGGCGCCTGCTGCTTTCCCGAGTCGGCAGAGCTCCAGCGAGCCCTCTCCCGTGACGGTACAGTCTGTCTTCTTTCAGGTGCTTCCTAACCTACCAGTCCTGCCAGAGCCTGATCTACAGAAGATGTTTGCTGCACGACAGCATCGCTCGGCACCCAGCCCCAGAAGGTAGGGCTTCCTAGGCCTCGAGCTGCCAAGCGCCCTGCTGTGGGGCCGGGCAGGCTCCTGTGCCCATCGCCTTGCTATTGTGGAGGCAGAGCTAATGCAAGTGGTCATGCAGTCTGTGTGCTGTACTGGGGCGCGTGAGGGAAGGGACCTGCCTTGCTTGCCTGCCTCTGAAGGCAGGTTGTTCTTGCAGGCAGCATCAGGGCTTGCTGCAGACTGCTGTAGGACTGTGACTGTGCATCAGCCCCACACCGGGTATCGTGTCCAAGGGCAGCTGTGCTCCCAGTCGAGCGGCCTGCCTGGGAACCACTGCCCTGGTAGCCACGAGGGCCTTCCTCTTGCTTGGTCTATGTACTCTATGCTGGTAGCCCTGCCCACAAGGTGCCCATGTCTGTGTCTTAGAGGATGGGTGGAAATCAGGTCACCTGGCAAGGGTTAGTGCACAGTAGCTGTGAGAATATCCGGTTCTGGCCGGCGCTTCATTGACCTCGTACTTTGACCAAGTAAGCTTGCTGGACTCAAGTGTGTCTAGGGGCCCTTCATGATCTCCATGACAGAAACAAAAAGTATTGCAAAGCTCTGTCCTTATTCTTCATTTTTGCTTTCAATTCACTGAGGATGTGTAATTCTCAGGAGTTGGTTCGCTACTAGCTTGTGTTCTGATGAAACTCTTTCCTGTGGAAACAATAGCCATACAAAGAACAGGAGAATGAATGTAGGGAGCCTGTCTCCCCTCACCAGCTTCAGAGAGCGCAGCTCACAGCCTGGGCTCTGCCTCACCAGCACTGCTTCTGGTCTCTTTTCCCTTTTTAAATTTCCTTCCTATGGATTGAACTCAGTACCTTCCCACTGAACTGCACCCCCAACACTGTCTGCCTGTCCTTCTGCCTCCTACTTACATTTTGAGACTGGTCTCATTAAGTTTTGAAGTTGCCCATGCTGGGCTCAAACTTGTCCTCCTGCCTCAGTCTTGCAGAGGGCTAGGATTGTAGGAACACACTACCACATTCAGCTTCGTGGACTTGAAACCGCATTTTGGGGAACTTTTAAGATAGGCACAGCCATTGAGAACTGATGTCGTATTTAGGCAGGGAATATGGAGAAGAGTGAAATTTAAAACCAGAGAAACCACGCTGTTGGTTTCGAGTTGATCCCTTCCCCTCTTGGGGGAGCGTGAGGAAGTCTGGTCCCAGAGGGAGCGCTGGGCTCCGGCTGAGCACTGCATGGGCTGCAGGTGGAAGACAGGGGGTGCAGGCAGGGCAGGGGTGCCCCTCGCAGTCGGCACATTGCTAGTTCTCCACCTGGTGATATTGCTCTTACTGTCATTTTTAAAGTGAGGGTGTCCTTTAACCGACACACAAGTGGCTCTGCGGCGTGTTTGTGACCCTTACTCCCCGTCTGCTCACACACATAGCTTTGGACCCACAAATGTAGTCCAGCCTTGTCTCATGCTGGACACTGATGCCCAGAGGAGGGAGGTGCTCTGCAGGGACCCAGAGTCAAGCTGGTGTGGCCTCCTGACGCCCAGGGTCTTGCACAGCCCGCCTGCCAGCCCTCGGAGGCCTCGCTTGGTGCCACTTGTCTTTCCTTTGCAGATCCGGACTGGATTAAGAGGCTGCTGCAGAGCCCATGTCCTTTCTGTGACTCTCCTGTCTTCTGAGTGTCGGCGGTGGAGGAAGGAAGGGCACGAGCTCATGGAGGAGAAGGCTCGAAGCCGGAGGAGCAGGCACAGAGGGAGCCTGGTCCTGGCCTGAGAGACGCTTTTGTGACCGTGAGGAAGGCCTCCTGGGAGCTCAGCGTTCAAGGGCCCGTGCCATCTCCAGGGCCATAGGATATCTTTTTAAATGACCGGATGCAGAGTTAGAGTGGTTTCAAGACAACCCTTAGCCCAGTCCCTTGCCCAGTGAAGAACACTTATTTTTCAGGTGTCTTGATGCAAATGGTTTCAACAAAAGCAGTGTCCTGTCATTTCTAGGGACATAACAGTCTCTCCTAAGGAGCTTGAGTAAGGATCTCGCCGGGCTGAGTGAGACTTCCATCCTTGCTCTGGTCCGGAGCCACACGGCGCACAGTGTCCCCATACCAGCAGGTGCTCACAGTTACGAGCCGTGCGCACACTGGCGTCTCGCGCTCTGTAAATAACTGTAGATTCGTACCCCCAATCTTGTTTTCATGCCTATAGAGAACGCTTCCCTAAAACTATATTTTTAAGAAGTCAAAGCCAAGACTAAACTCAGTTTTAACCTAGCAGATGGTCAGGTGACTATGAGAAGTTAATAATGTGACTGACTTTTCTCTCCTGTGCCATCAGATTTCCTGATCAGCTCCTAAATGTGTATAAAGAGGTCCAGTGCTCCTGTTCTCTCGTCATGGCCCTGCTTCAAATTGACCTGTGGTAACCTAGATATTTTGTGTAAAAAAGAAAATTTTCTTTTTAGTATGAAATTGAAACTTGAGTATTTTTAATGTCAACATTTTCAGGCATCACACTGGGTGTCTGGGGGAGTCTGCCTGGGACTTTGGAAAGGTAGAGCCTGGTGCTGCCAGCATATGCGGCTCGGCCGCCCGGAGCCTGGTGATTGTCTCACAGGGAGCCTTGATACTTGGAATACAAGTCTTTCCCTGGGGGCTATGAAGAGAGACATCAGACTTCAGTTTTTGACTAGTCCTCTTAAAACCTAAAATAAGACATTCTGGAATTAGTGTTCCAGGATTTTAAGAGTATGTGTCCAAGGGATTGGTGCTAATTAACAGAACTTTAATAGACACCTTCAGAAATGGTGTGTATTTCTGGAAAGTTGAATGGGAAATACAAACAAATGAAATGTCGTACTTTTTAAAAAATTTTTTGAGATGATCTGACTCTCTGATTCAGGCTAGCCTGGAGCTCACAGCAATCTTCCAGTCTCAGCCTCCTGAGTGCTGGGATTACGGGTGTGTGCCACCATGCCTGGCTCGTATTCATATTTCATGCTGTCTTTGCCTGTTCTGACATGATTTCCTGTTTCTTTATTTCATATTTTTAGTGGCAGACATTTAGTCCTCACTTAGAAACATCTTGCTGTCTGGAGACCACTATAAGAGAGACACACAGGCCACAGCCCGCTCCACTCCTCCCCCACTGCCTCCGGGTCCTTGAGATGAGCCCCGGGAGCCACTCCAGACACTGCTCGGAAATGGCTTGTTCCTGTTCAGATTGTTGTGTTGTCTCCTGCCCATATTTGCTGGAGTAGTTGCTTGTTCACCTCATTTCGGTGGTGATTTCAAGAAAGTACTTATCCAGACTTGAGGCAGCATGGTAAATTGACTTTCAAGACATGGAAGCAGGCAGCGTTGAAATCATGAGTGAAACCCATGAGCACAGCCGAAGTCACTGTGCCTGCAGCGTTTGCACTTTACAATAAATGACAGTAGAGACTGAAATCATGGCCAGGAACTGTTGCATTTTTAATAATCATGGCATGCTTAATGCCACTTCTTTATTCCAAATCAGAGTCTGTAGGAGTTTGTTATTAAAACTTACATGACGTTTTCATTTAAAGCAGTTGTGCAGTTTTGAGAAAATTCAGCTATGAAAGAGTAACCAGAAAGGCTCTTCTCTGAGCTTATGTTGTGTCTGGGAGTAAAAGCACAGCGGTTGTACCAGAGCATGGATCTCCACAGGGGCTTGGCCTAGAGGCGTCCTCAGCACTCTGAAATCCAGCCTCAGCCTTGCCACCCCTCACCCTGAGGCTGACCCTGGAGCTGGGCTGCTGAGAGGAGGTTTCTGTTCCTGGCAGCCTCACAACCCAGTGTGCTTCTGGATCCCCCTTAGTGTGGATCAGCGTAGCCTTGGAGAGGTGCTGGTGACACCGGCATTTTCTGATTGCCTTCCAGTCGAACCCTAGCATACCCTAGGCCTTCACAGGTTTGACCAGTCTGGTGGATTTCAAGTTGATTTCAGCTGTGGCTGTAATAACTGTTTCAGGAGTGGGAGAAATAGTAGAAGCGACATAGCTGCCTTGCATTTAGTGTGGGAACAGAGGTTCTATATGATCGGGCCTTTCGGGCTAGGTTGTTACCTTTCCAAGTCTGATTTCCATATGTGTCTCACATTTTTTCTGCCCGGGGTTAATTTGTTCCCATTATTCTAGATAAGGAATTGATAGCTTGTTATGCTTGATATTCATGCTGAAATCCTCCTGTGTCCACCACCCAGACTTCAAGCAGTCTCTGCCTACTGTTATATCTGCCAAAACTACCAATTATTTTTCAGTGTCAGGAGTTATTAGGACCACTGGCAGAGCTCAGGGTTGAATGTGACATTTTTCTGCTTCTTCCTCTTAAGTATTGAGAATATTTTATGTTGCAGTATATATGTTGAACCAATTGGCAAGTTTTAACAGGCTTAAAGAATGTTAGAAGGTGATGGTTAAGTGTGAAGATATGTCTGGTTTTAATTACCGTGGCAGCAAATAAGATGCAAAGGAGACCGCTGCTTCCTGGTGCTTGTTAGGAGAGGTGGTTCCTGAGCACCTGCGCTCCGGCAGCTGTGGAGCCGCTTGGAGTCACTCGCCTTGCTGCAGGTGGACGCACATCCTGTCCTCGTTGATGCCCACAGCGCCCTGCCGCAGGGTCTTCCCGCCTCCTCTGTGCCCCACTTGCTGTTCCCATCCTTTCAGCCCCTCCACTGGAGGTGGCATCTAGGGCTGATGGTCCCTTTTGAAAGCAGAATGGATCAGGGCTGTTTGTCAGATGCTGCCCAGGACACACCACCCTGAACCTGCACGCTGGCCTTCTCTAAATGCTAGGATGTGGAGTGGGTCCCTCTGCCTGGAAGCTGCTGTCAACCAACACCATAGCCTCCTCAAGCTGATGGTGTTGGTTGTTAGCAGGCTGGCAAGTTCTTTCTGGTTTCTTTAGAACTTTCAGTGATGTGTTCCCAACTGCACGTATAGTCACTCTGGGGGAGATGGATCCGGCTGAGGGGGGCGGGGGGCTGGATTTTAGCTTGGTGGCACCCATCGCGGTGTTCCCCCCCAAGTTGAGGTACAGTTCAAGCTCAGACGAATCCTCAGCATTGGCATAGGCAACAGCCAGGCAGAGCCATACGCCTCTAAGGAAGGTGTCGCAGGCTGTTGTGACTCTCGGAGACTCCTTGCCCTGGCTGGAGTCTGGCCATCCAAGGAGACCAAGTCGGCCCAGAGCCCATCCAGGCTGGCAGGTGTGAGAGATGCCTCCAAAGTGCCCAGCTAAAGCCAGCTGTTTCCATTTTAGTTATTGGTGAAAGCCTGTGGGCACCCATGGTCAGGTTGTCCATGTCTGGGGCTCTCATGATGGTCAGTCAGGCTGAACCGCCCTTGTGAAGCCAGGAGATTTCTGAGACCGACCCCTGCTCTGAGGTTTATCTGTGGCGGGAAGGGAGTGCTGCGCTCAGTGAGTGTCACCTGTGTCTCAGTCCTGTAGCTTCTCCACCCCTGAAGCACTGTGACCCTGCTCCGAGGCACAGCTGGAAACCGTTAGAAGGTTGCAGCCTCCCGTCTGCTTACGGGTGTTAGGTGGTAATGCTTCCTGAAAATCAGTGTGCTGTGGAAACTGATGCATTTATCAGAGAAATGGTTCCGTGAGGAAACCTTGTAAAGCAGTAAGTCCTTGTGGTATGTTAATATTTTTCCTTCAGCTCTTTATCTGATCAAGTAGTTTAGCTATTATTTGATTTTTGTTTTCTGAGTCCTATCTTGTAGCTAGAAGACCCAGTATAAAATGAGGGTCTGTCTGAGTTATTTTTCTTGTTGCTGGGACAAAATACCTGGTACCTAAGTTAGAAGAGGAAAGGTTGCTTTGATTTAGAGTTTACGGAGATTTCAGTCCATAGCTGGCCGGCTCTGGGGTGGGGTGGCAGAAGGCAGCGAGCACGCAGCAAGCCACCACGCTACACTTCCTGTCCCTTACAGCCCCTCCCAGGGGTAGGGGCCCTAACTCCCACCCAGAACTGTGCCCAGCTAAGCAGTAGAATAGTTCAGTAGCCACACACCTTCGCCCCAGCATCACACACCAGGTCCAGCTGCCTCTCACAAAGCTGCTCCTGTGGCTGCACCGGCCTTTGGCATAGACTCGAGCTGCGCCGGGGTTCTAGTCAGTCGTGTAGAACGGTTACATCATTCACCAGGTCTGTGACTCTGTGTCCTGGGCGTGAGAAAAATTCAGGGAGCACGTGTGGTACAGGCCGCCCAGCTCAACACTGAAGTGGGCTGGTGACATTCAACCCCAGAATCTCATTGGTGAACGCCTTGTCTTTAAAGTTCCTTACCCTGAAACCTGTTACTTTCATAGAGGAAAGCCTGTGTGATACTCAGAGCGGAGACACTGTGAATTTGATGAGCTTATGTTTGCTGACAGATGGTAAGGTTAAGTGTGTGCTCACTCGCTCGCTCACTGTCTCTCCCTCCCCCCCCCTCTGGTACTAATGAAAAATTAAATGTAAAATGTCCTATGAATTACGTCTTTTTCAAAGCTTTGGCTCAGATTTGTATGTACTTTGATATGTCAAATGAAAGTGAATATCAAACTTGTTTATACAGAAATAAGACTAGAAAACTAAGTCTGTGTTGTGTATAGTGATATATATTTTATGTTTACCCAATGCCTGTGCTAAACTTTGTGCTTGGCTTTGAATTACATGTATGTTTACACCTGACATTTTTCAAAATAAAAAGAAAAACAACGCTATGGAGAGGAGTATTTTTTAATTCTTACCATTCAATTAGATGTGTTTTAGACTTTTAGTGTTTTTAATAAGGAAGTTAAATAGTAACACATTTTGCCTAAAACACTGCCCATTGCAGGAAAGGCGCTTGCTTCTCTCCCTATTGTTATTAGCATAGGGTGAAAGCTCTTCCTGGTGGGTTTGGTGTCACCTTCCTGGTCCTGCGGCACCTGACAGGCAGTGCCTTGTACAGAGCGGGTGCAGTGACATGCAGGGCGAGTGACGCCCTGGCCACCCCTCTGAGCAGGAGGCCAGGCTCTGCCTTTGGCCTGTCCGGGTTTCTGGGGTTAACCAGACAGTGCCACAGCCGCAGTGCTCTTTAACCTTCTTTTCCTGAAGATAAATTCATCACAGGTCAGTCCTGACCTGTGGTGTGGTGCCAGTGATGGACAGCTCTCAGCTCTTGGCCAGTGTTCCTGCTGAGGCTTCTGGGAGGTTTGCGTGGGGAGGAGCACAGGGCAGAGGGAATGGTACTTGGGGCAGGCTTGTCAGTACCCAGCCCCTTCTCCCTGGAGGAGGGGAGAAAGGTCCTCCTTTGCCAGTGAGAGGTTGCTGGCTTGCGGTTTTTTCTTGCTTCAGCTTTGTTGGGTTCACCTCCGTGTTCCTGTGTTCTGGTTCATACAGTCCCATGTTCGAACACGCACTGCTGTGCAGAATTGCACTTTGTAAATGCGTGATGACCTCAGATACATTGTTTTGTATGCAGATCTGCTAAGTATTGTTATTTTTGACCACATTTTTATTCAGAATAAATAGCAGAATTCCATGTGTTTGGCATGACTGTTTCATGGGGTGCACGGTTTGGGGCCTGAGAGCCTCCAGCCAGAGCAGAGGAAAGAGGGAGCTGTGTCGGGAACTGCAGGGTCCTCCCGGTGGGTTACAGAGAAAGTGCAGGCAGGAGTGGGGAGCTGCCAGCAGCACACACAGTGTGTTAGCTGCCCCTCCCCTCCCTCCCTCCTGCGGCCCCTCACCTTATACCGCTGGGCTACGCCACAGCTCCACACCAACTATTCTGTTTTGCCTTTTCCTTGTTAGCTGCCCAGGCTGGCCTCAGACTTGCCGTCCTCCTGCCTTGGCCCTCTGAGGGGCTGGGATGAGATGTGTACACCACTGCACCTGGCTCCTGTATCACAGACTCTTAAGTGTCAGTTAAACTGTCCTGGTGAGGAGCGGGACACTGGCAACAAACTGCCTCTGAACAGGCACAGTGTGGTGTGTGTGGGATTTGGGTCTGGGACAGCTCGGCCTCTGGGCCATGGTGTCTGACTGTGGGTCCCCTATGCCCAGTAGAGTGACCCCTAGTCCTGTAGAATCTGATTGGCATCAAATCTGGGGGAGCCTGAGAGCTGTACTTCTCATCCATCTGGTGCTCCTCCCGCTCAGCCAGGGTCTGTACCCCTGCAAACTCGGACCCTGCTGTGTGAGCACCTGTGCCACCTGCTGCCCTCGGCTGGACCCCTGGGCGGCACCTCTGGCCTGGGGGATGCGCCACCCAGGCTGCATGCTGACCTGAGACACTCCCGTCCCACACCAGTCCCTTCTCACTTGATGGGGACAGGGTGGGCTTTCTTTTGAGTTCATCATTTTCTAAGGAGCACAAGCAGAGTGGACCCCCACGACGGACCTCACTTCCTCAGACTCCCTTCTGTCTGCCTGAAGACTGGGTCTCCGGCCTCTGTGCAGTCATCAGGTAAGGTCATTGAATAAGAAATGTCCCCTGGATCCCAAATTCTCATCAGAGAAGCAACCAAGAAGGAAGAACAGGAAAGCAGAGCCCGAGTGGGCAGCAGCCACACAAGGTGAAGCTCTGAGAGATTTTGAAATAAAAGATGACAAGAGTAGCAGATAAACTGGGAGATGAGAAGCCGTGTGCGAACAGGGGAGACAACGCAGCCACGTGGGCCTTGGCAAGGGATGCCGCCTCTAACCTTGCATAAAATAGTAAAATGTGCAGTGAAACTCACAGGGTGGGGGCAAGAGCACTTAACAGTAACCCAAAAAGCTGGAAAGGAAGAGCAGCGTAGGGAATGGAAATACTGAGACAGATCTTCACCCAAACAGGAATTACGTTAACTGTAAATAAACTAACCCAAGTAAACCAGATCGATTTAAACAAGTAAAAACTTGGGTTCTTAGATAAATATAGAACATCGGAAAAGACTGCAAGGATGGAAAAGTGTACCGTAGGACCCCTAACCAAAAGGTAGCTGATACTGCTTTAACATACAAGAAGCCAGAGGCTACCATTTGTGTCCCCAGCCTTAATTTCCCTCTTATGTGCATTTTAAACCCAAGGCACAGAGCTCTTCTTTAAACAGTCTGCAGGCTGGAGGTCCAAGACCAAGATGCCACAGAGTTGGCTTCATCCCCTGACTGCTTCTCTTGGCTTGTAGGTGATGGCTGCCATGTCATCCTGTGTGGACCTGGCCTCCTGAGCGTCATACGCACAGGGAGAGGGAGACAATGGACTGGTCTCTCCTCTTAGCAGGGCCCTGATCCCATCAGGAGGGCTCCGCCTGATGACTTCATCTATTCCTGGTCCCCTTCCAAGGGCTCCGTGTCCTAATGCCATCACTGGAGATGAGGACTTTGATCACGTTGGCCATCTGCCTCCCCACTGGACCCAGGTCTCCTCTGGCTGAACTGCCACATGGTAGGGCTCTGTCGGCACTTCCTAGGGTGCAGCTTCCTGTTTAGCTGATGAGCACAGCTGCCATGTTTTAGGGAGACTGGGTGGGGTCGGGCCCACACCGGCCCAATCAGGCCCCGGGCTGATCCCTGGCGTCACAACAAAGTAAAAGCCTGGGTTATGGCACTCACTTCAGCTTTGAGACCAAGACAGGCACAAGACATTTATGTTTAGCTCCGCCCTCTGCCTCTGAGCTTCCTAGCAGCTGCTGAAGTCCCGGGGATGGCATCCCGACAGGACAGCATGGCTCCCGGCCTGTGGCGACCCATCTGCAGGTCCTCTCCAGCAGCAGCCAGCTTGCTCAGCCTCGCCCTAGAAGTGTGGGGAAGGGAACACCCAGGGTGGGGACAGTGCCTCCCTCAGCAACCCACTATCCGCCTTCAAAGGCTCCCCCTGCCTGTCTCGCTTCCATCACCCCTTTGGGTCATTTCCCAGATGAACCACCTGCACCCAAGTCCCCGCTTTGGTCTGCTTCGGGTGGGTGGAGATGTAGAGGTCTCCTTGGGCTACTGATGGAGATGGGCCTCTGGAGCCCCCCAGCTAGCCAGCTGCAGCTCCCTCTGGTGGGCGTGAGGCCTGGGCACTGCAGATGCTGACAGCACAGCCAGGTACCCATCCTGCTAATGACACTGAGTCCAGCGTGGGCACCTGTGTTGGTCAGCTTTCTGTTGCTGTGATGAAATACCTGAGAATAACAACAAAAGCAGGAAGGGGTTATTTCGACTCAGGTTTTCAGGTTTTGGTCCACAGTCAGCTGGGTGTGTTGCTCTCCCCACCCATGGTGAGGCAGGAACCATCTCAGTATGGTGGGAAAAACAGCTGGCCTCATGGCGGCCCGGAAGCAGGGCAGGTAGAGAGCCAGAGAGGAAGGGCTGGTGGCCAGATGAGGTCATGCTCCATGACCCACTCCCGCAGCAAGGCCCCACTCCTGCTTCCACCTCCTGATGATGCTGACACTGTCAAGTTATGTCCATCAGTGTTTAATTCATTCAAGGAAGTTAGCATCCTCACAGGTCAGTCGCCTCCCAAAGTCTATCAAGCCAGCAGCCAAGCCTTTGGCACTGAAGTCTTGGGGTACACTCCAAATCCAAACCACAGTGGGACTTCCAGGGGCGCTCTTGAAAACACTGAATCTGCTGAATGCCATCCTCTGCAGGTATGATTCCCTCCCTTGAAGCAAGGAAAGCAGTTCCTGTGTCTCGAGATGTGTCCTCCCTGTCAGTGACTCGGGTAGGGGTCAATGGGGGGCTTCAGGTGCTGCCCTGGAGGGTGCCGCTTGTCTGTGGGACAGCTGCAGGACCTGGAAGGAAGCAGGGGTTGGGCGAGAGGAATGAGAACACAGGGCTGGGTGAGGTGGCTGTGGCTGGACTCCATTATAGGGGGGCTAACATGTCCCCCTTCCCAGCTTCATGTGCTAAAGCTGAGTGGCTTTTGGAAGCTGAGTGGATTGTGGGGTGCCATCTCATGGCTGAGCGCTGTTGGGAAGAGGTGGGTCACTGGGAGTCACTCAGACTGACTTGGTTTAACCAGGGCTGCTGCAGATTGTCCTGGCTGAGGGTGGACACCTCATGGACACCCAGTACTAAGGCGCAAAGGGGTGCCGTGTTGGGAGGACCCAGCGTGGGGCACAGAGGCCGTGGTGGGAGCCTGGGGCCTGCCAGCTGTGTTCCCCTGGAGACCAGCGCTCTGGGTAAAAGCCAGGGTGGGGCACTGGACAGTAGCAGGCTGGTGGTGGCTGTCATGAGGTCAGGCTTGGCCACAAGAAGTCCATCCTTCTGCTCATGGTGGGATTGAAGAATGGCAGCGACTGAGCAGAAAACTCAACTCCCCCTGCTGAAGACAGCAGCTGCCTAACACCCCAGCACAGCCCGGCACAGCCAGCCCTGTGGCCACGGCCAACAGACCATGGCGAGAACATGCGTGGACAATGAGGGCATTGTCTCTAAGGTCAAAAGCAAGGGACCAGGCTGCTGGAAACCTCCCCTTCCTCAGCCCCTGCATTTAGATTTGGGGTGCTTAGTGCTGGTTCTCTGAAAAAGGACAAAGCAGAAGCCCCCAGAGCTGCCGTGAGCTGAAATTGCAGTCTCAGGCTGATGAAAGTATGGGGGATGTGTGTGGCTTTTGCTTAAGTGTAGCACCAGTCCAAGATTCTCGAGCCTCCTCCAGTTTTGGCATCCAGAGGGGTTCCAGGTCCAATCACCCACGGTACCCAGAGCCGACAAAATCTGTGTGTAAATTATTTCTCTATAAAATGGCTTCAGATACAGATTTAAAATGCCCAGAAGGCTTGATTCCTGCATCCCCTTCATGATACCCAATGATGCAGTTCTGCCTTCCGGTCCCCGGAGGCTGTGGAGTCACTGCCGATGAGACCCTGGCCATCCGGGGTGGAGGGCTCACCACGCAGGGCAATAAGCAGCTTCTGAGGATGGTGGTCATTTAAAGATCGCAAAGCTATCAGGGCCCTCGACTTGCTCCCCAGGCCCGGGATCGTGGGGAAAGCTTGTCAGAAGGAAATGTGAGCCTGCTGGGAAACAGGCTTCCGCTCCCAGGTGTCATCTCTGAAAAGCAGCTGCAGGGAGACCCTGTCTCAGAAACTCAGAACCAGAGAAGAGGATGGTGGTGGCCAGGGGCCGGGGAGGAGGGAATGCAGGCCGCTGGTCAGCGGGCACCAGGTTTCAGTGACACAAGATGCATTAGTGGCAGAGTGCATGGTGTGGCACTGTGCCCATGGCTAGAATCCATGCTGTATACTTGCAAGTCTTAGAGCATAGACCTTATTTGGTTTTAAATGTATTTCAGCCAAGCACGGTGGTACAGGCCTGTAATCCCAGCACTTGGGCGGCTGAGGCAGGAAGATTGTTGCAAGTCTGAGAGCAGCCTGGGCTACAAAGTGAGTTCAAGGCCAACCTGAACTGCATAGTTAGACCCTGTCTCAAAAAGACCCCCAAAAATTACAGTAAGATACACTACTATCCTTTTTTATAATTTTTATGTTTACCAGTGCATATTGGCAGTACATGATTATATTCATCATTAGAAGTTGGTACACACACACACACACACACACACACACATATATAGAACGTCCTCATTTACATGGCCGTTGATGCCCCCAGAATGCTCCCTAGCTTTAGGCGGACTTGCCCACCACCCTTGCTGCTTTCTGAAGCAGGTCTGGAGGTCCTTTTTCGCAAATGCGTTTATGAAGTGGGTGGAGTTGGTGTGTGGCTCAGTGGAATAGCTGTTGGCTCTGGGTTTGAGCCCCAGCAAAACACACACACACACACACACACACACACACACACACACTCACACACACACACTCACACACTGGGAGCGCTGCTGCATGGCTGCCCTCCTCCACCATGTTCACTGCAGTCTGATATCACGCGACTTCCAGCTCCTCCCCAAAGTCAAGGTGACCTAGATGGGGAAACGTTTGGAATCATTCAGGACATTGAGGCAGCCAGGACAGCGCAATGAAAGACCCTCAGGAAAGAGGACGCCAGAGCAGCTGCTGCAGAAAGTGGCCAGGACGGTGGGAGAGTGTGTCTCACTCGACAGGAGGGTAACGAGGGGGATTCCCGGCATGTGCTTTTTGTTGTCTCTAAATCTTAATGCTTGCTGACTGTATTTCTGATCATATTGCTCAGGCGTTCCTGACCCACCTTTTTTGAGCAGCAGACTGCACACAGCACACCCGTCCCCACAACCCACACGGCAAACTTCCCGCATCCTTCCTAGGGAAAGACCACAAAGGGTTCTGGAGGCGGGGACAGGAATCTAATCACTTCCATGTGAAGGATGTGCTTTTGCTGTGCAGTTTGGGTTTTTAAAATAAAGTTTTCATAATAAAAATATTTGTTTTTAAACGTAGAAACACGTTCTGTGGCCTACTAACATAGGGCACAGATTTGTTTGGGTTTTCGTGCCCGGACCCTCGCCTGGGCCTCACACCTCAGCTTCTGAGCCGCCTTCGCCCACGCCAAGGGTCTTCTGAGCTGTGGCCTCACTTAGGCTCCTTTCCCGCAACCCCGTGAGATTGGCCCTAACCTACAGCTGTGACCCTGCACCTCAGCTCGGCCCAGGGCAGTGTGTGTCAAGAGCACCAGGTGTCAAGAGTACTCCATGGTCCCTGCGGCCAGAGATGGCTTCAGGGTCCTACAGAAATTGATGGTCCCTCCTGCATCTCTAGTAGCAACTGTAAGCCTCATGGGGCAGAAATGGTGACCTTTTCTCTGTTTTTCCCCTGGTGCTGGGCACACAGTAGGGGCTCATTAAGTCCTGGGTCTGTGGACGGGACAGACTCAAGGCTGCCTGTGTTTTCTCCAGATAAACTTTCTGTGCTTCACTTCGTCGCACAGGAGCCAGACTGGCCCCGTCTTTCCCTTCCTGAAAGCCTCAGGCAGGCTGTGACCAGAGCCCTTGCGTTTTGACCTCTTCTCTAGGGGAGAGAAGTGGACGTGTCCAGTTTGGGGAAGTGTGAGCTTGGTCTTGTCAGTGGCAGCCTGGGCACAGGGTCTGCGGGAAAACACATCAGAGGCCGCGGGAGGTGGACTGTCACTGCGCAGGGAGTGAGAGGAGAGGGAAACCACACAGGTGGGAGCAGGCAGGAGCATGTGGTGACAACCGGTGATGAAAGCGGTTGGAAATGAGCTGTAGGGCTGCGTTAATGATGACAGCGCTGGAGCAATTTGTTCTCTTACAAGTTGACATTAATCAGACCTCGGTGGTTAACTCCACGCACGACCTGCAGGAGGTATGCCCCAGCCACAGGAGGGGCCTCCCCGGAGCCCGGGGGTCAGGTCAGGGGCTGATTGCTCCGTCCAGCCGCCCCGGCTCCAATGAGGGGAGCTCAATTTGATCTGTGTCCTCCGGAGCTCGCAGGGCTGTGCACAGCCAGGGAGGGGCGAGGTGGCAGTGACTATACAAGGCCACTGCTGCCCCCTTCCTACCCCTCCCTGCAGAGTGAGCCAAGCTTGTTGGATCAGCCCCAGGGGAGCACTGCAGCCTGCAGCTGCCCAGACACAAGTGTTGGGGCTGCAGGGAAGGCAGGGACCCTGAGACCAGGGACACTGTATACACCCTGGGGCCAGCAGGTGCTTCAAGTGGAATTGAGGGAGAAGTGGTCATGGACCTCACAGGAAGTGGGGAGGGCTAGATGAGACGCAGGCCATGGCTCACTGAGCACTGGCTACGCCCCGTCCTGCCTGTTCCGTGCATCTCCAGCTCCTCATTTTGTCTCTCGACAGCTCTGAAGCAGTCTCTGGCTCTGGCTCATTCTCACTTTAGCAGGACCCAGAAAGGTGAAGTAATTTGCCCCAGGTAACAGCCACAGGGGAAGCTGGCTGCCGGCTCCGGAGCCCCTGCTCTTGGCAGGAAGGCTCCCTGCCTTGGGGGCTACAGCTCAGTCAAGCAGGGGGCACAAAGAGGGTGCCCCCAGTGGGGGTAGCAGGTGCGGGGGGAGAGGTGAGAGGGGTCACCCGCTGCCACAGCATCATTCACACCTTCCGCACTGCCTGAACAGTGGCCTGTGAAGCCTCTGGCTGAGGACGGACTCCCACACTGTGTATCCCAAGGACTGGGTGCCAGCAGATGGAGTCCGCATGGCAGAAAGTTCAGCAGAGGGTGCCAGTCCTGGGTGGTGGGGGAGAGCCGGAACCTGGCAGGGCCTCCAGCTGAGTTTCAGGAGCAGGGCATAGAGGCGGGGTGCAAGGCTGAGTGACCGGACAGTGCGGAAGGAGCAGAAGGTCTGCAGAAACTGCCCAGAACATGGCCCTGGTTGGGGCAGGCCTGGGGCTCAACCTACCTGGGCCCATGGCCATAGCAGGGCAGCCCAAGCTTGGTTCAGCACAGGCAGCCACTGGCCAGGGCTGGCCCTGCCCACTGTGGTGGGTGTTAGGGAGAGAGTTTGCTAGGCACTGTAGGCTGGCCCAGCCGGGCAGGGGCTTTCATCATCAGGCCCAGTGGTCTGGAGCTTCCCAGAGCCCAGGAGCTGGAAGGGCAGGCAAGCAGCCAGGGGGGCACCCAGAGTATGGAGTGCAGGTCCAGCTGAATCCAGGTGATCTTCACTAAGACATTTGCCTCTGTAGCCGCAGGGTCCTCTCCCATCTGTGGGGCGAGTGCCCAGAGCTGACAAGTGGGGCTATCACAAGGGCGAAGGAAATGGTGTGGGGCAAGGATATGTGGGTGGTGTCACTGACCTCTGAGTCCCTCCTGGGCCCTGCAGGCTTTGCAGTCCCCGAGGGATCTGTAGATTACAAGTCTGTAGAAATAGGGAAGTCTGTTCAGAGTGGCACTCGCCAATCTGCCCACTGCAGGAGGAATTTAAACTTAACTTCATGGGAAATGAAGCACTATCTACAAAACACTGTCTCGGGGCACGGGCTGCATTTCAGGTGCTAGGCAGCCGCCTGCAGCTGGCAGCTACCCGATAGGACAGTGCGGGCAGGGGCAGGGGGCTCACCCAGAGTCCCCTGGATGCCAGGTTTTTAAAGCAGTGTCTGCCTGGCGTTTGCTGTGTGTCGGGCACTGTGCTACCAGCCGTCTTTATATCGCAGCACTGAACCCCTTAGCAACCCACAAGCAGCTCCAGTCACGATTCCTATTTTGTTTTGAGCGGAACAGCCTCTAAGGGGTGGGTACTTGCCTGAGGACACAGGGTGCTGGTACCGGAGTCTACACAAACCCCAACCTGGCTCCAGGGGTCCAGCCTGCAGCTCTTCACTGTCCTGTCCCCCCTCAGCTTTCTTCCTGTCCCCACGGACCCCAAAGCCAAGCCACCTTCCAGCCCTGCACCTTCAGGACACAGAGACAGTAGCCAGGACTCTTTATTGGCTCGGAGCGGGCTCTGGAAGGCTGGGGGTGGGGAGGTGGATAGTGAGCACTTTTCTTCGGGGCTCGAGAGATCCTTGACCCGTCAGAGCACTTTCTTGGGCAGGGGGTTGATGATCCCGCTCTCCAGATACTCGAAGACCGTGTAGGGGTCCTGGTCCCCGTTGAGGGTGATGGCCTGTTTGTAGAACTGCTCCAGCTCCACGGAGTTCCTGTAGAACAGGTCCGTCTTCAGCTTCACCCACTCTTCGGAATCCTTGGGGTTCTGCAGGAGGCGGGCCTGGATCTCCAGGGTGGGGGGTGGCTTGTACATGAGGTGGTACCTACGGGGACAGGTGGGGAGGACACGTGACCTGCAGCCCCACAGCCCGCACAGAGGGCAGAGGAGTACCCTGGTGTGCCGCACCCCTGGCTGACCCAAGAGATGCGCCTCCTCTCCCCTGTCCCTCCCTCCTTCCCTCCCTCTTTCCGTTCCTTCCTTCTGGTTTATCTTCATCCTTTCAAAGCTTTCTTAAGCACTGCCATGAGTGAGCCTGGCCTTTTCTCTGCTGTGCCGACCCAGTGATAAGCCACACAGGTGTCACGCTAGGTTTACGGAACCCAAGTCAAACAGGGAGTGGGACTTTACATCCCAAATGCGGGGGAGGTGGCAGGGAGGTCCTCGGAATGTCCTCGCTGGGAGTGACCGCAGGGCAGGGTGACGTGAAGGCCATAGTTCTAGGCAGGCCTGTCCCCTACAAGCGAGGACAATAGATTGGGTGTGTACTTTAGAAAATTCCATCATGCCTTCCTGTCACCCATCCCCAAGTCCCTACCAGGAAGTGTGGCCCTGATCCCCAGAGGGGACGGACGCGACCATTTCCCTGCGATTGTGCAGCTTGGTCAGATGGCACAGTGAACTCAGCACTCGCCTCTGGCAGCCATCAGATGCATATGTGCAGCAGGTGCCTCTGGGACATGCCTGGGCCTGAGAACAAGCCCAGTGACGCACAGGTGACACTACCCACACCAAGCCACATTTTGTGTGCAGGGTTTGACCTAAGGACACAGTGGGACTCTCCGGCCAGCGTACTGCTCCAGAGCCCGGATGTTCCTCTCTGTTTGCTCCTCTGGGCAGAGATGGTGAGGGAGGTGCCGGGAGCAGTGAGCTGGGACCCCACCTTTGGCCGCCTTCAGTGCAGGCAGGAGGCACCCGTCACCATGCACTGGACACGAACCTTTCTCCTGTGACCGGGTCCACCCTTCTCAGAGTCAGACGCTCAAGGATGGAGTCCAGGGGCACGTTCAGGAAAAATACCCTGTGGGGAGAGGAGCACACCAGTCACATCAGTGGTGGCTTCGGCTGGATGATGTTGATGCCTTGATATCTGGGGCCTTGGTAGCTGGAGACACAGCCAGCTCTGCGGTGCCCCCTGCCTGAGTCCGCCCAGGCCAGTGTGGGAGCCCTGAATGCTCCTCTAGCCAGGGGTCCCGGAATTCCAGCCAGCCTCAAGCTGGCCCCATATGCCCCCCTTCTTGGGAACTGTGAGTGATAACCTCGTCTGCCAGGGTCACTCGGTGACCTCCTAAATCCAATCCTGGTATAGTCAAGACCAGGGCTGGCACAGGGTCACCTGGAGGGAACCGCAGCCTCGACTCTGTCACCCTGGCCGGTCCTGGCGTCATGTCATCCCCACCTGGGGTGGAGCTGATTGGAGTCACCTCTGTGGGCTTGGAGCTCACCAGGGAGCCATGGGTCAGAGGGCTCCATTTTCCCCGGGGGCAGCTTCAGGCCGCAGCACTCCTGGGGGGAACCTGGGGATCTCATCCAGGTCCATCCTCACAGGACAGCGAGTTCCCTGGAGTCACACGGACTGGATTACAGCCTGCCCCACTGCGGACTTGTGTTGACCTCGGGCTGCTCACCAAGCCTCTCTCAGTTTCATTTTCATGTATTTATTTGTTTTTGTCTTTTGAGACAAAGGTCTCACTATGCAGTTCAGGCTGGCCTTGAGCTCACTTTGTAGCCCAGGCTGGTCTCGAACTCACAGTGATCCTCTTGCCTCAGCCTCCCGAGTGCTGGGATTACAGGAGTGCCCAGCTCACCTAATGTCCTCTGCTGTAAACCGGGGCTAACCATGGTTCCCCGGTGCGGAAGCTGAATGAGGGAAAGCGTGAGAAACTCCAAGCTCCAGCGGGCAGCTTGACAACTCAGCCAGCGCTGTCTCAGGATGCTCTTCCTGGACAACAATGACAGGCCACATCCCCTGCTGGACAGCCTCACTCTGTCTTGGGCAGAGAAGCCTTGGACCCAAAAGAGCAGGACATTCAGAAGAGAGCTCATCCCGGGACCTAGCGGAAGCTGGAGCGCTGGCTTCCTAGGCCCGCAGGACTTGGGCGGGCGCAGGGGGAGCAAAGCCCCCATTCAGTGGGGATGTGTCCGGGGTTTGGCCATTTCCTTTTTAAAACTGGCATTTTTAGGAATCCATGTTTGCAGGCCATGATGGCTACGTTCCTTATAGAATGCTGGTGCAAACACAGAACACATCTCAATCCCCTGCCCATTTGTGACAGATCTGTGCTCCTATTTCCTATTAGGTAACTTTTTGTTGTTTTCGGAATTGGGAATTGAACTCATGACCTCGCGTGTAGCAGGCAGGTGCTGTGCCACTGAACTATGTCCCCAGCCCATGACTTTTATTTTGCTCTTTATTTATATTTTGGGTTTCTCGTTTCATTTTCTAGCAGGTGACCTTGAGCCAGAAGCCCACCCCTGTTTAGGAAAAGCTGGTCTGTGAGACCCCACCTCCCCTCGCAGGGTGGGAGCCTTTTTAGGACAGGACACTGTCCCCTCCTCCAGGTCTGATCAAGAGAAGCTCCTCACTGGCATCTCGGACTTCTTAAGACCTGTCTAGTGGGCCGAGCTTCAGTAGGTTCAAGGAGATACTGGTTCCTGGGGGCCCAGGGGCAGTTTTGGGGGCCCAGAGTAGTGACAGCCCCATCCCCAGGCAGGGGAGGACACAGGGAGATGCAAACACTCCTCGAGCTCCTTTGTACTTCTCTCTGCCTCCTGTGTGATATTTTCGCTTCTTTTTGCGATCCTCGTGATCCCCAAAAGGCCAGGTCAGAAGGGACCTTAGAATTTCTGGATGCCATTTGCTGCAGAGAGCCCTGCAGCCTTTGACATATGGTGCTGACGGTGCTGTGATGACCATGTCTAGTTTGTCCCCTCAAAGGCTTGTGTGTTTAGAGGTGGGGTTCTTCAGACGGCTTATCTAGACACAGAGTCTGGGGATCCCCCTTTCCCCAGAGCAACGGAACCAAAACCTGCAGCGGAGGGGCTGAGAGGCCAGTGTTTGTGACTCAGTAGTTCAAATGCCGCTCATGCCCGAGTGGGTATGGGGACCATGGCTCTCACCCAGGGTCTCATCCTCGCCATGCCTGGGACCACCAGGGAGGTTTGAGAATATCAAGGTTGGGTCTTTTCCTTAGATCTTATGATGTGATCAGTCCAGGGTGAGGTCAGGGAATAGTAATTTTTTTCCTGAGACAGAGTCTCACTATGTAGTTCAGGCTGAACTGCTACTAACTTTATAGCCCGAGCTGACCACACACTTATGCAGTTTTCCTGCCTCAGCCTCACAGGTTACAGGTGTCTGCCACCAGGGCTGGCTGAGAATGGGGGACAGGGTTTTAAGAGCTCTCCAAGTCACTGTGACATGTGGTGAAGTTTGGAAGTTGCTGCTCATGTGCAGTCCACTTAATGTAGAAAGTGAGGAAGCTGAGGCATGGAGCGGTGAGGACCCGTGTTCTGTCAAGGGCTTAAATAGCTCTTCAGCAGTGGTGTTGGGTGGCAGCAAAAGTACACTGACCAAAAAAAAAAAAAAAAAAAAAAAAAAAAGTACACTGACCAGCCTCCTGCACATCCCCTTAAAATACATCAGTAAGACAGCACTGTGGTCTCGATGTCAGGCTTGTTGTACAAGGCCACTCATGAACCCTAACCCTTAGGCCTGAGTGTGCTGTGCTATTTCATCAACTCGCCTAGTGACAGTGCTGGTCAAAGGAGCACCGCCTTTTGAAACTCTCCTAAAAGTTAAGGACGGGTATCTTTAGCAGCAGGCAGGACCCGCAGTACAGGGCTCCCCTGGTTTCAGCAAAGTGGTTAGGTGCCAGGAAGGATGCTCTTAAAAAGTCTTTTGCTATTCCTCAGTGGGTCTTTCCCCCTTTTCCAGTGACATTTGTCTTTTCACTCATTTTGGCAGGAATTAGCTTGTGAGCTACCAAAACTGTGTCTGAGACACGTGTGCAACGTGGGAAGAAGGCATGGACAGAAGCAATAAATAAAATAATGGGTGGGCCTTGCATTGACTAAACTGTCAGATTCTGACACCCAGATCAGCTCTACGACTGAAATACATCAACTCACTTGTCACCCTAAAGCCTGTTGCTTGATACAGTTTAAGTATCGCTTGCCACTCACTGACAGGGTTTGACTGAGTCCACAAGCCATTGCTAATGTTTGTCTGCATTTGCAGCTGCTCCCTGGTACTAGCGTCACTGCCTCAGCTCCGCCTCAGGTCCTCAGACATTAGAGTCTCACAGGGAAGTGCGGCCTAGATCCCTCTCGTGCAAGTTTACATTAGGATTTGTGTTCCTAGGAGGATCTAACGCCTCCACTGATCCAGAGGAGGCAGGGCTCAGGAGGTGTGAGCTATAAGGAGGCGCCCTAAATACCGATGAGGCTCTGCTCATTTGCTTGCCACGCACCTTGCACTCTGAGGCTCAGACGGGGACCCCTGGTATAAAATGTCAGTCGTCTTCTCATAGACCTGCAGACTCGATGTGATCTCAACCAAAATCCCAACAAGGAGCTCTGAAGAGACTATGCAAAGTAATTCTAAGTTTAAATGGGAAGAGAAGAACACTGTACCAGTGCCTCAGTTTATGAATGCTTTTGTTGGCAAACAGTTTGATCCACAAACAGAAGCATTTGGCAATATTTTGGTTTTGCTCATGAATTCTGTATCAGGCAACAAACACAACCACAGCCAGCTTTCCTGCCTGGACCCAAATGCAGCCATCCTTTCCAGGATCATGGAGTGAATTAAGTTTGTGAACCGAGGTGCTGCTGTAGAATTAAAACAGGGTTGAAAATGAAGAACAAACTGCTTTCCAGGTTTACTACAAATGACCATAATTAAGACTATGGATGTTAAAAAAAAAAAAGACTACGGATGTTAGCAGAAAGATAAACACGTAGGCTAAAGAAACCAAATAAAATCCAGAAATAGACAGATACGGCTGGATAGTTTTTCAACAAAGGTGCCAAGGCTTTTCAAAGCAAAAGAACGTGTTCACTCCATGGTGTGTGAGTAACTGCAAAGTCACCAGCCATCACCATCACCATCCTGACCTCTACTTCATACTACATAAACAATGTAATTTAAAGACTTCATAGACCTAAAGGAAAAAAAACCTAAAAATTATTAAACTTCAACACAACAAACCCTGTAGCTTTGGGGTGGAGATTTTCCTAGATACAACACCACATTCATGATCCATAAAAAGAAAAACATTAGATGTCATTAAAAATCTAAAAGTTACTCAGGTGTATACACGTCTATAATCTCAGCATTCGAGAGGCTGAAGCAGGAGAATCACCATGTGTTCAAGGCCAGCCTAGGTTACATAGTGAGTTCAAGGCCAGTCTAGACTATATAGCAAGGCCCATTCTCAAACAAACAAACAAATGTCTAATAATTAAAAGCCTCTGCTGCTCCAAAGCATTAAGCAAATGGAAGATAAATCACCCACTGGGGAAAGTATTTGCCTAGCACACATATCTGTGATATACAGTGGTACCTCAGCTCACAAACACTTTTGTCTAAGAACCAATTTGGTTCGCAAACAGAATCTTTTAGTAAAATTGGGTTTTTGTTTGCGAACTCCCTATCAGGTGATGAACCCATCTTTTCCAGGACTGTACAAGGAATTATGTCTGTGAACCAAGGCACTGCAGTGTGTTTCCGGACTTGATGTCCAGATGAAAAAACTCTGGTTTAGGAAACCAGTTGCTTGAAGAAGGCACAACTTCTAGTTCCTTGCACAGTAGTGACGCTTACTGGGCTTCACGTGAAGACTCAGCCTCTGCTCCTCAGAGTCCGCTGGGGATTGAAAGGGCCCCCCAGCCTTTCTCTTCCCAGGCAGCTGCTGAGGCTGCAATGCTGGAATCTGGAGGAAATTGCAGTGGCCACCACTGAAGTGGGGCCAGAGAGAAAAAAGTCATTCATAAAAGTGCAAAGCGACACCATGCATG